ACTACTACTACTACTACTACTACTACTACTACTACTACTACTACTACTACTACTACTACTACTACTACTACTACTACTACTACTACTACTGTGTTATCCGTGCCGTACTTTGTATGTATGTATGTATGTATACATAGATGGGAACAGGAATGAGGACATACAGTATCTATCTAGATACCTATCTACCTGACACGACACGGCACGGCACGAAACACGCAGCCACCACCATCACCACCAGACTCTCTGCAGAGTAGTACCTAATTACCACATAGTATGCTAACTATTGCAGGCATGATCAACATCAACTGCGTTTCGTTTCGTTGTTTCCGGGTTCGTTTTCGTTTCTGTCCCGACTTGAACCGACCACCCAACCCAAGGGCCTCAGGCCTAAGGCTAGGCCCCGGACCGGATCGAATGGATCGAATGGAATGGATTGAACCGAGGAGGGAGGGGGAGGGAGAGGGTGAAGGTGACAGTGAGGGAGAGGGAGAGGGAGAGGGTGAGGGAGAGAGTGAGGGACGTGGGACGTGGGACGTCAAGTGCAAATACATATAGATATACAAATACATATATTTGCAGTATGGAGTACAGATACTTGCTTACACTTACAGTACTGGTACGAGCACGAGCAGAAACAGAAGCAGAAGCCGGCGTCGGAATCGGATTTCGACCTCGACCTCGACCTCGACCTCGACCTCATGCTTAAACTCAGGTCTGGGCATTGGGAACTGGACATCGCCGATGGAACTGACAGTAAGAGACCGACACCGACACCGACACTTGTAGACCCAACGGGGAGCGGGACAGGTAGGTAGGTACATTGCATTACAGCACAGCACAGCACAGCACAGCACAGTGCAGTCACTCGGGATATTACCACCCCCAGACTGGAGATTCAATCAACGCTCGATTGATCTTGACACTGACCCTGATGCGGTGGGTAGGAGGCCAGCGCGAGCTGCAATGGATGATTCATGTTGACTGTTGACTGTGGCTGTTGACTTGACAGCTGGTCTACCGCACCGGCAACAATGAACAAAAAGACGTCGATGACATGGCAGCAGCAACATGAACAAAAAGTCGTCGAGATGGCAGCAGCATGAGTACGGAGTACCACAGGAGCTTCGAGCTTCTACTTCGAGCTCGAGCTTCGCCTGTTGTCTATGTCTCTGTCTCCCTCACTCACTCTCACTCTACTCTTACTCTCACTCATGGGACGACCGGTTGAACAGATTGTCGGTCAATCCCCTGGGTTTCGCACACCCTCCATCACCAGTGTCTGGAGATCTCTATCTCGGAATTGGCTTCCATGCCCCTTCAGACTCCATCGGCCTCACTGGGTTCTGTGATAGTCTTATTGACAGTCTTGTGATAGGTCCCGTCTGTTGCCTCACCCAAGTCTCCATCCTCGTAGAGTCGGTGACCATGTCGGCGTGCCATTTGCCGTTGGTGTTTCCATTGCCATCCTGCAATACCTTCAACTGCCCCGACCACAACTCCCCCGACCACTATTGAAAGGTCTTTTCCTCATAGCGCCCACAAGACCGAAGTGAACCCAAAAGAACCCTCAAAATGCATATGATTTACACCTTCCCCTCTCGGGACCGCCCCAAGCTCACTATTTCCATAGTACACAGATAGAGACAGTCGGGATTTCCTCTGCGGTCCGCTTTCTCCAGGCTTCAATAGTAGGGATGAGATGCCACTCGGCTTCCGTCGAAAATTCTGAACGGTGCCACATCCCATACCCGCTGCAGGGAGGCGACAAACTGATCCTGTCAAGTGATTGTCTCCATCTCATTATCCCCATCGTTGCCATCGTCGTTCGCACTGTATTCTTCATAGGGATACTGATTAATGGTATCACCATTGACAATCTTTCCTTTGCCGCGGTTGGCCAGAAAATCCGTCTGCTGAGGCAACTCGCCATCCTGGCTTGCCGGGCTGCTCCCCACAGACACCATGGGCGTCTCATGACCCAGTATAGCCAATCTCTTGTTGATGAGTTCTTGCAATTGGAGCAATTGGTCGAGCTCCGATTGTTGCATGGCCTCCACCACCTCGGGAGGAGCTTCGCTGACCAGCTGATTTGTCAAGTCGGCCAGTGCATCGCCAGAGTGACCATCTATCCTCTGTTGAGAAAGTTCGGCCAAATGCAGAACCGCTTGCTGCTCTTTCAAAGACCGATGGCGGAGAGCTGCATTTGCCTTGGCCGTCTCAGCAATGGCGATTGCCGCCGCTCCAGTCCAGAACTCGGGTTCTTGTATCTTGACAATAGTTGCCTCAGGAGGGTGGTACAGCACGGCACCATCAGGCCGGTAGTTCTTGTTGCGAATTCTCTTGGGCGCATCCAGCAGTCGAGGGAATGACTGATCCTCGTACCAACTTTTCTTGACCCGATCGATGAAATCCAGTCGAATTCCTTTCTCGGGGATGCGGTGGACTTTGCCAAACATATTGACTTCTTTGGTCTTACCAAAGTCCGACTCGTCCTTCATGAGATCCACCTCGATGACTCCGTTGTTTCTGAATCCGCGAGCTACCTGCACATCCAGTGGTACCGCATTCTTGGGCTTTCGTAGTCTGGGAATTCGGCCCAGGTCGCCAGGAGCGGCCTCAGCTTGACGACCCACGGCCACCAAATCGTGTTCGACGTGAAGCGGACATCGCCAGGTAGCACCAGGCTTGTCACCGGCACGGCGTCGCGGCGGTACAGCAAGAGGTGGGTTGATACAGTCGAGATGCCACTTGGCAGGACAATAGTCACATGGGATGATGTCGCGGCCATTCGAGGTTTGGCCACATCGATAGCAGAGGATCAGGTTGCCCTTACTGTCACGAGTTTCCTTGTAGTTGGGCTCTTCGAAAAAGCCAGCTCGGTTCATCTTGACCGCGTTGTTTTGAGTCCGAGGGAGACCGACTTCTTCATACTCGCCTTCATCGCCAGTGCGGACGCCTTCAAAGTATTCACGTATGTTGAGGGGGAGGGCAAATGCTCGGGGGATAATGTCATCGACCCGGCGAATCGCCAATCCCAGAAGACCGGACGGGGAGCTTGTCTGTTTCGAGCGCCGAGCGATGCATCGTGGACAATACCATTCTCCGTCGACTTCCTGCTCCGGATCCAATGGCGGCTCTAGGCAGGCATGGTGGAAGGAGTTGGGGCAGCCATCACAGCAAAGCAGCTTTCCTTCGCCGCCGCATGAAGCACAAAACTCGTCGTTGTCCTGATAAAATGAGTCAGTCACTGATGGATGGGACATCAATCGAGTGATGAGTTGATGATGACAGTGGCCAGGGCATGGGAGATCCCGAAGGAAGAAAATGGCGCTGGAGACTAAGGAGGGACGCAAAGCAGGGAATAAGGAAACAGGCGCCCAGAAGGAGGCAGAAGGGGGAAGGGGGAAGGGGGACGGCCAATCGTGGCGAGACGAAAAGGGTCGGCGAAAACTCGAGGGGATGGAGTTGGGACTTAATCTCACCTCTGCGCCTGAATTCGCTCCGTAGCCGATCGCAGTGTCGCGCCCGGGCCCCGCACGTGAAATCCCTGCCGTGATTCCGCCGTTCTTGGGTTTGTTCGGTCTGTCGATGAGCGTGTTAGTATGGGAAAACAATGTAGATGCGACTCTTCAGCCGCCCAAGGTAGTGAGTGCTCCTATGCTCCAAAGGCGATCTGGCATGATCTGATGTTGACGGTCACAAACTGCCATGCCTTCGGTGTCACAGCTTCCATGCCGTGTCTTGCAGTGAGAGGCGCAGAGAAGGTGTAGGGCAATAATAAGGAGAAAACACTTACGAGACCAGGACACGCGCAGATCTACGGGTTTTCCCTGTAGGCTGCAGTCTTGTTGCTCTAGGTGTCGCCCCTCGTGAGGTGGCGGTTGCCGCACCTCCCGGTGCTGGAGGCGCCAGCAACGGAGCCGGTGAGGACGACTCGGGAGTAATAATATCGACATCTTCCGCTTCAGCTTCGCCGTACGTTCTCTTATGACGCGATCCGATGGGTAGATCCTGGTCGAGCTGTGCCTGGGCGCTGACTGGCGACGAGGGTTCGGTGTGAGGAGCCATCAATCGATTGGGGTGAATCACCGGCCGCGGCGCTCTCTCGATGGAATCTGGACGGTCTGGATGACCATGTACCGACTCACGCTCGTTGCTCTCGGGCCGAGGAATGGTGTTGTAATCGTGAAAACTATCATCCAGAAAGTGCTTTTTCCGCTTCGCAAGCTCATCAATGTCAAAGTCGGCTTCCCCCTCGCGAGGCCTCTTCAATTTCTTCGAGGCCGACTTCGAGGCCGGCGCCGCGTCCGAATCGGCCTGTTTGGAAGCAGACGGATGGTTGGGGGCACTGGCAGTTGAACGCAGTCTGTTCCCAGCCGCCGTTCGGCTTGTGGCTTGGCGCCGCCCAGCTGCTCGAGCTCGCCCACTGCCTGTTCCGCCTTCACCTTGCTGCCCACGGTCTAGAGGGCCGCCAAATTCATCAGGGAGAGGAAGCGATTTGGCCGATGATAATGACGATGAACTCGACACGCTTCGCGAGCGCTTGCGCTTCTGCGGTGACGCGGTGGCCGCTTGCTGAGATGATCTCTCACTTGGATTCACAACCGCCCTGGTGCGCGACACCATCGACGGCGAGACGGGCAGCTCGGCAGATCTGTCAGACCCTCGAATCTGCGATCCGTTGATGAAGAGAGAAATGTGTCGACGGTGTGGATCAGGAGAGCCAGTCGAGTCCATATTGGAGTAGGATTGTTGATGGTCTCGAGGAGAAAAATCGCTATAGTGATGAGGAGAAGATTGATAAGGGCTGGCCGAGAATTGACTTGATCTGCGATGCTTTTTGACGCCGTGTTTGATGTAGCGCTTGAATGTTTTGAATTGCTCAGGCGAAGATGACTGTTGAATCACGCCCTCCAAAACATTCCATAATTCGGGAATCAGTCGAGCATCCTCGCGAAGGCGCTGCAGGCCGGGCACCAAATCTGCCTTGCCTTTCTGCTGGGCTTCTTGCACCGCGAGCTCGACGTGGGTTCGAAGTCGATCTTGTCGTAGATGCTCCTGAATCGACACGGGTTTGGACGCCAGGTGACTTGTAGGGGTAAATGCCAATTTGACTGGGGATGGCGACGCGGTCGCTTCTTGCGGCATCTCCGCAACCTCCCTCCGCGCTCGACGACCACGCGACGGACTGGAAATGACAGTAGTTTTGGATTGAGGAGCCGGTTCAGGCGGCTGGTCTGACAAGATCTCAGACTCCATGGAAGAGGCCAATTCCATCCGTTCAGGTTCAGCCGCCGGCGTGACAATCTCCTCAGGTTGCGTGGGTGTTGCCCGAGGTGAAGGCCGGATGTAATTCAATTTGAGCTTTTGCAGAAGTCGTTGAGAGGGTGCAGCACCCAGAGGCTGCATGTTCTCTAACACGCCTGCCCTCTCCAGACCTCTTGTATCTTCGAAACTAGGCACCGCAGGCCGCACTGTGGGCTCAATCCATGCATCCAAACTGGTCTGTTGGCCATTTCTCGTCGAGCGCGCCTCGGCGGGCACGGGGACTGCCTCTTTATCACCAAACGTCGCAGGACTCGACAGGCGGCTTGATCTGTGCCGCAACGATCTCGTAGACATCCTGCTCTTTCTTCTCCGCGCCACACGCGCCGACTGCCAGCATGTTAATTCAGGGACATGTCAGAAACGAGGGCTCCGTCACTTACAGTAGCCTGATGCGAGGCTCAGCGGGCAGGGTGCGCAGACTGCGGGTGGGTGGGAGAGAAGGGGAAGTTGAAATGTGCTAAGGTAGTTATCGCTTCTTGTCCGCAAACGTAGGTATGTTGCTAGTCCGATACAGTAGGATGCAGGATTCGGGGCAAGGGGCGGCACTCGGCCACTGGCTTAGGGGCCCTGCGCTGCTCCGGCGCCCGTACCACTACCAAATACCGCTACTAGCAGCACTTCTAGGCGACTACTAGGTAATAGTTGGTACTAAACGCCCGGCCTTCCCAGGTAATCCCGCCCCTGGTGCCCCCAAGGCTGAGTGACACGCTCTTCCTCCTTTTTTCTTTTCGCTGACACGCCTACTTTGCGATTACTGTACATTAGTACTCAGTACTCCCGTCCCTTGTGACCAACTCCAATGTGGTCTAGCAACCATAAAGGATAAGCAGCTTCCGTCTCCCATAAGATCCCTGGTTTTTCCCTTCATTCCTCATAGTAATACACCCTAGGCAGCAATTGCATTATCGTGGGTGACGTGGCGACTTTCAGGGGATAGTAAGCCTGCCTCGCCCCTCTCGGGCAATACGACGGGAATCTGTAGCTGACAACACACGACAGACGTAGGCTACAACTAGTTCCTATGAGAAGCAACAATTCAGGTGTGCAAGTCATTGCTGGTTTTGTACTGCTTCTAGTCCACCACTGCTTTTCGTCAAATTTCTTGCGCCTCTTCCTGTTGCTCGGGCGACTGCACCAGATTGTGCTTGTCGCCCGGTAAAGACTGAACTGAAACACGCATCCCAACAGTTTGACCAGAGGTCGCGTCAGCCACCCCAGGTGCTACCAGGTGATGATTGTGTTATCAGTGACTCCCCGGGTCGAAGCCACGAGCTCCTTCGGAGCTCCAAGATCGGGAAACAGGCTCTGAACTGGTCCAAGAAGAGCGGGTTCATTCTTCGTCGCTGGAATCGTCGTCTTCGTCATCTTCTTCAGCAGCAGCAGCAGCCGCAGCCTTCTTTGCTGGCTTCTTCTTCTTCTTCTTGTTCTTGCTCTTGGATCCCGTAGATTTGCTCGTTGGTAGCTCCAAGATCTTCAGAACCTCTTCATCTTCGATTTTCTTGTCCGACTTGATCGATTCCAGATCCAACGGAGGAGGAGCTGCCAGGCGGGTCAGGCCATTCTTTGTGATCGCTGGAGATGACAGGTCAGTCGATGTGCTCCCAACTTAGGGTCGTTTAGCTTACCAATGGTCGTGAATAGTCTCGAGACTGGAGATCCATCTGCCTCAGCGGCGGGCTTGTATTCACGGAGAACTCCAGATCTGATGCACTCAACAACACCGACCTTGCCGGCTCTCTCGTCGTCCAATTGACGGAGACTGAAGGGGAAAGTGCCGAATTTCTTGACAATTTCCGACAAGACCTGCCTCGAACTTGGTCGCTTCAATCCGTACGTTGTAGTGGTTCTTCTCAACAGAGTCGAGCGCTTGTCCAACTCCTTGACCTTCCCTGATCCCAGACTGAGACCCACTTCAACACCCCAAACCTCGCCAACTTCAGCTGAACCTTCCCCCTTGGCACCATCAGCCGGAGACAAGATGATCTTCTTCTTGCCTTCGATCTCGTTGCGCTCAAACTGCCAGGAGGTGGTATGCTGGACGACATGCACGTCGTATGCTTTGGCGACTTTGTCGACGAGCGAACTTATCTTGGCCTGGGTTGGCGGCTTCTCGGCGGAGGCCTTCTGTTTCTCCTCCTCTGAGCCGGTAGCGAGTAGTCCAGGGGGGATGATAAGCCTCAGCAAGAGCTCATTTGCGTAGTGTGTGGCCAACAGCAAATCTGCCTCCCGACCGGTGATCTCAGCCTTCTTTTCCTTTTCTTCGGGGACCACAATGGTATTGCCAACTATTGCGCCGTAGCCGTCGATTTGAGCGCCTAACTGGATCTTGACCAATTCACCTGCCTTGATGGTAATGGCGGCATCTTCAGTGTCCGAGACCAAGGGAGTGAAGGGAGTGACGTAGGAACTCGGTGAGATCGTGCACGGAGTAGCGACGCCTTTGCTTATCTTCTTGTTGTTCTTGTAAACTTGCGCGAGTTCGGATTCGAGGAGAGCATCCCCTTTCTGACAGAGTTCGACGATTTTGGCACCAGGCACACACCACCCTGCAATAAGTGGTCAGCGGTGAAACGGGTTGCGTGACTACCACCACAGACCTGAAACCTCCTCCAGGACCTTTTGCGAGATGCCAGAAGCAGTCTTGTACTAAATATCCAGTCAGCAGTCTCCTGAATGCATATCCGTGCTACGGACCTTGGTCAGGACGTCGGGGTTGCTGATGTTTTCTAGGTACAAACAACGTTAGATGCTGTCTGTTTTGAAGAGGGAATGCATTGGCATGGGGCGGCGAGGGAAGGCGGATCGTGGAGAACAGATTTGGAACAGGCTTACCGATGTCAGCAGTGGTTTCTGCCATGCTGAAAGAGGAACCGGAGAGGCGAGCTGGCGGAGTGAAGGTGTAGTGGTAGAAGGAATCAATTGAGAATTTCGAGTCTGTGAGTGACCGACTGCGTGGTGGGCTGAATTTCCCCGCATGTCATTTCGCCGTATGGTGCGCTCGACGCCTCTGCACTGTATCAATACTGTATGACCCGCTGCTTGGCAAAGCCCCTTAGCCCCTTTGCTTGCGCTGAGCACCTCAATGCCATATGTACTACCACCTACTACGTACCTACATACTACTCCGTACATGCTACATTGTGGCAGCGTACACTACTCTTCCATTATTCCCATCGCAGAAGTACGCGATGGGGTCGTCTCTGCATGTACAGATCTCGCCTCCGTATAATCATGCTCTCGTTAACGCGGATAGCCGCACCCAAAATGGCAGCCTGCATAGGGATGTCCCGGTTAGAGAAAGCAAAAGAATGGCGCCACCTTGCCCGGAGAGACCTCCAGGGAGCTGGCGACGAGATCCAAGATCGCAGCAAACGCAATTGGAAAACTTGATCAACCTTCAGATTCTCGAAGATAGATTCTTTCGAAATGATTCCCGCAAGCTGCTGTCGTTCACCACGTTTATCTCTGTAGTGCTCCTGCTTCCCACAACATTCCACCTCACAAAGACACTATGAAGCTCCTTTCTTGCCCAGTCGTTCGTCCACATGTACCCGGTGGACACGATTCCTCAGGTGTGCCTCAAAATTCTCGGCACTGGGCAGGTAAGTCTTTCCGGGAGGACAATCAAGGCATCTAATGCGTGGCACATATTTGTGCGGGAAGGATCTGTTCGTTTCATTTGCGGACACAAGCTTTTGACTCTTCGGGTCCACTGCTGTATGTTTCATATAGCCTTCGAAGCGATCGGTGGGATAGATCTTCCGAAGTCGGTCTAAGTCTTGAGTGAGCCAATCCGGAGGCGGGGGCTGAAGACAACATCATTAGTAGGTGTACTTATATGAGTTCAGCACGATGGACTATACTCACGGGAGGGTGTGCAGCACTGGGCGGGTGATGTGTGGCATCCACAGCGCCTGGAATGTCGGCGGGAGCTGGTACAGGTGATGGCGGTGGAGGCATCGCAGCAAGGTTTAATGGTGCCGCCGAGACAGACCGTGAATGAGTTCCGGGACGTGGGCTACCCTGATTCGAGGCGTTTGAGGCCACTGCTGCCCGATCTTTCGCGCGCTGCGACCGTGTCCAGTCACGTAGTTTTGCCCTTCCTAGCCTCAATGTGATGATCAACTTATCGGGGCCAGACTCTTCGTCGCTGTCTTCCTTGTAGTCCTTTCTTCTGACGGATGCTCGGCCTTCATGATGCGAAGGCGTTATTGAATCCGGCGTTGCAGACCTGGCGGAGGCAAAGCCGCTGAGGTTAGATCGGATGCCGGCGGTCGCAGTTAAAGCAGCGTTCCGCATCCCTCTCGTTCGGGCAGTCCCCTGTTGTAATAGATGTGTGGGAATGGCAGGAGAGTCTGGTCCCGAATCCTCGCTGTCCGATTCGTCCGAGTCTTCTAGTCCATCTCGTTGGCCGGCACCGCGGGCAGATCTTCGAGCAGACTTGGTGATGCGGAAGATCCGACTTTCCTCCAAGCTCAAAGCACCTCCAGGAATGACAGAAGAGATAACCAGTGATCGAATGGTCCGCTGCCGATCCTTGAGATCCGGCAGTGCTGGTCCACCCCTACGATTGGTAGATCTCTTTTGTCTTCTCTGTTCCCGAGAAATTGACAGCTCTGTGCGCTCCAAATCTGCTTCGTTGAGCTCGTATAAATAAGGGGTGTAGTCTTTGGCTGCCTGATAGGGTCGAAAGGTGCCAGGTAGAGGAGAGGGTAAGAAGTTTTCTCGTAAATCAGGATCCTCCACAGGTCGGCCATCGAAGGGATAACCGGTTATATGCAAAGATTTCGAAAATAGCTGGCATTGTTCACGTATGGAATGGGCAATTGCGGTGGTGAACTCTCCTGCCAGGGACAAATCGTTCGTCATCTGACGGGCAAATTCTTCCGGCGAATTGAAAGGGTTATTGAGCTCCCATTCGAATTGATCGATCAGTGTATTTTGGCCGATTGTGATGTTCAACTTAATCAAGATTCGCATCTCGTCGTTTTTGTACGCAAAGTATGGCTGAGATGGGTCCAATGGTTCTTCATCAGTGTATATCTGGGGGCAGTAGTCGGTGATCTGTTCGCGGATACTGGCTGCCACGGCTTGAACAAGTGGACGACAAGCTGCAACTTCGAGACCAAAGTCTTCGACCAGCTTTTCGGCGAAGTAATCCACGGACAGTGTGTGATCATGAAGGTTCCAGGTGAATGTGTCGCGCAGTCTGATTTTACCCCAATCGATGTCTAGCCGGATCGGTACCAGGTCTTCGCTTTGCTCTGCTTGCAGGATTTGCTCCTTGCGAGACACATGTGGAGGCATCGTTTTCCGTTTTCCAGGCCTTCTCTGCCGCGGATATATGATGGGATCGCGGATGTTCCTCTCGTCCGTCCTAGGATTCCCGAACCCTTCATAGCCATATCCAAAAACAGAACCCGGATCATGTTCGCGTCTCGGTCGTAGACTTTGGTAGAAGGCAGCCTCTTGTTTCTTTTGGTGCGATAGCGTTGGGTGATTGATCTGTTCAGCCAAGAGGGCCTTGTAATGGTACTCGCGCTGGACGTACTCATCGGCCTGGATTCGCTCGATGGGGGTTTCGCGCTTGCGTTTACGGTTTGCATTGGGATGTGCATCTTGGCCATTGGGCTCACCGGGAGTGTCATTCTTGGAGATGTCGATGCCGGAGGCCGCTAGAACTTCTTTGGCTTTTTCCTTGCCGTGGGCGATGGATTCGATGCTGTTGGAGGTGGTGACGGTAGGAGAGTCTGTAGGCGCGGCTACCGCAGTCGCACCATCTGGAGAATTGCTCATGGCGGCGACATATCACAAGATCTTGAAGGAAATACGGGGTGGGAGGCCAATCGCGGTGTGACGCGTTCCTGTTGATGGAGTTAGCCATGTGGACAAATCTTGCAACGAAATCTGGCGAAGGAGGCGACGGCAGCGGCAGCTAGGGTGGTAGAGGCAGCTCCATCACCAAGATGGACGTCCACCGTCAATTCCCACGATAACACGCCGACAGCGATCGATGGAAGGGATACATACCAGATCCGCCTCGGCTGCAGTCGATGCGCACAAACGTGTCTGGGATGGATCAATTCTCGACTCAATTGCGGCAGTTTCGCGTCCGGAACAACCAATCGCCCAATCAGGCTTAGCAGGGATTCTGGAGCAACGCCCAACCTTCGCTCGCCCTGCCGAAGCCGAACGTAGTCTTCTCATTACGGCATCCTGACCCGGCTTTGCCTGGGAGAGATGAGAGATCGTTGCAAGAGAGCGCTATCCACCCAGGCTAGGTCTGCTTTACGGAGTACACAGCAAGCAGCAGTATTGGGGCTACCCAATGGCGGGCGTAGTACGCCTCTGAAGCTGAGCAGCCCGTCTCACGTGACTATGTTGAGCAAGGTTTTGCAGGATCACGTGGATACATGTAATTACCTGGTATCTGTTACAGGCAGGTACCTACCTAGGTACCTAGGTATTATCGACGTCATGTCATCCGCAGGCTCAACTGCACCTTCAGGTTCTGTTCTCGTCAACGATGGTCGTGCCCGACAACCAACACCTGAACAATGAACAACTTTGCTTCATTGTACATTGGGCTTGCATGTCCTAGACACTAATTGCTACCTACGCAGCTATTATGTCTCTTTGCAAATACTTTGACATGATTGGAATGTTTTTGTAACAGTGTGTGGTATCTATCTTCATTGCTTCATCTGTGCCTACGACCGCTTCATTCCAGATGCTGGTCACTCGGTCAGTAGGACCTCAGTTTTCCAGCTCCGGTCCGAAAGGCGTTGTCTACGAGTTGATTTTGCATTCATTATTGGACCTCAATTCGTCCTTGTTACTCGCGGGGAGACCACCCACCCCGTAACAGTCCTGCCCTCACTGCTCCCAAGCTTCGAGAAACAGCCATCATGGGTGATGCATCATCTCCTCCACAGGCACCACGCCATGTGTGCTCACAGGAGACCCCGGCCATGTCCCTTGTCCCATTGCGGATCATTACGCACAACATCCGCTTTGCAAACACCAGTCCGGAGACACATGAATGCTTATGGGAGGATCGATTTCCGCACCTATCGAGCCACTTCAAGTACCACACGCGTCCACACTTTGCTCCGCAGTCAACATTGGTTTGCATGCAAGAAGTTCTCCATCGACAGATGCAAGATCTGATCAAACATACATTCAACACCGCCCGTTCCAAGGCCGTATCCACCCCAGGTCCCAACCAGGAGGTCGTCCCCACGGATGACAACGATTGGACGTTTGTCGGCGTCGGCCGCAATGACGGCAAGACTAAAGGCGAGTATAGCCCTATCTTCTTCCGTAAATCAGCGTGGAGACTTTTGCATTTCGAAACGGTGTGGTTGAATGAGACCGGAGAGGTGGGCAAAAAGGGATGGGACGCCTCGAGCATCCGGATCTTGACTTGTGCTGTTCTGGAGTCGTCCCTCTCGTCCGCTGCCTCTAGCATCCAACAGACCTCCTCAACATCAGAGAACAACAGAATCATCCTTGCCCTTAATACTCACCTCGACGATCAAGGTGCAGTATCGCGCCGGGAGGCTACCAAGCTGATCATGAAAGTGGCCTCGCGACTGAAGTCGAAATACTCGCCGCAGTTTACATTTCTGGCTGGAGACCTAAACAGCCATCCAAGCGATGATGCGTATCAGCTCCTCAATGCACCTGGATCGAACTTTGTGGATGCACGTCGCTTGGTGCCTGATGATAAAAATGTAGAAGGGAAGCTATATGCGTACGGCAATGAGCTTACGTTCACCGGTTTTGCGGGTGATGTGGGAGCGGGAGGTAGGCACAGAATTGATTTCATCCACCTAGAGGTTTCAGGAGGGCCGAGCAACGAGGCGGAACTGGAAAAACTGAAGGAGATGGTCCAGGTCTATGGAGTCCTCCCAAGCCGGTTCGATGACCATGTGTGGATGAGCGACCATCGTGCGGTTGTTGTGGATCTGCTGGTTACTTTGGGGAGTCACTGATTGTGCATCACTTATGGTAGCGTGTCGGGATACATGACAAGGAACGTACGACGGCGTGCCCAGAGGAGGTAGATGACGAGCAGCGGGCTGCTTCTGAAATGTACCTAGCAGGTAGGAATGTTTCCTTTAGGCGCACGAATAGACTTGGGTACCATCAGAACGTAATCTATGCGTCTATGGGATATTGCTGCGGCACGGTCCTGATCGTTCTACTCAACATGAAGTCCAGCCCAATTTCAAGTTACTCTACTTCATCTTCATCATTGTTTTCTGACCTTGCCTCGTCTCTGTTTTCCTCATCGCCTCAGAGTGCGTGCCAGAATGAGTAACAGTATATGTAACAACTACTTCGATCCTAGGTACAGTAATTAGTGAAGATCTTTCTACACTCTCCGTCCTACTATATGTTCTACAGTTCTCCTAAGAGCAGATATCCATTTTTTTGCAGTCACGAGGTCAGCACAGGGTGCAACATCTGTCGTAGACCTCGACAGAGCGTACGGCTTATCAGACTTTCAGTCCTCGCCAATGGCAAAATTCAATTAATAGCTTGACCGTCTCCTTCGCCAAATGATCGGATGGTCAATTGGCCGGTTGCTCGCAAGACGGCACCCTTTTCGGCCATGGTGGATACGCCATTCATATCTCTTGTCTGACGGGAAATATACCGCCTGCGTCTGCCGTCTGGTGGTGTGTCTGCACGCAGTGTTGATTAGTGACGCTGTCAGACATGACATTTTCCTCCGCCCGGCCCGGTTCACCTAGGTGCGGTTGACGGTTGACGGTTGACGGTTGCCTACCTGCTAAGCTGATATAGAAATCTGTCGATGACCACTTCAGCCATCCTTCGTCCGCCGCCTCATCTTTCACGTAGACCGGATGTCAACCGAGTCATAAACCATAAGTCATAAAAAGATCGAGGCCATCACCGCTCAGGCTGCCCTTCGTCTGTCATGGCGCTCCAATTCCCCGACTTCCTCAGTACGTATCGGTTCTGGATCGCTTCCTCACTATTCTGCTCGAATCTGCTGGTCAGATATGCCCCGAATTACTCCATCCGTCACTCCTACACATGGACAGCCTCGGCGGCCTACCTTCTCTGCTGGCTGATCTACGCCGTATACTGCGTCCTCATCTATCCTCACTTTGTCAGTCCTCTGCGGCACCTCCCCAATGTACCGGGTGGCTCGCTCTTCAACGGCCAATGGTCTGTCGTGGTCAAAGAGCCGTCCGGCATGCCTCTTCGACGATGGGCAAATGAGATCCCCAACGAGGGGCTGCTTCGGTACCTCCATCTCTTCAACCGCGAGCGCCTCCTGATCACCAATCCCAAGGCCCTTGCCGAAGTTCTGACCACCAAGAGCTACGACTTCATCAAACCTGGACTCGTCCGCAATGGCCTTGCCCAGGTTCTGGGCGTTGGAATCCTTCTTGCCGAGGGCGACGAGCATAAAGCACAGCGGAAGAATCTCATGCCGGCCTTCCACTTCCGGCACATCAAGGAGCTGTATCCTATCTTCTGGTCCAAGGCCATGGAGCTGGTGCATTGCATCCAAGCGGAGCTGAAGCCGGAAGCCGGAGTCGAATCTTCCATCGAGATTGGCGACTGGGCTAGTCGGGCCACGCTTGACATTATCGGCACCACTGGCATGGGCCAGGAGTTCAATGCTCTCCGGGACCCGACAAATGAGCTGAATCGCGTCTACCGTGCTGCGTTCCAACCCGACCGCGCCGCCCAACTCCTTGCGCTGCTACAGTTCATCCTGCCGTCGTTCATCTTGCGCAGCCTTCCGCTGGCGCGCAACCGGACTGTGCAAGCGGCCGCGAAGGTTGCCCGCGACACGTGCCGGCGGCTGGTGGAGCAGAAGAAGCGACGTCTCGCCAACAAGGAGCCTATGCAGCCGGACATCACCTCGGTGGCCCTCGAGTCCGGCGGCTTCACGGACGATGAACTGGTCGACAACATGATGACATTTCTGGCTGCGGGACACGAGACGACTGCTTCTGCATTCACCTGGGCGGTGTACATGCTGTGCCAGCACCCAGAGATCCAGACCCGTCTGAGGCAGGAAGTCCACTCACACATCCCAAACCCCGGTCCGGAGATGCAGATCACGCATGACCTCATCGACCACATGCCCTACCTGCACGCCGTGTGTCAGGAGACGCTGCGGCTGTGGGCGCCTGTACCATTGACCCTGCGCCTCGCGGCTGCCAACACGTCGATTCTCGGCCATTTCGTGCCCAAGAACACCATCATCATCCTCTCACCGTGGGCCGTCAACAACAACGTTGAGATGTGGGGCCCCGATGCCGACAAATTCAATCCAGACCGCTGGACTGCCCCTGGTCAAGCCAACGCCGGGGGTGCCGTCAGCAACTACGCCTTCCTCACCTTCCTGCACGGGCCGAGAAGCTGTATCGGCATGAAGTTCGCCCAGGCCGAGTTCGCATGTCTGCTTGCCGCATTCGTGGCCTCGTTCGAGACGACTCTGGCGGACCCGGACGAGAAGATGGAAATCAAAGGCGGGGTCACGGCGAGGCCCAAGAATGGACTCCGAGTGTGTCTCAAGAGCGTGCCGTGGGGACTGAGCAGCCGAACAGAGCTGCTTTGATGTTTCCTCATAGGTCTCCCGCTTCCAGGTTATGTTTAGATACACTCCTGCACGCATATGATATAGTACACTCCTGCACGTATATGATATAGGGGTCCGGAAAGCCTCCAATGTATATATGGGGTGCTTGGCGAACGCTCTTCCCACGATCTGGGATATGGGCCGTATGAGATATGAAGTGGATTGGAGATTGGAGTTGGGAGAATCGTACATTTAAAACGCAGGGTGTCTGTTTGTACAGGCTGACTCAATTTGATAAGAGCATGGTGTGCTGCCTGCCTAGGAAAGTAAATCGCTAGTTCACGCTTTTTGGTCGTCCTGGTCCGCAAAGGACTCCCTCGCAAGTGTTGTCGGGCAGAATTAAACACCATCCTCCTATTCACTCAATTCGCCGAGTTCACTCAGCTCACTTTCGTCCTCACTCGCTCTTCTTTTCCTCTTGTTCTCCTTCTGATCACCCCTACCGTTCTTCTTTCCAAAGGCAAGAGTCGTCTGGCCCTTCTCCTGCCCCAGTTTCTTGGCGACACTCTTCCTCTCCTTCTCCATTTTCTTGTCAAACTGCGCCTGCATTTCGTCTCTCTCCTTTCTCCCTCTCTCGCTCAAGTCCTCCTCAAGGCTCTTGAACTCTTCGCTTTCTGGGTCCATCCCAATCAAGCTCTCGAGCAATTTGATCTCCGTGGCCCAGATGGACTTGTCGTCTATCATCTTCTTCCCAGTCCGGTCCTCCGGGTCCGGCTTCTCACACGGTGTTTCCAGAATCAACGGCAGGCCTTGGAAACGCGGCTCATTCATGACATTGTGGAACGCACGGAGACCGAGAAACCCCAGCCCGATGTTTTGGTGCAGATCCCTGTGGCTGCTGAAAGGCGCCTTGGAATCATTGAGATGGAGTGCTTTCAGGTACTGCATGCCTACAATCTCATCGAATTCATCCAGTGTCTTCTTGAAGGCGTCAGGTGATCGGAGATCATAGCCTGCCGCAAAGGCGTGGCAGGTATCGATACAGACGCCGATTCGAGATTGATACTCGGGCTTGATTTGGGCGATCACTTCTCGAAGATCCGAGAATCGCCCTCCAATTAAGGTCCCGTGTCCCGCCATGTTTTCGAGTAACGGGACAACAGTGCTCGTCTCGGACAGCGCGCGGTTGAGATTGTTGGCAAGCCGCGTCACGGCTTCGGCGAACGGAGTCTGGCCCGCTGTACCGGGATGAAAGTTGTAGTAGCGAATTCCGAGGGCTTCGCAACGGTGCAGATCGTCAATGAAGGCCCCGTAAGACTGTTGCGCCTTGTCCTTGTCTTCAGTAGCCAGGTTGACTAGGTATGACCCGTGAGGCACAATGTGTGCTTTCCCGTCGTAGTTGTGCTCTATCAGCCCCTTGAGGAACGCATCCCGGTTCTCATCTTTCAGTGGAGGATTCTCCCATTTGCGCTGAGACTTGAGAAAACATGCGAATGCATTGCCGCCGATGTGGACGCAGTTGGTAATGGCATTCTCCACCCCTTTGGCTACACTCGTGTGAGCGCCAACAAACATCTTCAGCCCAACGGCTCTCGCGGCGAGGGGGATGGCGTCGGCATCCTTTTCCTCCTTGGTCTTGCGCTGTCGCTTGGGCTTTTTGACCTCCACATCCTCCTCAGAGTTGGGCTGTTTCATGTCATCTTCAACAGCGTCCGCAGCCTCAGACTCGAGTTTTCTTCTGATTATCTTCCTGCTTCCAGCACTGGTCTTTTCGACTCTGACTTCCTTTTCTTCCTGCACCGTCAATGAGCCGTTCGGGGCCGCTGTGACTGTTATCCGGTCCTCTTCTTTGACCTTCAGATTGGATTCCTTGCGATTCCTTTGCGGAGCGCGGGGGCTAGCAGTCGGCGGTGGTTCTTTGGTTGGTCCTCCGTGCCTTGTATTTAGTTGACTGACTGTTTCGGTGTCCGAGAGTACCAAGCCACCCCGCTTGCGCTTCCTGTTGGTGGTCGTAGCTGTACTGGCAGGCGAAGTGGTGGCCAATTTGGCCTTGCGAGGAGCGGGCATTCTGGATACTGGCCGCCAGGCAAGTGTGGAATAGATTCTTCGTAGGCGGACTCCCATCACATTATGTGATGGAGCCCATGAACGATCGACAAGACGCGGTCGTCGCGGGAGACGCGTTAAGCGGTTAAGCGACTCGGCTCACTTTCCTCGAGCAAGCCTGCGCCCGTGCCGCATTTCACAACTCTTCCTCGACTCTGTAAGTTGGGGTTGAAGGGCCGCCTGAATCTATGCTCGAAAGCTGTCATCTGCTATCATGGCGGACTACGATGCTACGGATACTACCCTTAAGCTCTCCGATACGGACACCGACAGTAGCGAAGATGAGTCCGAGGAAGAGCAGGTCGAAACCCTTGTTGCTGGTCGGGAGCGACGAAAGACTGCTGGCAACCGCTATGATAGGGATATGGTCTTAGAGGAAGTTGCAGCCGTTGACGAAGACGCCGATGAGGTTACTCTCTTGTTCGCCGACAATGAAGATGAAGAGGACGAAGAATTCAAAAGCAGCGAAGAAGAGGAGGATGCCGACCTGTCTTCCAGTGATGACGACGACCAGGGCCCGAACGCCGCCGTAGATGATCTTGACGGAGAAAAGGAGTTGGAAAAGCAAGCTAAACAGGAACGAGCAAAGAAACGCCGAGCAGACCTAGCACTTACAAGCGTGGCGGGACTAAGAAAGAAACTGAAGACAGATCCTACTCGACCAGCTGCACTGCTCTCTCAGGCCAAGCCGTCCAAGAAGAAGGAAAGAGTAACATGGGTCCACGATCCTGATTCTGGTCGGAGTTCCCTTCGCAAGCAGACGATTGCTCATCGAGCGGAGACCATCGCCCGCTTGAAGGAAAGCGAAGCGCAGAGCAAAAAGCTGAAAGCACTCAAGGAGCAACGGGACCGGGAACGTGCAAAGGATGCTCCGAAAGAACTTACTCAGGCTGACAGGTTGGCTGAAGCAGCCCGAATCGAAAAACAGAACGCTAAAAGTCTCAATCGTTGGGAGACGATGGAGAAGAAGAGGCAAGAGGAACAGGCCGCAAAGCTGGCCGCGCTGAAAAACAGAAAACTGGAAGGCCCTGTGATATCCTGGTGGAGTGCAAGGGCTACATGGATAGGGCCAAAACTCAGCAAGATCGGCACAAAGGACGCTGGAGACGTCAAAGAGGGTGGCGTCGAGACGAAGAAGCGTGGCAGGAAGTCGAAAGCGTTTCTGGAGCAGCAAGCTGCCGTCAAAGAGGCGGAACGGGGAACACCATTGCCACAGAATATGAGTGTAGATACGCCAGTATCAACGCAAGTAACCGCCCCGGCACCGGCAGCAGCACCAGCAGCAGCACCAGCGGTGCCCTCTTCGACGTCAATTGAGCGTGAAGAGCCTCTTCAAGATAAGAAATCAGATGCTACACCCGCACCCGAAATCGACCAACCGCAAATCCCGCTTGCTGCTCCGCAGCAGGAAGATACCTTTCTGAAAGGCATACATGAGTACGCTACATTGGAAGAAGACAGCAATGCCATGGTGGATAACCCTGTCTCCGCTCCTCCTCAGGATCTGAATGCGCAACAAGCTAGAGACCAGAACCTAGAGGAGCAGCCAAAATCAGGAGATTTGTCCAACCTGGCCACGTCCCGATCCATTCAGACCGAGGAGACCAAGCAGACCGAGCAGACCGAGCAGACCAAGCAGACCGAGAGTGAGCCCGACCAAACTCCCCCAGATCTTATCCTCAAAGCAAAGACATCACAATCGGCCCAATCGGTGCACCCTCCAAAGACAGAAGGGCCTCCGATGACAGTCTCGACTGCGGAGAAAGGTTCCTCAGCGCCTGAGCCTTTGCTAGAGGTTGGAATTCCATCAGCTACAGAGCCTCGCTCAGCGCCTGAGCATTTACCAACGACTGGGCCTTCATTAGGTACAGAACCTCCCTCGGCGCCTGAGCCTTCATCAACAACTGGACCTCCATTAATTAAAGAACTTCCCTCGGCGCCTGAGCCTTCATCAACGACTGAACCTCCATTAATTACAGAACTTCCCTCGGCGCCTGAGCCTTCATCAACAACTGGACCTCCATTAATTAAAGAACTTCCCTCGGCGCCTGAGCCTTCATCAACGACTGGACCTCCATTAATTACAGAACTTCCCTCGGCGCCTGAGCCTTCATCAACGACTGAACCTCCGTTAATTACAGAACTTCCCTCGGCGCCTGAGCCTTCATCAACGACTGAACCTCCATTAGGTACAGAACCTCACTTGACGTCCGCAGTGGCATCAGCTCCCGAACCGGAACCAGTTGTCGAGAGCTCAACACGAAATATCGTGATATTGGAAAGGTTCGAAGAGCTCTCTCCTGAGTCCCGACAAGAATATTCCTTCTTTTTCAACACTCGCAAGGCACCCAAACTAGTGAAGCACAGTCAAGAGCTGTGTCCTATCACAACCTTGCCTGTGCGGTACCGGGACACCTCCACAGGAATAGGATTTGCCAACGTGGTTGGGTACAAGAAGCTCCAGGAATTGAAACAACATCGATTCGCCTGGAGCAGCATGCTTGGGTGCTATGTTGGTCGAGATGATGGAGTGGTTGCGCGTGGAGTACCAGAAGGGTTTGTGGACAAGTAAAGATACACACAGTGTACGGAGTACTCTGTAGAGTCTAGACAGTGGTGGACGTTGAAAGTACAGTGACAAGGTCACTTGGTGGTCCGAGGGCCCAATAGCCTCGTTGGCAGCTAGCCCTTAGCCAACACAACTTGACCAGAGCCTGGCCAGAGATTGCAGATCGGGGCGTCATACGAGCAGTAATGAGACAACGACTGATAAGAGCGCAAGGCGCATGATTGTTCCTGCACTGTGGCCGCGTGAATGCTGCTCCTTGACGCGAATTTACCCTCTGATGGCGGCTGGAGAGAATAAGCGAGAGGAGAAGTATACGGAGTATGTGTCCCTCCTGTAGCCGTGTGGTGTATGGTGTAAGGCTGCGAGCTGATGGGCTAATCATACTACGAGACGTACTCCGTACATAAGCTAGGATGAGGAACCACGGCATCCGGATTCGGATCATGATCAGACAGCCATTTCTTACGTAGGAATTCTAGACCGCCTGCCTCAGCCGGCCGGCTAGTAGATTTCCATCCCCGTTAGGCCTTGACTTTATCGGGTGTAGATGGGGAGGAAAGCCGCGGCAGCCCCTAAGCTTGTGGACTGACCAGGTCTGGGTGCCCCTAAGCCCGCACCTTATCTACTTAGCTTCCTATATCTCCCTCTATAAACAGCCTAAGCCCCTCAGCCGCCCAAGTGCATTAGGCCCCGACCGGGGACTTGGAATGCGGTGAGCACCTATACCCCTGCCTGCAACACAACACCACTCGACTCACCGTCCCCCTCGTCCCATAACTTTTTGGCCCGTCTCGCCTCGCCTCGCCTCTCCCATACTAGTACTCTGTACACCGTACACCGCACACCGTACGAGTACATATATTCCTGATGCCGCTCTCAATGGGGGAGAGTACCTCTACAGACCCCAAACACTTCCCTCATGGCAAATCCCCCGGCCGAAAGGCAGGCCGCCCCAAGCCTCTGAAGCGGCGGAGCATGCACGGCACTGGCAGCGGTGACTCAACTCCACGCATCCTGACTCCGACCGACAACAAGGCCAAAGAGAAGGAGATGGCAGCCAGTTTCCTGCAATACTGGTGAGACGCATATTTGTGTTGATGAGCATTCCATTCCGCCTTGTTTCTAACACGCGATCCAGCGCCATGTGTGAGAAACAAATCATGACTCCTTGCAACTCGATCCTCTATTGCAGCGAAGCGTGAGTCACAACACGACCCCTCCTCCCAGTGATGTTGGACCAACTTCGGATCCTAACAAATGTCGCAGCTGCCGTCGCAAAGACTCGGCGAAGCCTCTGTCGGCATCATCCATCGCCTCGCCGCCACGAGCAGCCTCGATTCCTGCGTCGCCTCATCCTACTACTCTGCCTGTGCACACGGCCAGTACTTCGCCTCCCGTATACGATACGCCTGCTCTTCGGATACCGGCCGACATTCATGATGCCAAGTCAGATCTTGACCCGACGGAATGGAAACCCAAGTTAGAGCGCCGTGGGCAGTCCGAGGCGTTTCGATATCTGTCACGATTCAACCACACCATGAACGCATCTGCATCTGATACCCCCCCTCGTCATGATGTACAACAGCTTGAGCGGCCTGCCACGTGGCGGCACAGAAGCACTATGAGCATGAGCATGAGCACGAGCACCAGCACGACCACCATGACCACCCCCAGTTTGGGCAACACCCCGACTACGACGGCGTCTAGTTTCGACAGCATCTACTACGATTTCAATCTGCGTCCTCTCCCACCGCGCCAGAACCCATTGTACTCGACCGGCGCCGGCACCTACAAAGGCATTGACTTGGTCACGCCTCACATTCCTCCTCCTCTGGATGTGGACACTGTCGGTTCGGGTTCTGTGCCAACTGTCGCCCTGGACAATGACTTCTGGGGCAAGAAGGCTGTCGTTCCCGGCTCCACCCCACAGGGCAATGGCCTCAGAGCGCTCTTCGGGAAGGACAACTAGCTGTCTTCTTCTCTCGAGGAAGACGGTCCAAAATGTGGCGCATGATGGGGTAACCTGAGGACGAACACGAACCCTCGGTTCTGCAACGCAAATAGTAGGCATGATGAGGCCAAGTGGCTACTTTCCACAGAGGGAATCTGGCATGTGTTGTTTTTTCCTTGCTTTCTCTTCAGAGCCTTTCCTTCTGCCGCGACAAATGGGGGATAGGTCTAGACTAAATACAAATACACAGCTAGCAGGAGACATCTTCCCCTTTACTGCTACGCATACATGTTGCCCTGGAGTCGGCTTTATGTCTTGTAATGAATCATCGTCAATGCGTTCTTTCCTTGTCCTGTCAAGCTTCACTCAAATGTACTCGACGGACTCAGGTTGGGTTCTTTGCCCACCTCATACATGATCGGTCTGATCTCGTTCTCAGCCTGAGGTACAATAATAGACCCGAGACACGAGAGGCCCATCACCAGTAGTGCACCATCACACATCACACTTGCTAACGCCGTCACCATCTCATTTCCATGTGCATGGTCCCTCTCTCGCCCATCTGAGCGTGAGCGTGGGAACCGCGACTGGGACCGCAACCACACCACAGCGGCCACGTCACAACTGTGCAACCGTCACATCGTATCACGTAATACAGCAATGCAAACGACGCCGGGGCTCCCTTTTAATTCGAGGTCCTTGCCGTCAGCATCTCACCATACCTTCCTCTCTCCCTCGTGGTGTCGTAGGCGCTGAGAATTCTGGTCTGCTGGCCGGCCTCGTCGCCTGCTGAGAAGGCGTAGCCTCGCTGTTTCCTCATTCTTTGGACCTGGCGCACTTTCCGTACCGCCTTTTGGAACTGCTCCATGCGCGGCCGGTAGTCCTGGACGTTGTACTTCTGGATCTCCTGGACATGATGGTACGCCTGCGGGTAGTACATACGTTTGGCGTATTTCCAGGCAAAGTCGCGCAGGAGACATGCCGGCGGCAGGATGAGACACATGGCGTAGAACATGGGGGACGAAAACATGACGGGAATAATGCCGTCGAGCTCCGTCGAGAAGCCCGAGCCAATGTTGGGAGCGGCGTACGAGTATGCGGGGATGAAAGCTAACCAGATCACAAAGGACCCTGGGATCGCAAGTACTGTGTACTTAGTCCAGACATTGGTGATGAGCGCGGCTTTGCCGAGCACAACCAACAAAATCGCTGTGTACGTTGAAGTGCCCCATAGCCAGTGGCCGCCGATCTTGCCGTTTGACAGAACCAAATCATCGTAGAAGAAGTAGGACGAGAAGATATACGCCAGGATCGAGTGGTAGAAGCCGTTCGCCACCCACGACCAGAACGAGTGCATGCGGAAGAAGAGTCCTTTCTGGGTCAACTGGTATAGTTGTGGGTACCGATCCAGTAGTCTCGCTGAGATGAATTGGTCGAAGATGCCCATGGCGAAAGGGGGTAGAACCGTGAACAAGACGTTATAGAAGGATAGCGTCCACGACTCGTAGATGACCTGGCCTGAGAAAGCGTTCTGGAATGAATACTAAAGAAACACAGGGTTAGTGCTTGATCGGTCAGGACCCGCGTCACCGGCGTTCGACCTACCCAGAACTGTGTCATAAACATGGCGATATTTTTGTAGAAGGAGTACAGGATGACCTTGCTGATGCGCTGATAACTCCACGCTCCATGCACCAAGAGTAGTTTTCTCAGATAGCGAAATTGTCCAATCGCGACATCGGCGCTTCGTGCAGCCTGGAGACCTTCCACACCACTGATACCGACACCGACGTGGGCTGCTTGGATCATGGAGACATCATTGGCGCCATCTCCAACCGCTAGAAGAAGAGCCTTCAAATGCCGTTTGACTAGTTTGACGACCAGTGCCTTCTGCAGGGGCGACACTCTGCAGCATATGACGGCCCTGCACATGACAGCCAGGTCGAGGAACAACTTTTCCATGTCTTTCTCCAATGCGAACAACAAGGATTTCCCATCAATTACTAGGGCGAGTGTGTCATACTCGCCAGATGCGGCCTGACTGCGCACTGCATCATACTTCTTCTGCAGACTCTCCCTCGTCGCCGCAGATGATTCCTCATTGATGATGAGTAGAGTCATATCTTCGCTGATCAGTTTGCAACTCATTCCAATGTTGATGGCTGTCTCCTGTCTGTCGCCCGTGAGAACCCACACTTTGATTCCCGCGGTTTGCAACGTATGGATGGTTTCGGGCACTCCATCTTGTAGTCGGTCTTCAATGGCAGTTGCTCCTAGTAAAAAGAGATCATGCTCAATGATTTCTGCAGCCTTGTCGAGCTCCTCGGCACGATTTCCTCCAACGGTTGTGGCAGCCTTGTCGAAAATTTGTTTCCATTCCTGATATTCTTCCTCCGGGATTTCACGCATGGCAAGACAGAGCGTCCGTAGACCGTCCGTGGCATAGTCCTCCAGATGCTGCAATGTTACATCGACAATGGGGTTGTCTTTGGCCAATCGCTCCAGGATCACAGTGTCAGCTCCTTTACAATAGACCCGGATCTTGCCGTCCGGACATCGAAAGATTGTTGACATACGCTTCCGAGTCGAATTGAATTCACAAACTGCCAGAAGCTCGTACTCCAGGACTTGTCCGTCAACTTGGATAATCACAGCACGTGGTTTGCGAGCCACAAATTGATAGCCAAGCATCATGGCGCCCTCAACAAGAGCCCCCTCGTCAGGAGAAGCAGCCTGATATTTGATCTCAGACTTTTCGTCCTTGCGCTCAGGTATGACCGTATGGCAAGTGGACAAGAGTGTGAGAAAGTGGTGAATGGCAGACCTACTTGGATGCGTTTCAAGATTTTCTCCCAGTCGCTTGAAGTCATGGATTCCGCTGGTGTCATCAGGGCCAGCGGCTCTTCTGTCTTCGGGCACAATGCCTGCATATTGAATGCCGCCTATGGTGCATTGCCTGAATTCCATGACATTGCAGGTCAAAGTGCCGGTTTTGTCTGAAAAAATGTACTCAATCTGGCCCAATTCCTCCACGAGCGATGAGGTTCGACAGATTGTAGGGGTGTCGGTGTCGGGATAATAGATGTCGAGGTCGTTGTTGATAAGGAAAGCTTGATAGTATTTCACCAACTCAATTGTCACAAACAGGGATATCGGCACCAAATTAGAATAAAGGACCCAGTATGTGAAGATGTCCAAGAAAAATTGTGAGGCGGCGTTGAAACTGCCATAGTACAAGTATGTCAACTTCTCCCCAGCGGTCGACCGTACAATGATGTCTCCGATCGTGCTGATGGCACTCAGGACCAGGAGGATGGCCACGAGCATGAGAATTTGCTTATTGAGCATTCGCTCCACGTTGGTACGCTTGATGGGTGTCGCGGTCGCATTGCGCATCAGTTTCGTTTCATGGCCGGTGAAGACAACTACTCCATGCACCCACGGGGTGTTCCTGAGAGTTGCTCCCCTCAGTAGGAGTTGATCAGGCGTCAAAGGCAGCTCCTTCTCACGTCCTCCGCCAGCCATGGTTAAAGTGGCCTCGTAGGTGTACAGACTGCTGTTTGGTTGCTCCGACCGAACACGTCCAGCAAGTCGTCCAAGGTCCGCGGGACTGACCAGATGAGCCGTCTCCGGAATGGCTTGCTTGATTTTCAGGTTCGTCTCGCCGTCCAGGTTGGCCGTTTCAATGTAGCAGAGCCCTTCTGGCTCCGAACTAGCCAGAAGAACCAGATCTGCCGGAAACGGCTCTTCCGATTCGACTCGGACAATATCACCGACAGCAACGTTGATCCATTTCGTTTCCACAAAATTGGTGCCTTTGAGAACCTGGGCCTTTGAATCGTTCAGGGACTTGTCTGAAGTTTTTCGCTTGTAGTCCTCGACTAATTCCTTGATAGCAGAAACCAAGAGCACAATGATCAGGGGAACAATGGTTGTGTATCGATTCGTGGGAGAAACATTGGGTATCTGTTGGAGGACGGCGGTGAACAAGAAAAATAGGTTGGCGTACTTGGAGAATTGTTCCAGCAAGAATTTCGGAATGAACGTAGCTACGTTGTATTTGGCGGTGGAGATATGATTGTCGACCCATCTGTTTGCAGCATTACCCGTCGAGTTGTTGAGTTGGATGATTCTGGGACCGAGAGTAGATGGGTCGACTTTCTTCCTTCCAAACGCAGCTTTGACATTGTCGAAAGAGAACACTTTCTTTTCGTGAACAGGGTTTCTCTCTTCGGTTCCGGATGTGTCGACTCGTGAACCTTGCATACCCGCTTCTGTCAAGGGCAGGTTCATGTCGGAGTAATTGCTGTCTCGCATTCCAAGAATGCCTTTGGCCCTGTCGACCATTCCCGACATGGACATGATGCTGGTTCGATTTCCCCCATGATGGCCTCCGACAACTTTAACACCTCCGCCAGGTATATTATCATCCGACGGACCTCCGCCATCGTAATATTTGTACCCTCCGTCATCTTCACCGTACTCCTCGCCCTCTTCGTACTGTGCGTAGTTGTTCAACTCGGAGGTTTGAGAGTAATTCCGCGAGCCATCGGTCATGTAAGGGGCGGCAAAGGGCCGAGTAGGCAACGTTATCGGTTGGTGTTGGTCATGGGGTGCTCCTCTGCCTCCCCCGACGAAGTCGTCGTAACTAGTCGAAGGTCTCGGCTCGGGTTGGAATTCATCGGAGTCGTCAATGTTGTATCTCTGCAGCAATTGTGAATCATCCACAGGAGGTCGCTGTCCCGAACTGTAAACTGGCGTTGAACTCCCAATGTCGACAAGATTGTTGCTGTGATCCGAAGCTTCAGGCGCATTCGGCCTCCCGGCCATCTCTCGCGGCGGACAAACGATGTATGTGGTTGAAATGAACGGCTCTACCGTTCCATAGGGACTGGATGCGTAGGTCGGAATCATTCAGAGATGCCGCACGTCGTTATGGTCATGACCACAGGGGGGATTTGGGCGCGGGAGAGGAGATGTCAGCGTGGTTGGAGTGTTCAGTCTAGTCTGGGACGAGGCGTGGCGGGCGCAGGCGGAGCAGCTTGAAGTTGAGTGCCTGGCATTGCCAGCAGCCAGTGACAATAATGGAGTCAGCGGGCAGTTTGGGCCAACAACCGACGCACTAATGTTACAGCTGACATTCCCGCAATTCCGACGCAGACAGAGCGGAGCAGGAGTTGAACCCTGGGTGTTATACTCCAGGTATCTGTTACAATAGGTACGGAATATCCTGATTCCTTCTAGCTGCCTTCCGTGGAGTCGGGACGAACTCTCCTAACCGCCCTCCATCGACTGCTTGGGGCATAATCCATCAGGTTAATAATAACACCACCACCAAGAAGATCGGGCTTCTAGGTAACCAGCAGATTTTCACCAAGCCCCGTCCAGCATGTCCGATTCGTCGTGCAAGGAATGAAAGCCATACAATTTGTGGTAACCTGAGACCGGCACTGCCACACTGGCTCAATTAACTGGAGAGGGTACCACCAACAAGACTTGAGCCACCTCTCTTGCGTGTACACATCTACACTTCTTCCACGCTGATCATCTGTCGTTCTCAGCGCGTAATTCGGCGATCAGGCCGCCGACATCGCGTCTGGTTGCGTCCTCGGCCAACTTTCTGGCCACAAACCCATTGATCTCTTTGCCCTTGGCTAAGGCTGTAGTGGTGCATTTGAGGAGAACCAACGCATCTATCGCGCTCCCTCCCAGTTTTGCGACTTGACAGAGTTCCCAATCGTTGACCGTAAGAACCATTTCTGCTTCCCGGACCTGTTCTTCACTGCGTGTCGCATCCAGCAATATGGTCTCTCCTCCGTGGTAGAAACTGAAGGTGATACACACTGGATTGTGCATCATGCTCAGTGGGACGGGAACTCGTTCTGCCATGGTGTATATGGTCACATTCTCGCCATCGACGGACACATCAGGTCTTCGAAAGTGTCGCAGTGCTGCAACAATGGCAATACAAGACGCGTCAATGAGTCCGCCGTCGGAATCAAGAACATGGACATCAGCCCTGATAGACCAGCACTTGGCCCCTGCAATAATACATAATGATTCCGTGTCGATGGCATTGGATCTGCGTATGGCTTTTTCGAGTGTCCTAGAGAGGATGAGCTCCTGCTCGGTCTGCCTGCACGTTGTAAGTTAGCGGACGGCGAAAACCCAAGGAGAAAGAGTGCCCAACCTGCCAACTTCATACGCTGGAGAGGCGATGGGACTGAGTTCCGTGACAATACTAAAAACTCCCTCGAACTTGCGCTCTTCCAGAGGCTTCGTCACCTCAGCGGAAACCTGCACGTGAACTCTATACTCAACAATTCAGTATTGAGATGGAACTGAGACCGTGGAGTCACTCTAACCTTGTTTTGCCTAAACGTAGCGTGACTGTTCCATATTCGACTCCAAATTCTAGGTTCAGATCTCTCAGTTGGTCGAGACGCCGACCATCCACGCGGACATCTTGTCCAAGAGCTTCGAGGATGAAGTTCCGCTCGATATTCGATATATCGATCTCACGAGGCATTCTTTTGAGACAGCATCCAGCAACTATGATGGCTTATATTCGGGAGAACCAACATTGGCACAGAGTTCAACTGGCAGCTATCAGACGAGCGTATAGTCCTCAGCAGAATGTGTTGGCTGTGGGAGAAATGCCCCGTTCATGAGTTTGATCTTGTAGATGGGTTGATACATGAATCTGGAACTTTTTTCGCCCGCAGTGGCTTAACTTCGGGGCCAATCAGCGCCAAGTAAAAGACTAAGTCGTGGAGCTGCGGTCGGTGGTCTTCTCGATAGGTATCTTGAAGATCTGCAATATGGAACTTTTGTCCTCGCCTGCCAGACCTCAGAGTTGACCTTCTTTTCTCGCCTGGACCTTTTAATTCTCGATATATTGTTGGGTCTTTCTTCGTTGTAGCTCCCAGTCTCTCCTAGCACCACCATGACAACAGGTAAATGAGATTTCTGCGACGATTTAACTAGACCTACAGGCTGACTCTGCATCCAGCGCACCGGCCGACCTTCGACCCTGCACGTGGCAAAGAAGCTCAGAGGGGTACTGCGTACCATCAACGACTTCTTCCAGCACATACCTTCCTCAAAGTTCGGTGAGTCTTCTTCGTCTTCATTGCGCCGGCAAGACTCTAACATCGCCAGGCAACCGGGCCAAGGTGGAGCAGCAGATCCTCAAGATCGCGATCTAAGAGCAGAACTACTCGCGGCAGAAGCAGCCCACTTCGCAAAGACCAAGGGCACAACAGCCGAAGCTGCAAGTAGTCCCCCGCAGACCCTGAAACGCGAACTCGAGGGCCCCCCCAGCGATGACGAGAAAGAAGATCCCGAAGCGAAACGAAGAAGGATTCTAGAAGAGACGCGGGAAATTGACGCAGACTCTGGTGGCAGCGACAGCGAAAGTAGCGACGAGGAAAGCGACGAGGAAGACGAAACAGCCGAGTTGATGCGTGAACTGGAGAAGATCAAACGAGAACGAGCAGAGCAAAAAGCCAGGGAAGAGGCTGAACAGGCCAAAGAAGCCCAAGATCGGCGCGAAGAAGACATTGCACTCGGCAACCCATTACTCAATCCCAAAGCATTCAATGTCAAGAGGCGGTGGGACGACGACGTGATTTTCAAAAACCAGGCCAGAGGTACAGAGCAGAAGGGCAACAAGGAATTTGTCAATGTACGTCCATGCAGACTCCCAAGGCCATGGAAGGGTAGACTGACAAGCAACAGGACTTGCTACGATCGGATTTTCACAAAAAGTTCATGGTATGTCACCCTCGCCAACAATCCTGAGCAAACGTTGACTTGTTTCTAGTCCAAATATGTGCGGTAGTCGTGGGTGTAAGTCGCCACACATGATACTGATCTCGACGAGAGACACACATGTTGTAGTTGCACACTATCTCTAAGGAGCCCTTACCCTTATGATAGGGACAGCACGCTTGAGAAGCGCTTATGCGAGTGCTGCTGCTGAGAATGCTTGATGCTAGACGAGGGGCGGAGCGACTACCGTGGAGACCGAGTTCAGCTGAAGGGGGAGCAGAGCGGCCATCAAGCGTGGCGCTACGACACAAACCGGTTTAGGGCAAGCCACAAGGCAGGCAGGCTCTTCAGGGGCAGTGCTGAGTGCATTGCTGGCACTTGCCATGTCTTGCGAGGGGCTGCGGAGGGGTTGGATCTAGGATGAGGATGCTCTATCGCCATCGCCATCGCCATCACCATCGCCAACGCCAACAGTGCTCTGGTCGTGGATTGGATACTACTGGTCGTTGGTGGCCTGACTGGACCAGAGAAGCCGCGATGGGACGGCAAGACGCACGGCGGTGAAGGATGCGGGCAGGATTTGAAGCAAATCAAGGTACGGTACTACTCCGTACCTTGTGCTGGTACAAAATCAAGCATGCTAAGCACCGGGGGGGCCGTGTGGTGTGTGGAAGGGATGCGTCACAGTGGTCGGGATGCACGTCATGGCGGAGGCGAAGTGCAGAGCGTGACTTGAGGCTTCAGTGTCAGTGGTCGATGGAGCAACTGCGGGGAGCGGTGTCGTACCTTGTATGTAGATGACGAGCACGAAGATGGGCTGATGGGCCCTAAGCCCAACCCGAAGCTTCGACACCATCTCCGTCCCTCCTCTGGCACCTTTATCGAAACATGCTAACCGTGTGTTCTGTCTCTTGTGTGGCCAATTCAGCTTCAGCTCCTGTCAAAATGATGTCCGCTCCATGCTCCGTCTCAGCGGCAGAACAAATTCTTGAGCTGCATGGGTTGCTCGGGTCCACGCGTGCCCGGCCGGTGTTTGTGCTCCTCTCCTCCAATCTGAACCGAGCGCAGTGACGGATCTCTCCAGCCGGTGATACCTTGCAAGCTGAAGTTGCCTTCCACATGTGCCTTGTTTGATGCCGGGTCCTTCTACCAGTCATCGGCCATTGGCTGTGATCAGCGTTTCCGCGTTCCCTGGCTGCAACTGACGTGCTTGCTTGATTGCTTGCGCAAGAAGGTTGACCGTTCCTTCCTTGATTTCATACCCTCCGCTTGCCTTATAAATAAATGCCCCCGCTCTGTCAAGCCCTGGGGACGGTCATCCATCTTCACAGAACATTCTAACTGCACCCTCAAACCCACTTACTCAAAATCTTACACTGAACTAAAGGAGAGCCTGAGCAAACATGTCTTACAACGATGACAATGTAAGGACTCTGACCATCTGGCCTCCTGGCCCTCTTGGAGCTCGAAGTGCTAACATGCTTTAGCAACGTGGTGGCTCGTATGGCGGTGACAGCTATGGTGTACGCCTTCCCTCTATCCTCCTGTCCACGCTGGCTCACACTATCTAGTCCTCTGGTCAAGGCAACGACAGCTATGGCTCCTCTGGTCAAGGCAACGATAGCTATGGCTCCTCAGGCCGCACCGGCGGAGGCCTAGGATCCGACGATACCTACGGTAGTTCAGGTCGCACTGGAGGAACCTCGGGCGGCGGCTACGACGATTCTAGCCGCACCGGTGGCAGCTCCGGTGGCGGCTTCGGTGGCGACGATACCTACGGAGGCAGTGGCCGAACCGGAGGTGGCCTAGGAAATGATGACACTTACGGTAGCTCTGGAAACACTGGTGGGTTCGGCTCTGGCCAAGGCAATGATTTTGGTGGTAAGCTACCTTCTGTCCAAACAATCATCACTTGACCGTGCACAACATCTGATGGCAGATCTGCATACGTAGGCAGTGGCAGAACCGGTGGTCAATCCTCCGGTGGCTTCGGCACAAGTGATGACACCTACGGTTCGAGCACAGGCGGCAGCGGTGGCTATGGGGACGACCGCTCTGGATCTCGCCGAGATGACTTCGGCTCTGGTGGTCGCACTGGCGGCGGACTTGGTACGCATGACATACCCATTGGGGTCGAATCCCGAACATTTGTACTCATCTGACCTAGGCACCGATGATACTTACGGTGATGCCAGTCGTACTGGCGGTGGCTCTACTGGCAGTGACAACGATTATGTAAGGAGTCTTTGTGAATCTCTCCTTGTATGAACAGAACGACTAACCTTTCATGTTGCAGGGCTTGGGCTCGGGTCGCACTCAACAACAAAATCAAGGCGGCTATGGCGGTGGCAGCCGCGATGACGACTATTCAAGTGGTAAGGGGGGAGACTCTACCACCGGCAAAATCTTGGAGAAAGCCGGCAGTCTTTTCGGCAGCGGCAAGATCCAGGAGAAGGGTGCGGAGAAGAGACGTGATGCTGGTGGCGACGACTCCAACTATTGAACAATATCATTCCTTCAAGGCGAAAGCTGATGGATGCATGGAGGAAGGAGGAAAGACGTGAACTACTCCAAGAGGAGTACTCCCTAGTCTACCGAATGTATTGATACCTTCGCAAGGACGACGGATCCGATCGTTATCCAAATAGCAATACAAGTGCCACAAGTCTACAAGATATTTGTCCCATCATACTGTAATGAGGTGTTATAATTGTTGTATCTTTGATAATCACTCATACTTCAGGCCCGGCCAGTATGAATATGCCACCAAGGTATTGTGGACGCTTGTGGCAGTGGCAGCGTATGGCTATGGCTTTGGCTATTGTGGTGGTGGTGGTGGTGGTGGTGGTGGTGGGCTGGGTCAGTGCTATATCCCCTCGTATGATTAATAGGTGTTACGAGAGTGAGGATGAGGCTGGCACACGGGTCAGGGTTACAGCTCGTAGTAGGATCCCACACGTGTATCATTGTTTAGATTCACTATCCTTTGTGTGTTTGTGTGTGTGCAAGGCAAACCGTCAGGGTGACCTATTTAGATAGGTCACGGCCTCTCAGATGGTTGAGAGAAATCATCACTCCTTGCCACAACTCAAGCTTCTTCAATCATCGTCTCTCCCATCCCACCACACGAATCTCCACACCGGATTTCCCATCGTCATACCAAGCATCGTCGTCTTCTCCTGTATTCGTCGCCAGGCTGGTGCTGGAGGACGTCTGTCCTTGCGCGTCGCCACTGGCTGGTATCTCCTGGCCCTGGCACTGCGGCACCTCGACGCCGTCGACCCATTCCCTCAGCCGCTGCGGAGGCACGGGCTTCCATTTGGCGGACTTGATGCTCGGGTCGGCAGGCAGTGCGTCGGGAAAGAAGGTGTCACATTCGAAATCGACCTCCGGCCCGCCGTCGCCACCGCCGGCCTCGATGTTCGGGCAACGAACGCGCCGCACTTGGGTCTGCAGAATCCGCACGTCAAATTCGCCATCCGTTTCGCCGTCCGTATCGGTCTCGGTCCCCGTCGAGCGTTGACTGGTGGACGGGACAGCGGCTCCGGAGGATTTGTCGCGCTTGCCGACCCCGATAGTAGACATGGACGTAGACGCCAGCGACAGGATTTGGCTGTAGATCTCGGCGCCGCCGATGCAGAAGATTTTGTCGATTGATATGCCGGTGTCGCGACTTGGAGCCTCGGCTCCACCGCCGGTTGGAAGGGGGATGGGTGATGGGGAGGACAGGAGGACCAGCGTGGACGCGATGGAGGAGGAAACTAAGATCGGTGCCTGTGTCGAAGAAGACGAGGAGGAGGACGACGGCGTGACAATCGTAGTCGTAGTCGTGCCAGGTGTCGGGATGGTGTTCTTGGATATTTGCGGCCGGGTGTTGGCCCTCGCCGGCGAGGGAATCTCGCAGACCGTCCAGTCCACGTCGGCATTCTGCTTCTGAGACTTCAAGTCGTCTGCGATCTGCTGGCCCACGTCTCTGGGGTTGCTGCGCGTGATGACCAAGTTCAATCGGCCGGCCAGCGGACGGAACTTTGGTGGAATGCTCTCCCACGTCTTCCGACCCATTATGACGGCATTGAGGGTTCGGGTGCGGGTGGGTAGATTTGTCGATGGTGATGGTGATGTTGTTGGTGCTGCTGCTGCTGTCGTCGATGAAACTTGAGTAGTGGCTTTCCGGAAAAATGCCATGTCCGCCTTGATCGGGGGCCACGGCAGCCCGCCCGCCTGGCCAATGCCCATGGGCGGGTTGAGGCTCGTCGCGACAATCACGTAGATCGGCTTCGGGTGCACGGTGACGGGCCTGATGGTGGTGGTGGTGGTCTTGATGATCCGTTGAGCGGACGACTGCATTGTCGTCTCGTGGTCGTCGGCGTCGTCGCTGTCGTCCGTCACCTCGAAGGCTGTGCTGGGGAGTTCGGTGGGCGACGGCGGTGCTGAGAGGGTCGTCGACGGGGGTGTAGGGATTGTCGACATGGTTTGGTCGAAGGTGAGTGGTGAGAGATGAGAGTTGAGAGGTGAGTGATGAGATCTCAGTAGTGTGCAATGTAGGAGTGATTAGCACACAGTTGAGGCTTGTCTTCAATCCTGCTGTGGGGTGTCGATCGTGGTGTTCAAGTTGCAATTAATCTGTATCTCTATCCCTTATTTTGTCGTCGGTCGTCACCAAGCTTTGATATCAGCGCTGACAGTACTACGGGATGTTCCCCTTGTTTATGTCAACCGCGTTTGCCTTCTTTTCTCTGCTACCTTGCTTAGGAGAGCGACCGACCGTCTATAGTGGGAGTGCGTCGCGTGCATTCTCACGCCACATGCACGTACTAGGTAGGACTAGTTGTCGACAAGTGCGGCTGAGAAGCTGAGAATACTAGAATAGATTGAGAGAGTGCGTTGTCCTTTTCGGGCCAATGCGTCCGACGCGTTCTAGATCCCGCGCCAAATTCATTCTAGACCGCGACCAACCCGTCTCGTGTCTCCGAGACTGAGACGCGAGCTGATCTCAACATCGAATTGGAATTGCCGGTAATAGCACTCGGTGCACTACTGTTATTGTTATATTCCCGGTACTCCCAGGGTCTAATGCATGTGCGAAAATAAAGCAAGATCGGGTTACACGACGACTTCGATTTGCCCCAGGAGCAGCCGCCAGCTGTCAGGGACTGGTATATGGGTCGCTAGCTATGGTCTCCCAAAGACCTCACGAGCCTCATTTTCAACGCATAGCACCACCTGAGTGGCAGCAATGAGCTAGCCAGTCGAAGGAGCGACGTATAAAATGACTCCAGCCATCATCAATACTCAACGGTGCGTAGGCCTGCGAAAAGCGGTTGATGGCGCGTGGTATGAAGAATGTGGTAAGATAATGTTGCCGAGGGAAAGGCACTGCGGCATGAGAACTTCTCGGCTGGAATGATGGTGTCTTTCGTCTCAGGGGCTTGCGTGGATTTGGCCTGCCCGCCGTACATTGCGAACCATAGCTGCTGACCCTTGTGTAGTGGCATGACTGTGCTACCGGCGAAGTTGAGCATCTTTATTTCCCTCCGCTGTTCCAAAAGGACTGGCTGGTGAGGCCTGCCACAAACGTTCAGTTTCCAGTTGGTCCAGGCACTTTCAGCCTAGCTCAGGTCATCGACTCGTGGTACTTAGATGGGACAGAAACATCTTGTTCGTCTGTCCACGAGCTGAGGAATTTAACTGGGAACCTGGGGTAGAGTATACTCCGCTTCATCATAGAATCAGCGATACGAGTGGACCTGATGATTGCCCACCAAAACAAACCCCGAAATAGACACCAGAATCCTCTTCAACGGGGATGCAGAGTGGCTAAAGTTGAATGCCATATCTGATAGCGCATCATCCGTAGGCGGGGAAGATGCTGATGGCGGTGTCATGATTTGGTTTCCACTGTCTGTAAGCCCGTTCGAGTAGGGTCCAAAATTCATTCAATGAATACGCTGGATTGATGAGGGATCAACCGCCGTGTCCTGCTGTCTCTGTTTCCGGACCATCCAGTTCTAGCGTCGTCTCGTATTTCTCCAGGAATTTCTTAAATCCTTCTTCGACAACTCTGACGTCCTCCTCTAATTTCTGCCTCGCAGCCTCATCTCGTGGATTCTTGTCATCCTCATGATCTCTCTCCAGGGTGTCTAGTCCGCCAAACAGCCATATCTCCTTCATTGTTCGCGTCAGCACTAGGATCTCCTCCGCCGCTCGGATGACAGCTGCGGACTCAACGTCGAGTTGGAACTGTTGCACGGCAGTGTCTATGAGAGATGGAGGAGGCTGATCTCTCGTCGAGGCGGATGTTGTGGTCTCTGCGGCTGTTTCATCAAGGGCGACAGCGAAGATGTTCTCCAGTCTTTTGATCAAAGTGGTCGAGAGCGCAGTTATGCGAGCTTAAGTCAGATAGTTAGAATGAATATGCTCCAGGAGGTTGAGAATGAGAACAAAGAGCAGACTGGGGCAGAGCCTGGACGCAAAAGACGTGCACAATCAGGTTGGCTTACCTTGCAAGAACTTCGCGGTTGGCACAGCATCCTGTATGTTGTCTCTTCTCGCAGTGGAATCCATCTCAGAAATATTGTCTCATTGGGTACGCTCGAACAGAATAGTGTTGTATTAGGTTCTCCAAGAAGCAGCCTGTCCGCCCTTCGTGCTGTACCGACGCATTGAACTCGCCCCTCGTCCACGCAGCAAGTGGAGAAGGCAACGTTGTAAGCCGATATCTTCGATGCAGAGTTATGGAAACCCGATACAGCTTCTAGATAGGTGCTTGAGAGCCATGTCAGAATGGCAGTGCTTTATGCCGCGCGTATCACAAGTTGCAGTCTGCTAGAATTGAGCCTGCGGTACGCATGTGAGACGGCGTTTGAATGCGTGCCTCGAGAGATGCTCCGCGGTATATACTGCTACTGTCGAGTATTCAGATATTCCTGCAGCCAACTGTTTGATCTCACCTCACTTCGACGCTTACTTCTCACTCCCGACACCTACCAGGCTCCAGACCGCACAAACGAGTACGGGACAACCGGAGGTTTATGCATTTGCTATTTCCCGCTCTCAAACACAAGATAGGTCGTTGTGGTGGTGAAATTGTGCCAGGTACGGGTTTTCGCCTCTGGTTGGAAATGGCCAAGCAAGAAGTCTTCTTTTCGGCTTCGTCCTCGTCATCATCATGAATTGCTGCCTGGGGGCTCCATTTGAGTGCTTAAGAGGCTGTGCTATGTCTTAAATTACTTCAGTATCCAATCAACCAGCGGGGAATCGGCCCATGGATACAACGTCTCCCATATGTCTCTGGGGCGTCCCATCTCGAACAGCTGGCCCACAACTGTCTCAGACAGTGCCAGGCACTGTTCTCCACGGCTTCCCAGCATATCCGGCACAGCCTTACCTTTCCTCGCGCAGCTTACAACACAGCAATTCCCATCAGCTAACAGCAACACCAGACCTGACGTCAAGGCAAGCCTGGTGTCTTCTCTTTTGTGGGCCATACGCGTGGTTGCGGAGAAGGCTGGCCCTGATCTGCGAGGCGTTCGGTGTACACGAACGGGTATGCTCCAAACTGTCCTTTGAGACATGCATCCGCTTCCTCGGGACCAATTCCTGCTCCAACTGCAATCGAAAGGCTCAGCATCATGTCGCCGGCTCTTACGGCCGCTGGGGATCAGAGTATGCGGCTGCACAATCAAGGCAGATGGCACTGTCTGACAAAAATCCCCTTTGCGGATTCAGAGGTAACGTCGTTTCGGTCTCAATGCAAGCGCTTCGTCAGACTCATTCCTTTATCCTGTGAGTACTCGCAAGCGTTGCTATTCGTGTTGCCAGGCGTCTCTTGTCCTTCGCCTTCCTGGTCCGCAACTCCACCTAGGATGACCGCAGTCGTTCTACAGATGATTCCTGAGCACTGCCTCGCTCATATGGCGATGTAACTCCACAGAAGCACGAATGTGTTTATGTTCGCCTACAGGGATGATCAATAGCCAGGGTGTTCCGCTAGCTCGTCCCTCGATGATGCTGGGTTTGACCCACGGCTCTCTTCGATCGGTGCATGACAACCGAGTGACGAGCGCTCTCAGAAAACTATAAAGCATCGCTGCCGTTGGCTTTATATGGCTTACATTTTCTTCCCCCCGGGTCACTCACTGGTTTTATTTGATCTGAACTTAATAGTTTCAGGGCACGTTCGTTAAATTCTGCCCAATATGGCAGCTAAATCAATCGTTCTCATCTCCCTCCTGGCTCCTGCTTTTGGAGCAGTGCTTCCCAGAGGTCAAGAGACCTCCCAAACCGGCGGTCAACCATCTGTCGTGACTCAGTCGACACCAGAGGCTTCTACGACTGCCGAAACTGACCAAACCTGGGGTGACTGGACAAGTTCTGTCGTAGCCACCACGACTCAAATTGTACAAACACCGTCCACACAAGCAACGACTGTGTCTTCAAGCTGGGCTGATTGGTCTGGATTGTCATCCACAACACCCGAAGCAACAACATCAACTCAGTTGGCACAGACCTCTACTCAGCCGGCAACAGTCTCCTCAAGTTGGGGAGACTGGACGCAATCATCCAGCACATTGGTGCAGACCTCGACCCAACCAGCAAATAGTCAAACAACGACTAAGCCTGAAGCGACTTCCAGCATTTGGGGTGATTGGACTACATCTTCGGTCCAAACTACCACCTTGGTCACTTCTTCCCAGGTACAGGAAAGCGGATCGGCTGGTTGGTCTGACTGGGCAAGCTCAACTAGCGGGAAGATCACCACCACATCTCAGACAACCCCCGTCGGAACGCAGCCTCAAGGCTCAGCAAGCTCTGGCTGGAATGATTGGACAACATCGCAAACATCCCAACCAGTGAAGGCGACTTCCATTGTCAGCTCTTCTGGATGGTCAGATTGGCAGTCGACTAAGCCATCCCAACCCGCGGTCGAAACTTCCAAGGCTTCCACTACTAGTCAGGCTTCTTCAGGTTGGTCTGACTGGCAAACAGTTCCAGCCTCTTCCAAAACCATTGAAACGACTTCCATTGTGTGGAGCGACTGGCAGACCTCTACAAAACCAGAGACTACCCCAACACCAGCACCGACCACCACCCCATCCAAGGCTCCTGAGGCAAGTAAGAGCTCTCAAGGTTGGGGAGACTGGCAATCAAGCAGCGCTCAACCGGTCACATTGTCAACCACTCCCGCTCCAGCCCCGAGTTCTGCGACTGCTCCGGCTCCTTCCAAGTCCCAGGGATGGAATGACTGGCAATCCAGCTCTGTAGCCCCAACGCCTGAGAAGAGCTCAGCTACTGCTCCATCCCCATCCCCATCCCAGTCCCATGGATGGAGCGATTGGCAGTCCAGCTCTGTAGCTCCGGCACCAGAGAAGAGCAGTGCACCTGCTCCGACCCCTTCAAAATCCCAAGGATGGAATGACTGGCAGTCCAGCTCTGCAGCTCCTGCACCTGTCCCTGCCACAACACCGGCTGAGGCAAAGACCACGCCCACACCTTCATCTAGCCAAGCACCCGCACCAGAACACAGTCAGAGCGTCGCCTGGGGAGACTGGAAGGGCAGCAGCTCCGTTGCGCCGGCCCCGACTGCGGCTCCCGCACCCTCGCCAAAAGAAGAGTGTCAGCAAGAAACCACGACCGTTTACATCACGCAGACGGTGACCAGCTTTGCCGGCGCTGCGCGGCCAACCGGCTCATGGGGGGCCGGAAAGAAACATGGCGGCGATAGCAATGGCCAAGGTCAGGGATGGAAAGACTGGAGCTAGATCGATCGCATGCATTAAGCATTCTCCCTTTCGTCTCGCCGAGTCTCCTGAGCACGTCGATTCTTTAAAAGCGACAGGCCGGAATATCAGGTTCTAAAAAGGCGATTTTGATTTTCTCTTCGCTTTTTTTTGCGCTTAGCTAAAGTCATTCCTTAATGTCTAACTTAAAACATTATTTCGACAATCGATGAATATAACTTATAGACTTCAGCACGAAAATATGTTTCTAAGCAGAGTTGCGTTGAATACTCGAAGCATAATAGCGCTAGAGTCATATATAATATATATATATGTGTGTGTGTGTGTGTGTGTGTGTGTGTGATTCTCGGTCGTCTTTCCTATATGTAACCATGGCCCCTTCAGTGAAAGTTCCAAAACTCCCACTCCCAGGCTACTGAAGCATTACCGACGGACTCGACTGACAATCTGCTCCGTTCTGTAGAGACTGCTGGGGCGGGGGAGACCCTCAGATCAACTTGGTAACCAACTTGCCCGTATTTGCGCCTTCAAACAATCTCAACCAGGTCCTAGGCACGTCCTCGAACTTTGTGGCGACGACCTGCTCGTTGTCGTTGGAGATCTTGAGCTTGCCGTCCTGCACGGCGCGCACGAAGATCTCCAGCGTCTCTTTGGCTTTGGCGAGGTAGTCGAGCACGATGAAGCCCCTGATGGACAGACGCATCGTGATGACCTGGAAGTAGTCTGCAAAAAGAACTTTGGATCAGCTTGGTTTGGTTTGGTTTGGTTTGGTTTGGTTTGCAAAAAGAAAAGAAATGGGACTTTGGATCAGCTTGCTTTGCTTTGTTTTGCTTTGCTTTACATGGAGGAAGAAAAAAAGCTGGTCGGGGCGAGCGGAACAGGAACAGGATCAAAGGTGGCGGGCTGGCTGGCTGGCCGGAAGGGGGGAATCTGCCACTGCATGTATAGTAAAGGAAAATACTTTGGCCACTGCATGTATAGTAAAGCAAAGTACTTTGAGCAGTTTTCAAAGTAAGGGTACGGGACTTACTCTTCAGCACGGTCGGCTCTTGCGAGTTGTAGGCGGAAATGGAGCCGCACGCGACCGAGACGCCGTTCCTCTTCAACCTGGCGAGCATCAGGTCGAGGATGTGGCCCTGGATATTGAGAATTGGTCAACTTCAAGTACGTCGGACAATCCTTAGGCAGTCTTCATTTCGGGGGTTGGAGTTGGGGGTGGACCTACGCCGACATTGTCAAAGTACAAGTCTACGAAGCCGTCGGTCGCTTTGACCAGGTCTTCTTCGAACGTGGCGCTGCGGTAGTTCAGGCATATGTCGGCACCGAGGCTCTCGACCCAGCGGCATTTGTCGTCCGTTCCGGCGATACCGATGACCTGAGAACAGCCGACGATCTGGGATGGTCAACAACAGCCACTGCACTCGACAGTCGACGGGATTCAACATGTGAACAGGCGGTACCGTGGAAAGACGGGTGGGTGAGACGGGTAGCACACACATTCTTTGCAATCTGTACGACCATGCTGCCTGTGGCGCCGGCTGCTCCAGAAACCACCACTCTCATGCCTCGCTGTGCCTCTCCGACGACGACAAGGCCGTAGTATGCCGTGAGACCCGGCCCGCCAAAGGCTCCCAGGTAGTGGGTGAGGCTTAGTCCGTTGGGCAGTGGGTTCCGAGGCTGGCAGCTAGCCGCGTCCAGGACGGCATACTCTGTCCAGTCGAGTGGAGCGAAGACAATGGTCCCTTGGGGCAGACTGGATGCGGTCGAGGCAATGACCTCGCCCAGACCAGAAGAGCCCATGGCCGCGTTGAGCTCGACCGGCGGCCGGTACAGGCGCTCCGGTGAGATGGACGACTCAATGCTCACGCGTTGTGCTGGGTCGTTGGACAGGAAGAGGGTCTTCACTAAAACCTGCTCCGGGCCCAAGGCCGGTAGGGGTCGTTCAACGAGCTTGAATGTAGCATTCTTATCGTCCGATGTCGTGAAGGTTGCGAGGCCTTTGGGATAGTTCGCAACAATCCAGGCTCGGGTGGAAGTCGGAATGGACGCCATCGTGAGGGCAGGGTACCGTCGCTATCGGTCCTCTCTGGATAGGTCCGAAGCCGACCGTGGAATGTCCTGTAGTGGTATTGATCAGTGAGACTCAGTACGCACCGGTGAGGTCTCAATCGAGCTCAGGATAACGATAACGTAGTGACAAAGGTACGAGTTTATTGTGGGCGGTTACTGTAGGCAGAGAAAACACAAGAAAGGGCGATTTCTTATCGAAACTGTGATGCTGACTAAATGTAGCAATCCCATCTCATGATGCTGTGTACTAGTAGTACAGAGGGAGTATCTTATATCTTGCTCGTTCGCTGGCTAAAGGTTGGTTCAGACGCGGACAGCCAACCGAGGTTGGAGAATGGTACGTAGTATGATTGGTGTAGTGTACCCGCCCGGTCGAGCCTCCGACTATCTTAGAGGCCCACGCATATCGAGGAGAACAGAATGCTTACCAATCCAGCAACATCAAACCGGTACAAGTCCGGGAGAGCTGGCTGTTGTTCCATACATGCCATATGGCATCCCATTCGAGGTCATAGCTAACCATCAGTAGCTATCTGTGAAGTATAGGGGGCCGGCTGATGGTGCTCCTGGCCAAGTTCGGGCCCTGGAAACATCGATATGTCCGTTGGTAGCAGTTGTACCTTGCACGACGGCCGTGTCCTCAAAATGCAAGTCGCGATGCAGATCAGACGGTGCTGGTTGATCGTGGGAGGCCACAAGCATAAAACTTCAATCTGCGGCCGTACTCCAATCCTCGGAATGTCTGCTGAAGCACAGCCGGATCCAGGCAGTCCTCAAATGACCCGCAGGGCGTGTCAGGTTCGTGTAGTCGTTGTATTGCCGGTAATCAACTTGCCAGAGGCCACCAGAACATGCTCAGAACCTCTAATGGGGAACTGCCCCGACATCATTTAGAGACACTGGGCCAGAGCGGTTCGGGTTCTGGGAGGTTCTCAGTGGTCTTAAGTCTCAACCATAGAGCCCATCCCACTCTTCTTCCTCATCCTCGGGAGAAGAGTTCTTCTTGATCTCTTCTAACAGTTTCTTTTTCCGATCCCTCTCGCGTTGCGCGAGGTCCTTTCTGTCGAGAGGACAGGTTCCGTTCAAGAGCAGCCAAGGTCTGATGCACTCAAGATCAAAAAGATGACTCGAATGGCAAGGAAGGCGCACCACAAGTGGGTGTGGATCGTCTACAAATGCATTTCCACAGATCGGGCATTCTGCGTCTTTCTTGATCGTCTTGATCTTGACACGCTCCAGTTCAGCAATGTATTCTTCTTCCACACCTTTCACTTCCCGAGGTGGTTGTTCAGCGGAGCTCATCAATGCCTCAATCATGTTTTGAAGGAGATCCGAGTCGGCATGCTCATTTTCTCTTTGTATGGCTTGGAATGCTTCGGCAAGGGAGGTGAATGCGGCTGACACATCCCCCGGTACGGGAAGGGCGTATTCTCGTGCTCTCTCTTCTGGACGATCGGGTGTGATTTGGGACAGATGATTGAAAAAGGAAGAAAGATCTGGTCTGCGAGGACGGGTTTCGGATTGCTCTGTTCGATCAATCCCATGTTCGGCTGATGTTCCGGCGTCAGCATTGTGTTGTAGGAGCCCCAAGATAGACGTCCTTACTCTCATAGCTTGCCATTATTGCAACGGCTGGTAGTAGGACTAGGCAGTCAAATACAAGTGGGTAGAAGGTGGACGGCGTCCGAGGAGGGGAAGACGAGGTGCAACGAGGAATTTAAGTGCTGCGAACAACCCAGGCACGAGTTGATGGCGTGGCACGAAGGGCCTGCATGCGGCAGGGAGCCGATTAAGGAAGCCTGTACGGATGTATGGAGACGAACACCAGTCCGGAGGAGCTCAGTCGACTAAATCCAGGCGCCCAAGGAGAATACAATAGGTAGTAGTAGTGGGTAGTAGGCAGAACAAATGAAGGGTCGTGCGTACCGTTATATGTGTAGGAAATACCAACCTAGCACCTATAGCACCTACCTAGACACCTACTAGGCACCTACTAGGTATTAATAGTCGGCGCCACAAACTAATGGCGCCACAGACGCCACAGACGCCGCCGTGGTGGTGTTCAGGTTGCTGACAAGATCAGCCACAAGCTCCAGCCACTTCCCGTGCCAGCCGCAATCCGCTTCAACCTCAACCGTACCATCACGACCTGAATCAAATACTCTCCTCCTTCTCCTCCTTCTCCCCATCTAGATCTGCATCACCAATGCCACTGTGACTAGCTCCCTCATCGGAGCCCTCCATCAGTTCCCTCCCTGTCACAATGTCGCGTCCTCCCGACCCATGATCCATCAGTAAGACCACCATCGCGCCCATGGAGGCCGACTGGGATGAAATCACTCGCATCGCAGTGCCCTCTTCTGGCCTGCATGCAATTCCCACACCGGCCAGCGCTGTGGCCTTTGATGATCAACAAGAACTCTTGTGGGTTGGCAACGATCAGGTAAGTGTAGGAGATCGTCGAGGCCATTACCAACCCCCACGTAGGACTCACACCTCCATTCTAGGGACGAGTGACGGCTTTCTATGGGCCGGAGTTGCAGCGATATGTTTCTATCAAGGCTCATCTCGGCGAAGGGCCCGTCAAGCAGTTCTTAGTCCACGAAAAAGGGATTGTGTCCATCTCGGCCTCAAGTGTCCATCTCGTCACTCGCAGAGGTCTGACTCAATGGCACATCTCCCACCCACTGATGGTTGATCTGCGATGTATGACCTTTGCGTCGTCCGCCAACCTCATCATAGTGGCAGGATGTCAGAGTACCTTCTTCACCATTGACATAGACAAGGGTCAAGTGGTGTCCGAACATGCCGCTCAGGCCAAATACACGATTCTGAAGAAGAGTCGACATATATGTGCAGCTACTGACGATGGCAATGTGCATGTCCTCAGCCTGAACGACTATTCGCTACTCAAAACATGGAAAGCACACTCTACCGCCGTCAACGACATGGATGCACGCAACGATTTCCTGGTCACATGTGGCTTCTCCATCCGACAACTGGGTGTCCCTATTGTTGATCCGTTGGCAAACGTCTACGATCTGAAAACCCTCACGTCTCTACCCCCAATTCCCTTCCACGCAGGGGCTGCATATGTCCGCATGCACCCGAAACTGCAAACAACGAGCTTTGTCGCATCGCAAACGGGCCAAATGCAGGTGGTGGACTTGATGAATCCAGTCAACGTCATGCTCAAGCAAGCAAACGTCCAGTTCATGCTGGGCATGGAAATAGCTCCCTCCGGCGACGCTTTAGTCATTACAGATACGAACGGCCTAATATACCTCTGGGGCTCTCCTTCCAAGGTCCGTTTCAACAACATCAGCAAAGAAACCGACTTCGCAGAGCCAACTCCGCCTCCGACTGCCCACATTGACTGGAATGAGACGCCACTCAACGCAATTGGAATCCCATACTATTCTGAGCCATTACTGTCGGCATGGCCTAGTCACATGGTCTTTGAGGTTGGTGCACCACCTGTGCCGGTGGACCCTTCTCTCTATCCTCACATGCAGCCAGCCGAGATGGGTCATTACGCCCCCAATCTCAATCCAAGAAAGCTTCGGCGGTATCAAGTCGAAGATAAGAGGGCAGGCCAAGCAACTACTTCAATTGCTGCACCCAAGTTTCTCAGTGAAAGGGCGAAAGAAGCGACCGGGAACGGAAATGGCAGGAAGCTCTCCGATGCAGCCGAATCTTTAGCAGGGATTTCTCTCAATGGACGAGCCCAAACCGATGAGGAACGGATGCTCAAGTACAGCAATGTCGAGATCAAGTACAGCAGGTTCGGAGTTGACGACTTCGACTTTCGATATTACAACAAAACGCCTTATTCCGGGTTGGAAACCCACATTGCGAACTCTTTCGTCAACTCCCTCTTGCAGCTCTATCGGTTCATCCCTCTGGTTCGCAATGTCGCCCTACAGCACGCGGCTACCTCGTGTGTTTCAGGAAACTGCCTTCTTTGCGAGTTCGGATTTCTATTTGACATGCTGGAAAAGGCAAAAGGACAGAACTGCCAGGCAACAAATCTCCTCCGAGCATTCGGCGCCTCTAGAGAAGCTGCGAATCTCGGTCTCTTCGAGCAACTATCCCTGGCTAATGGGACCCCACTGTCTACCACGATTCAAGCCGTAAATCGATTCTTCTTGAAACAGATGGCGCACGATTATGCGACAATGGCCACCAACAGCGACGGCATCGACGAAATAATGGCCACCAATGCCTTTGAAGCAATTCGTTGCATCTACTGCAACAACGAAACAACGAAAACGGCCAGCACGTATGTGCATGACATGATCTATCCTCAACTCGACCCCAAACATTCGGCCAAATACCTCAAGTTCTCCTCGATTCTCAAAACGACCATTGAACGAGAAGCAAAGAACAGAGGGTGGTGCAGCCGATGTCGAAGATATCAACAACTCGCCATCCGAAAAACGATTCGGCATTTACCGTCTGTGCTGATGATCAATTCGGCCTTGGCCAGTAGCCCGGCGATGCGTGTATTATGGGAAACTCCAGGCTGGCTTCCGTCCGAGATAGGCATCATCATCCAAGACAGGAACGTATACTGTTTCGAGGGACCGGATCTTGCACTGCATTTGCGAAACAGGTCGCCGAACCTGGTCGTCTACGAGCTTGTCGGCTTCGTGGCTGAAATCGATACCAGTGAAAGACATCAGCCTCATCTCATCAGCATGGTGAACGTCGAGGTTTCTAGCACCGGACCCGAAATCGCCCAAACCCATAAGGTGTTTCCCAACTGGCATCTGTTCAATGACTTCTTGGTGACACCTGTGGATCCCCGAGAAGCGTTGCATTTCAACCAGAACTGGAAGATGGCCAGTGTGGTAGCTTACCAAGTCAAGAGTGCCCATGGCAAGCTTGACCACTCCTGGAAAGAGAACATGGACACCACTTTACTTTACCAACATTATAGTATCAACGGGCTCTACCCCATTGACGAATGCAAGATCCTGACGCCAGATGAACACCCACAACATGGAACGCCGATTGCTCTAGACACGGAATTCGTCGAACTGGAGAAGGCCGAAATCAATGTCAAGGCCGATGGGACTCAAGAGACCATTCGGCCGGCCAAATCCGGCCTTGCTCGAGTTAGCGTCCTGCGTGGACAAGGAGAAATGGAGGGAGAGCCCTTTATCGACGATTATATCACCATCTACGAACCGATTGTCGATTACAAGACACAATACTCTGGAATCCGGCCGGGCGACCTCGACCCCCAGGTTTCGCCTCACAATCTTGTTCCTCTCAAGGTGGCGTACAAAAAGTTGTGGATTCTACTCAATTTGGGCTGCGTCTTCGTCGGACACGGATTGGCATCGGATTTCCGTAAAGTCAACATCCATGTCCCGAAGAGTCAGACGGTTGACACGCAATTTCTGTTTCTGGCCCCGGGCAAGAACCGGCGATTTTCACTACGGTACCTGGCCTGGGCCGTGTTTAAGGAATACATCCAGGAAGAAACATATGACGAGGCCCAGGCGGATGGACATGACAGCATCGAGGACGCGCGCATGGCGTTACGACTGTGGCGGAAGTATCAGGAATACGACGACGCAGGGATTGTGGAACAGATGATAGAAGACATCTATCGTAAAGGTGTCAAGTACGGCTGGAAGCCTCCGTCCCGAAGTATCGGAGGCACACAGTTACCCGATGGTGTTGGCACGGGAGCAGCTAACAGCGCCGTCCCGAGTGGAAGAAACACCCCAGATCTGATGTCGACGACTCCTTTGCCCATCTCACCACCGGCGCCTAGGGGCGGTGGGAGTATTGGAGGTGCGTTCAAATTGAATGCGGCGGGCGCGGGGACTTTTGTACCTGGCAATGGAATTATCAAGGAGAGTCCTCTGCGTTGACGGGGAATTGGAACCATGACAGAGGAAATGTGAGGATGAAGAGGCATTGACGACGGGGAGATCAATCGCTTAGCTCCCTGTGCTTCAGATATAAACAGAAATACAACGAATCAGTCAACTTCTGGTTTCCAGCAGATAAACGGAGACCTCTGTGTAGTGTAGATGTATATGCGTATGCCGGCGTCGTTGGATATGCCTGAAATGGTGAAAGGCCGGGGCATATCATATCACCATACTCGTACGTATGCCTGTCTCATCCACTAGTAGTAGCCTGAAGGCTTAGGCCCGGGAGATGACTGGCGCCCGTGGAGGCTTAGGGCGGTGAACTTGGTCGGCTAGGCCTTAGGGGCCTTAGGCTTAGGCTTAGGGGCCCCTTAGCCTACAAGGGCATTAGGCCTAGGGGCTTAGAAGCTATTTATATCCCTTCAGCCTCTCTGTCCACGACCAACGCAAATGGAGGATGCGACCAACTTCTCCACCCTGCCCCATGAACGCGCACTCCCTCCTTTATTTACTGAGTACGTAGTACGTCGTGACAATCAACAATGTCGGGGGTGGTGATGATGATAATGATGATGGACTACTCCTACAGAGTACAGATGCTCTCCTCCACATAATACGGAGTCCTCCTGTGCAGACTCTGTGTTGCTTCTGGGGTATCTTCCTGCTCGTTTCTCCTTACTATCCCAAGGTATCCGACAACACGAAACGTCTCACATCTGTCCCTACACCAATCCAGCATCGCCGGCTTTAATTCGACCTCTTGCTCGAAACACTTCATTCACTCCCGTCGCCCCAGAGCGTTTACAGTTGGGCAGTCTTCCCCCCAGTTACTGACGACGCAAAGAGCCCTGAGCCTGAGCCCTCTTACGCACGCACTCTAAAGTTCACAGCGCTGTGCGTTGCCCTGAGCGGCGGCCACGCATTGACTGGCCGACTAGCGGAGCGAGCGAAACACTGACAGCACCCGCCTGTCTTTATTTCTACCGGCGATCTACCTCTGACACCCTTTACCCTCTTCACCATGCCGACGAAAATGAAAAGCCGGCCACAGGTGTACCCGCGAGCACCATTCCACATCATCCGAGCCATAGCCTTCGTCTGCGCCAGTATCGTGTCGGGGATATTGATCTACTTCTGCGTCCAGTTGAAGCATGACGACTTCAAACTGCCCTGGACGTTTATAATCGTACGTCTTCATAACCCAATATCTCCACACAGACAAGAGACATAAAAGGAGTGCACTGGAAGGGAACACCCACAACCCACAGAGATCACTTGATCAGGCTAACAAATATCGTCGTTATGTTGAACAGATCCTTGCAGCAACTCTTTCGTCACTCCTGACTTTAGTGCTGTCCAGCATCATCTACTCCTGCGCATTCCTGTCGCCGCTCTTCAATCTATTGACCAACCTCCTGATCCTGATCGTTTGGACGGTCGGCCTGGCCCTGTTGACATGGAACCTATATGGGGCTCTCGGGCATAGCTGTAGCCGGGCGAATTGGGGGTCGGACGACGGCATGATGGTGTGCCGGACGTACAAGGCGCTGTATTCTTTTTCATTATTCGGCTGGCTCGCCCAGATCGCCCAGATCGTTCTCGACGTGCGCAGCCGCCGCACCCAGACTGCTTTGGGCAAATACGACAAAATGATGGTCGACCCAACCCAGCAGCAGGCAGATCTGAAGCTCGACGCCCTTGGCGGCAGCAACAATAGCAGCACTCAATCGGGGTTCTTGACCGACGCCAACACTCGCGATCCTAATGGCACTGGCGCTGATGTACCCTACGGGATCTACGACTATCGCGGCGCTGAAGGCAGGCGTGCTCTCCGAGAAAGAGAAGGAGAGACACAGCGACTTAATGGGGCCCATAACACCAGTCCTTCGAGGGACCACAGGCCGACTCGGGCGTCTTGGGATGCGGACAACGGGTATGGACGCACCGGCACACCGTTGAGGGCGGCCGACTTCAATTATGATCGTGATCGCTATGCGACTCAGACAGGATACGGGAATAGTGGTTATGGATATGGGCCACACCGGTGATACAACTCATATAGCGATCTGTAGCTCGAGAAAGGTACCTGAAGCGACCGCCCTGAACTGTCCAAGTACTGTATCTTCGTCTTTGTCCGCCCTTAACTGTCCAAGTCCTATATCTTCGTCTTCATCCACCCTAAACTGTCACTGTCCAAGCATCTTCCTCGCTAACAGGAGCCTTACGATGAGCGTTACGTCAGGGAGCCTAGCGAGATCATCTACTTGAAATTAGTTAGTGTGGTATCCGTCTAGCCAGAGTGTTTCGCCTATACGTACAGTACGTCGGAATCGGTCGTCCGGGCAGTCCAGGACAATATTCCCAGCTAGCTTGTTTGTCTGGACATTCCAGGACAGCATGGGCCAGCTAGCTGTTTGGTTTGTCGTCTGTCATCTGTTCCCGTAGAGGGCACACGCTGCGCTACAGAGTCTCTGGCATGAATCATGAATACTGAATCCTGTCAAGGTAGTCCTTGAATCCGATCTTTCCCTTTCCTGTTCGTGCCTGGACAACGAGGGAGCCATGAGCCATGAGCCATGAGCCATGAGCCTTAGGCTTAGGGCCCTCGTTATAGGTGGCTGGTGCTTTTTAGGGCAGCGCTGGCTAGTAGCGATCCATTGCTTGCGGTATATGCTACTCTTCACTACATTACATTGCTTGCGGTATGCTTCTCCTCACCACGTATATGTATCGTAGGTACAGTTAGGGTTTGGAAGCTCGTCCCAGTGGCTAGAAGCTCCATCATCGTCTCAAAGCTTATCCCAGTGGCTGGAAGCTCCATACTCGGCATGTAGACCCAGTAGCTAGAAACTCCATACTCAGCATGTAGACCCCAGTAGCTAGAAACTCCATACTCGGCATGTAGACCCCAGCATCGTCTAAAGAGACAAGCAAGTAAGATTTGCGTGAGCATAGCCAAAGGCATCCAGATAGACCATCAACTGGACCACAGCGGCGCATACCACCAGGATGTGGAAGATGGAATGGGAGCCCCATAGGTCGAATTTGCCAGGGTATCGACTTTCAGGAAACCTGGTCTTAGAACCACATGTGTTAGGCCCGGGATCAATTTCTCTCTTTAAGGTGGGTGCAAAAATGGGATGGGAGACTTACTACATAAAACGAAGTGCCAGATAGAAGGCAGCCTGCCTTTGCCAGAGTATAGGGAAACGCTTTTCTCGTCATCTGCGACATGCCGAACACATAGAGTCCATGGATCAAGGGCGCAAGGGCGCAACACCGCACAAGCCAGTCGCCACGAACATCAATGCTCGGAAGAGGCGGTACTTGGAGCCCTGGAACTTGGGATGCATGGTCATGAAGATGGTCAAGGTCCCGAAACATCCAATCTATCAAACGAGGAAAGAAGACGGGGAACGGATACCATTTGCTGTCGTGGCTGAAGATAAAGTAATGTAGGGAGGCCAGATTATGAGAGCAAGTAGAAATGCAGCACGCAGATGAAGAAAGAAGGTTTCCGGTCTTGCTTTATTTCTTGCACTGTTGTACAGAGTATCTTACTACGACTTCGACAGGATTGGGGAACCCTCCAGCTCTACCGGATAATTATCTTTCTAAGATACTTGATATACTCTACGGCCTCCCTAGAGTAATTCCCCTATTTCTAATATTGAAATTCCATGTCTAGAGACAGCAGCTATCTACTGAGACCGCCGTATAATCCGCCATGTATTTTGGCACCCAGCCTGAGCCCTGTCTCACCCATGTTGGGGCCAACGCTTCATGCGCGTGTGCCAGGCGTCTACTGTCCTGAGGTTCTGGGTATGATTGCAGCAAAGCCTGATGCCGACAGAGCGTGATCTGATCAATAAATAGCACACTTCCGCTGATCGACCAATGTTTCTTCCAGCCAAAGAATCCCAGCAAAATCTTTAAGCTCATCATTTCGAATGCGCAACCATGGACAACGACACTGGTTCCCGAAGCCTGCTGCAATCCGTGCTTGGATTCTTCACCTGGAAACAACCGCCAATTTTGGCAAAGCCGGCGTTAGTGAGATCACAGAAACGCGAGGACTGGCTACGGACGGCTGCATTTCTGCCGCACGATGATCCTAGCGAGGCTGACCCAGAGAGCGTTAGAAGGACTCTGTGTGAATGTGAACACCTTGTTCAAGACGACTCCGACTCTGATCGAGAGATGGATTTCGTAGGCATTTTGATACCTACACAGCGAACTCCAGTTCCTGCCTACTAACAACAATTCGAGGAGCAGAGCTTCCAACAACCCGAACATGAGCAGTATCCGACGCTCTGCCGCATGATCGAGAATCCGAACCGCGATCCACATGCCCCTGTCACTCGCAGTGGTAAACGGAAACCAGAATACGACGATGTCATTCAGGAACTTTCGCATTTGGAACACAAGAGAAAGAAGCACCGAGTTCTGCCTCGTGAAGAGCCTCGTGAAAAGCCTCGTGAAAAGCCGACTGATGGGCCCAATCTCGAAGACCGCGATGCCAAATTCGCTCTGCTGATGAGGAGATATCTGGTGTCCTTGGACAATGCGCTGCGAAGACACTGGGTTTGCGTTTGCCAGAAGTGCTCGGGGTTAAGCGTGAGACTGTCGCTGCCACAACACAAAAAGGATCTCGAGGCTGAGGCGAGTTTCGAAGTATTCTTCGGCGTGCGGGCCGTACCTGCAACCGCATTGCAAGAAGCTAAAATCACGGTCAAGTAAGCTCTCGGAGCTTTGTGTGATGACTTCTATTCACTAACACTATCGGTGCAGAGACCTACGCAACAGCACATTGAGGCGCTCATCTGAGCATGTAATTAGCAGCCCACCCGAAATTGCCCACATATGCCAGAGCATCACAGAGTCCGTCGGTGAGCGAAATTGCTTGCATTTCGCTCTCGAGGATGGGGTATTTCAGAGGCTTCGCCCGCAACCGAAGTCATTTGGTAGTGACCGAATATCTCGGACGGTATCCTTGTCGGCATTGTTCAACCGCCAGCAAGAACTACTTGGTGGTGCACCGATACTGTCACGCAAGGGAAAGGAGGTGTTGGCTGTTACACTGGCTTCAGCACTCCTTCCCTTCTTGGAGACACCGTGGCTGCAGTTTTCCTTCAATCACTCAATGATCCAGTTTTTCGAGCCACGGCAGGATGGAGAACTCCCCGATATCACGAAACCTTTCCTGACTCTGGAGCACGTTCCAGCCACCTCAGCCCGCAGTACGCACACCGGAGACAGCTCTGGCGCCTCGAAACACATGGTGCATCACAACGCCAGTGTGCTAGCGCTAGGCATACTCTTGTGCGAGCTTCATTTTTGCACACCTGTCCAGCTGATGGCAAAGAACCCGCAAGTCGCCAGGAACGTCAATGATGATTTTTACACCTGTTGCGATTTGCTTCCGACTCTGGAAGCCGACACTGATGCGGAGTACTATCTCGCTACGAAGGCATGCCTTCTTGAGGAGTACTATCCCAATGGACAGTACACTGACTTCGAGGATGTCAATGTTCAGCGGTTGTTCTACCAAAACGTCGTCAAACGACTTGAGGCCGTGATATTCAACACATACGGCATTCGAATAGAGAATTTGGGTTTATTCGATTCTCGACAGAATGAATCCTATTGGGGCCCTAGCGGTCGAGAATTTGTCCGCCTTCATACAAGCAAGGTCGAAGTCTCTAATGAAAACAATACAGCAAGGGCAAGTCCGTATCGTCCAATTTCTGACACCACGGCCGTGAGCTACGCACCCCTCCACTCAAATCTCGTGCTACGGATGTCGGCCCAACCTTCTTCGGGATCGCAAGCCCACGGACACCTCGCTGAGCGTTCAGAGAAGCGCTTGTACTTTTTTGATGCAAGCCACCAGACGCGTCCTGAAGAAGAGTGAGGTGTTTCCCATTGGCTATAAGACTTCGTCGTACTAATGACCTGCCAGGAACTCACTCTCGGAAAGCTGGATGGAAAATCTGCTGTCCTCGATCCATCCCTATATTGACCTTGATTTCGACCTTGATTTCGACCTTGCCGGACCGGTTCGAGTAGCGATTTTGGACTCTGGACTCGATCCTGAAAATCCATCTCTGATCGAGGACCAAAAACTAGACAATCCACGAATCAAGGAAGCGCGAAGTTTTGTACATGGAACAGAATCGCACGACATTCGAGACGAGATAGGGCACGGTACTCATGCTCTTGGTCTCCTTCTCAAAGTTGCCCCGTGCGCCGAGATCTATGTCGCCAGAATTGCGCGACGAGAAACTCTCGATCCCAATACCTACGATGACATTGCAAAGGCAAGCCTGTCTCTTTACCAGAGCTGCCTTTTTGGACTAAGCTAATGACCTGTGCAGGCCATCAATCACGCAGTTGAACAATGGAAAGTGGACATTATATCAATGTCATTCGGCATTCGTGAATATCACGAGCCCATGAGCACAGCTATATCTAACGCACTGAACAAGCGGACGTTGCTGTTCGCGGCAGCATCGAATGATGGAGCAAATCTTGGCAGAGCTTTTCCAGCTCGATGCCGCGGCGTCTTTTGTATACACTCAACCGATGGAAATGGCAATCCCTCCAATTTCAACCCTACAGCAAGCGAAACGGACGTCAACTTCAGTCTGCTTGGGGAGTGTGTCTCTTCTTACTGGCCGGCTGGCATGAACGGACACGATCAGACTGTCAACGCTATGTCAGGAACATCGGTCGCAACACCGATCGCTGCTGGCCTGGCCGCGTCGGTCCTGTCTTTTGTCCGGCAGCAGGATCAGCACATCGCTGTAGAAAGTGAAAGGCTGGGACCGTGGCTGAAAAGGGACAATTCCATGGATGCAGTCTTCAAGGGTATGGTCAGACGGAGGCGGGGGGTCGGCTACGATTATATCACGCCTCAGGTGCTCTTCGACAGCGGGTCGACAAAGGAGGATGTTTACGGGAGAATCAAGGATATCAAAAGGAACATGTACAAATACTAGTAGAAGTCCAGGCATGGTGTACTCAATTCAACCTCCAATCACACATGGTTCACTCATGTCTATCTCAGCTGTAGTCCAAGATTCATTTAGCATGATAAGCGGGAACGCAATAGACCTTGCCGTTCTCGGTCACATCGGGAACAGGCTCAGCAGTCGCGATAGCAGCTCCATCCACGTCTTCCATCAAAACACATTCGTCGTCATCTTTCTTCCCGCCAACGGTTAAAAAGGCTCCCTTGTTGTACTCTTCAAGCTTCAGTCTGCGCCCAAACTTGAGCCTCTTGACGCGGAAGGCAAACACAAATTCCGACTCGCGATTAGTCTCGGTCGCATCATCATTCGTCCTAGTCCAGTGGCCTTTCGGGCCAAAGGCCGTGCCCAGCGCGGTCACGTCGATGCCAAGGTTCCCTTTGACGGTCGTGCTCTGTGAAGTCGAGTATTTGATCTTGGCGCCCTTGACGAGCTTCATGCCCGTGACGACGAAGAGCTCGCTGACGAGTGCAAACTTCTGCCTAGGCTCTCTCAGCCATGCCTGCACGGCCGGTGCCTTGACGGCCTGTTCCACATATTCCTGGGTCGGCTCGAACGCCAGCGTCGTCAGCGTGTCGAACGCGAACGCATTTGCCGTTCTGTTGGAATGCTCAACGTTCAGCTCGGGACCAAGTGGCAGTCCGCCGGTAGCCAGCTGCAGAAACTGTGCATAGACACCCAACCCGAGCCCTGTCTCAGTTGAAAAAGTCTTCTTCCAGTCAGTCTCCACGACAGGTGGGAATGCATCAGCCACGGCAACAACGCTCGCTCGGTTCAGAGGGTATTGCGGTGTCGATGTGGAGCGCAGGATAGACCCAAGACATAGCGGGCCCGTTGGTGGTGGGTATATGAAATCGGATGTCGGACACAGGAAATATGTCTTGGGAAAGGACATGGCTTCAAGATGATCTAGGCCTTAGGAGCCCAGATACCCGGCTGCCCTTGGGACTGAGAGCAATGATTGAAGGAGCAGAGGAATGTGACTCGTGCCTTTGTGAGACACATGGTGTCACTATCGGCCGCCAACACCGCCGCAAACAGCCGACCTGCTGACCGCTTGCGACCAGCGCGTTTTGTCCTTGTACCTCATGTCCCTAACCCACGGTGAGAAGGCTGAGGCGGACACAAGTGTTTTGACTTTGTCTGACCCTTTCATAGCCTCAGTCGCGATTTACTTACCCACGACCTTTGGAACATCCGTTCATGCAGAGAGATCTTTGTCGCCTTCAGACGAACTCGCTCACCATGGAAAGTCTCGAGCGCGCGGGAGTCGACTCGATTGCAGATGAAGATGTCTTCCTCCAAGATGATCATGGCCTGACCATCGCAGAGCATGCGATACAATGCCAAGCTCTTTTCCACAAGTACATGGACATGCCGGAAATCGTAGACTCTTCTATCATAGAAGACCAGCAGGGTCGCTTTCGGGCGTGGACATGGCGCTGGGATGTTTACGGGCCGCCCAACCTCTCGCTCGACTACAGGCTCCGATTCAGTCCCACGGCCACGGATATCATACATGCGCTCATAAAGCTTATTTGCAATACCTTGCTGTCTTGTGAGTACAAGTCTTTTCCGTGCCACATTCGGATGCATTGAAGAACAAGGCTAATGGGAGTTTCAACACCAGTGAGGACAATTCACGACCGACCACCACACCCTTCGAGCAGAAAGAGACCCCGCCTGTCAGTACATGGCAATCCGGGAGTCACGAGGAGAGCCGACGACGAAGTCGACGACGACGACGACAACAACAACACAAGCGATTCAGAGGCCGCGGACGATCCAGTAGAAGATAATATCTCAAAGATTACCGAGATAATCGGCGGAACAGTGACGCGGCTCAACAGTGTAGCCAAGGCCGCTTGGAAGAATGCCAAAGCCAAGCGGGCTCGCACGATCGAAAGGTACAGAGACGACGAAGAGGCAAACAAGGCCATAGACGAGTTGCGTCTCTACACCAAATGCTATATTGAGTGGCGATTCCCGGAGGCGCCCGAGGCCCTCCGCTCGGCATTGGTTGAAGCCAACGGGATGCGACTTCGACGGCTGTGTTATCAGCGCTCCCATCGAGGGCGCCTTGATCTGAGCATTCAGCGCCCGGTGACTCCGGTCGTTGCGGCCGTCTACGCCAAAACCAGAACTGAGGTTCCCCGGGCCATATCTGTTCTCGTGAACAACAAGTTGTCGTTCCCTCCCATACCGCCGACCCAGCAGTGTCCATACTGCGGCGTCATTGTTGAGTTCGAGAACAAGAACACTGCAGGGTCATTGCTGTGGCAGTAAGCGGATCATTCCTGTCGTTTCGTGGGAACCTGTGGCTAATATGCACTAGAAATCATGTCATCGGAGACCTGGAGCCTTTTATTTGTCTCTCTCCACACTGCCTGGAAGGAGGTCACCACGGGCACGGGACCGGTCCGCTCACATTCGAAACCTCGAAAGCCTGGTCCTACCACATGGAGACTGCTCACGGCGATGCATGGGAGTGCAGGCACCCTTCTCACGCCCCGATCGTCTTTGACCAAGAGATCCAGCACCAGGAGCATTCCATCAAGGAGCACGGCGTGCCCGAAGCCCGCGCCGAGACCTATAGCGACCTCGCTTGGAGGCCCATTGCCCATAAAGTGCTGGAATGTCCATTTGGCGACGGTTTTCAACACTCGGAAAAGGCTGACTTCAACGCTGTCTTCTCGAGTGACGCTCTCGAGTCACACGTCGCCGGTCATATGAAGGAAATTGCTCTGCTTACATTGCAAAAACTTCCCAGCGATGATGACGAGAATGCGGAGAAGGTCGATAGCGACCAACCGTTAGAAGATGATGGGCTGGCCGGGGCCAATCAAATCACACGTGCATCCATGTACAGCGTACTGGACAACATGGATCTGGATTTCCAAAACGATGACGCTGAGGCTGCAGATGGCAATGTGGGACACCGCGAAGAGGACATCAGTGCACGAGCGACAGTGCTCGACCCAGAGGACCAAGACGACTTGGGGAAGACGAAGCTTCACCACGCGGTGCAGGCCGGCGATCTGGGCTTGGTTGAGTCCTTGATCCAGAGCGGTGCACATGTCAATTCCAGCGACCAAAATGGCCAAACGCCTCTTCATTACGCTGCGGAGAGGGGCTTCATCGAGGGCATAGAAGTCTTGGTCATGCACGGTGCGGATTTACGTATCGTTGACAAGTCTGGATTTTCCCCGTTTCTCTGGGCTGTGGTTTCCGGGCAAGAAGGCGCCATTACGAGACTGTTGTCCATGGACGCTGACGCTGGTGCCAATTCATCCAGCGCGGATGGAAAGTCTGCGCTTGCTTGGGCAGCCAGTCTGGGATGGGATTCGACGGCCAAAATGCTGGTTGAACACCGTGCCAGCGTATCTGATGTCGAAGATACGCAGCAGGCTCTGCCTTTGGAAGAAGCAGCAGCTTCTGGCAACCTTGCCATTGTTCGATTGCTCCTCGAATGTGGTGTCGATCCGAACCATCGGGATCGCGATGGTTGGTCCGCCATCCACTGGGCAGCAGAGGAGGGCCATTTGGAGATTGTGCGTTTGTTGCTGGAGGCTGGGGCCAACCCCAATGCTGTCGGCGCCTACGGGACGTCACCATTGCACTGCGCTGCAAATGGAGGGCATGTTTCCATTGCGAACTTGCTCCTCCTCGAGGGAGCCGACCCACTCCAATCAACATGCCACGGCTGGACTGCACTACACCACGCCGCCTTCATGGGCTACTCCCATGTCATCCAGGACCTCTTGAAAGACGACCGCATCCGATCCACTGCCTCTCAGCAGCAGGACAACCACGGCTGGTCCGTTCTTCATTTGGCCATCCTCAGTCGAGATCTAGCCACCGTCCGGATCCTGGCCGACGAAACCGTCATTGCAGAGCCTCTGATCTTGATCGACGAAAGCCGTCTCACTGCAGAAGAATGGCTCGATCGCGCGCCGGCAAGCCATTTCCAGAAAGCCACCGGCAACTTGGCCTTCAGCAAGTCGCGCTGTTGCCGCCCCTTCACAAGCTACCGCCAAGCTGTCACCTCAGCCAACGTCCCAGGACCCATGATTCAAGTTCTGTTCAACTTGGGTCACGACATCAATGGCATGGACTCGGGAAGGAGGACTGCGCTCTACTACGCCGCCAAGAACCGCATGCTTTCTACCATGGATCTTCTTCTTGACCTGGGTGCCGATCCCAACATCCTCCCCGTTGGGCGCAAGAACTGGGAAGAATTTATTTCGGCTGATGACGTCTTACTACGGCTCAACCGAGCAGGATACCGGAAGCGAGATACTACTATCGACCATGAGCTGGAGCGCCAGATTCGTCACGCACTGAGATGGCATGGTCGGCCGCCGTCCGTGCTGGATGAGCTCGTACGAGAATTAGAGGCAAATGACAAGAAGCGCAAGGCATTGTGAGCCCGGACGGATTGGTACAAACGGCTCATAGGTGCAAAGTAGCCACCTCGGTCCCCAAAAGCGAGAGTGAGAGTGGGTGGTGCCGGCCTTGAGCGGGGATTAATATTGACATGACTTGTTCCAACTACGAGTATACTCGTAGCAGCGGTTTTAATAGTCGATTCGAAACTGGCGGATAGGGAGACCTCTGCGCAAGGAAAAAAAAGAGAGAAAAAAAGAGAGAAAAAAAGAAGAAAAAAGAGAAGAAAAAAGAAGAGAAAAGAGAAGGAAAAAAGGATACTGGATTTGATTTCTCCATTACTAGACGTGTTTTGTGTCTAGGTAGCTACCAACCAGGCAGATACTTGATACTTGATACTTGATACTTGATATTTGATATTTGATATTTGATATTTGATATTTGATATTTGATATTTGATATTTGATATTTGATACTTGATACTAGGCCTCAATACTCGATATATTACTCGGTCGAGCTCAAGTGCCGCACATGGTACTCCGTACGGTGTAACCTGCCGTCTATCCGTACACCAGAAGCTCATGGCTGGTTTACTGTATGTAGGTAGGTTGGTTTGGAGTCCCTACAACAACCATAACCACAACAGCTACAACCACCACCACCACCATTGCAGTCCACACGCTGTGTCCATACTAGAACACACCCCGGGCCGCTCCGGCTCCCAAAACAATAACGCTCAATAGACCGTCGGGCTCAATCAACCATCTTCCAAACCTCCCCTCGCCCCCCAAAGAAAAAGGGAGCGTGAGCAAGACTAAACCAACAAGAAGGACAGACAGATTGACTGACTGACTGGCAGCACGCAAAATTGATCCCATTGCAAGAAATGACCTCTTCCATTTTCAAACGCCATCCACGGAAATAGAAACACCCAAAAACAAAGGTCGTTCGGCCAAAAAAAGAGCAAGCAGCGCTTCTCTCTATCCTGGCTTGCTGTGCTCCCTGTTGCGCGCAATGCAATGCAATAGCAATGAGGTAGCGTCATCATATCGTAGCCGGCCTCCATCGGTTGGTCTGGCTCCTGCTCTTGGTCATATCCTTATCCTATCTATCACTGACCACCGCTCCCTGGGTCATCCGCTTTCCCGGTCATGTTGAAGTCACTCCTCTCCATGGCGAAGGGCAGGAAATCGTCTTCGTCCAACCGATTCTCCGGTCGACTTCCACTGTGTCTTCCCCCTCGGATCCACGATCCACCACTTGCAACACTGCTACTCTCCCCATGTCCTGTGCTAGCACCCGCTCCGCTGAAGCTGGAAGGTGATCCTTGTCGGTGTGTGACACGTCGCCCGCCGGATCCAGTGTGAGAGAACCCAGGTCGGTACGGAGTGGCCGATGACCGACCTGAAGGAAGCTCGGAACCAGCTTCATCGGAAGCTAGGGCCGTAGTCGCAAGTCCAGAGTGACGATGAGCTTGGGAGGCACGACGTGGAGCCTCTGTTGTTCGACGTGAGCCGACCCTTTCGGTATTTCCTGTACTCCCCACCGGGTCTTCCTCATCATCTACTCTCGCAGATTCTCTTCGATGGCCACGGCGGTCTGCCCCCATACTGGCACTTCGCATCCCATAGAATCCCGTCACATCATCGTCTGCATTGAGTGGTCTTCGTTGAGCGGAACTCGAACGTTGGTAGCCCGGTAAGAATGGTCTGGGTGAATTAGGTATGTCGATTGCAGTGACATTGGCCGTAGATTGAGTTTGGGCGGTCTCCTCCGTGGGAGCTTCCGACGGTGAGGGCGGCTCTTCAACGGACAGATGGTGCGGTGTATCCCCGTCATCATGACTGTATGCCGCGCTAAGCCGAGAGGGAGCGAAAGGAGTATGAGGAGTATGTGGGGATATTGGTTTTCCAGGGGATGACGAAGTTGATATGGATGTCCCAGCTACCATCGGAGGGACCCCTGACAATTGCCGGCTGGAAGAAGCCGAAGACCGCTGCAACATCAGGGAGGAAGACATGGAATCGGACAATGCAACATTGGAATCTCGCATGCGGTGGAATCGATGCAATGCAGCTGCCGTTCTTCTGGTCGACGCTTCGGCCGCGGCCGAGGCTGGAGATGATAGAAGATCTTTTTGGAGCTCAATCATTTTTAGAAATTCCGAGATGTTCTCCCCGTCATCCTCCGCCACCGAACCCGAACTTCCTCCTCCCGTCGCTGGTTCGGTCATCAATCCTGATCCCGGTTGAGCCGAAGATGTCGCGCTGCCTCTGCCGCTACTGGTTTGGTCATCATCCGTACGCAGCGTGGTACCCCCAGACGACAATCTGGCACGCCTGTGGCTGAAGCTGCTACTGTATCTTGTGACAGGAGCTGGCTTTGGTGAGCTAGATGCCGACGAAGCCACAGCGTTGTCTGAAGCCAATGACCCTGTCCTTCGTCCTGCCTGCGTCGCTGCTGCGGGCGGAGCGATCCCTTCCTCCGTCAAGGATCCCAAGGTTGGTATTCTCGCAGAGTGAGTTCGTGGCGAGCTGGCCAAAGGAGAAGCTCCGAGAGGGGAGGCCGACAGGGTTGGGGTTTTGAACGGTTGGACCGAGAATGAGCTACGTCGATTAACCGCCGCCGCTCTGAGTGAGTTTCGTGAACCTTGAGATGCCGTTGCGTGGGTATGCATCGACGGTCTGACTGGTTCAGGAGTCGGAGGAGAGCTGGCGTTAAAGTCTTGGGCATTACGAAGGGCCGAGATCGGGCTGGTCCCGGGAGCAATGCCCGTTCGGTGGAAAGTGGACAGACTGCCGTAGGCGAGCCCAAGCTCCGGTGACTCCAAAAGGTTCTGTCGGCGGTCAGCAGGCAGAGAGCCAACTTCTGTCCGAGAAGCCTTCTCGCCGGGTAGAGATGGTCGGAAAAGGTCGTCGTCGGCCCCCAGAAATCTAGAACTCAAGAGCTCTTCGGAATCATCTATCCGAAAGTCGCAATTTTGTCGGTAGTCAACCTTGACGGAGAAAGGCCCGGCAGGCGAATCGGTCAGTCCAAAATCGTACGATAATAGAACGTCCGAATTGCTATCAAACAGACGGAGATTGAGATTATCGGAACGCGGTGAGCCGGTCATTTGGGATCCGTCCATCAGCCGATATCCCAGCTTCATTGCCATCGTAGAACGGGCCTTTCCAACCTTCCTCGACAGCTTCCAGGCCGGAAGAAAGTTGCTATAGGTGTAGAGAGACCGGAAGAAGACGATGCTCTTCTTGTAGACCAAAGGGAGGAGAGTAGCCAAGTCTGGAGGAATCGGAGCTGTCTGCTCGCCCAGCTGAATTGTCCATCTTTCCAGAATGACCTCGTTTGAATCGACGGTTCGTCGCTGGCTCCCACGAGAGGCACCACGGGCGGCGGACAGTGTATTCGAGACGTCCCATCTCTTGCCGTCCTCGTCCACGATCACAAGCCTCTGACCTTGAGGCAAAGGATCGGTTGTCAGGAATATCTCAATCACCAAGGGCGGGGGGCGGTTGTCTTCCACGTCACATGTCTTCCATCTCTTGATATCGTCCTTGTACTCGTCAGTCTCATCTATGTCGAGATTGAACCACCGATTCACCCGCTTGGTATCCGTTTTCTGGGAGTAGGCAGGAGCCAGCTCGACTCGAGATTGAAGGATGATTAGGGCCGCCTTTGCATGGTAGTTCTGGATGACCTGGTTCAACCTCTGCATTTGGACTCCGGGGTTGTCCGCAGGTTGGTCTTGTCGTGCACTTGCAAAGTCCTCCGAGGAACCAGACCCTTGGGTGAGAGGCGAATTTGTTCGTAGGGCCTGGATGTCTCGATCTCTTGGGTTATTGGTCCGAGTAGGATTCGTCTGCTCAGAGTTCGCGGGTGACGCGGTAACAGGTGGTGGGCGAGGATGTTGATGCATTGCGTCCAACGGGATTGACCGACGACGATTTGGTCTTCACTGGGTGTGTAGTTGGTTTAGCATTGATGGGACGGATAAGGAATAGCAAGTCTCCGGTCTCCTTCCATTGCATACGATAACGTCCACAAGTGGGTGTACTCGTTGTTGGCGGAGGCGGTCAAGACATTCAATGAACTCAGATAACAGAAGGAGGTCAAAGTCTTTGGTGGGTTCGCCTATGCCATTTGGGGGGGTTTCTGATTCAGGCAGATGGGCGAGGCATTGAGCGGCGCAGTGTGAGGATGGTCGGGGAATTGTTGAGGTCGAGGTTCAAGATGGTCTCGAGTCGCAGGCATATGACGGAAGCGGCATGTGATTGGAGTGGAGGAGCAAGCGAGGACTGCAGTCAGGCGATGGACCAAGAAGATGGAGGATTCGATTGGCCTTTGGGGATTGGAACCGCAGCCAGGCAACGGCGGCCCTGGTTTGGTCGAGGGTTCGGAGTAGCTGATGGGAGGGCGATAGGGTGATGGTTGATGGTTGATGGGTTGGTGAGCTCAAAGAGACTGTCGAACACCTTAAGAGTCACTGATACACCTCGAAACAATAATACAGTACCTGAGAGAGTGGGTGATGATGTGTAGAAGACGACTTAACAGTAGTAGTACTGCAGCTGTCCATCTCCGAATGCTAGCCGGTGAGTCTGACGTGTATGGACTAGTGAATACATGCGAAAAGGTTGGTGTCTGCGGCCCTGGCCGCAGACACCACAACACCAGATAATTATATTCACCACCAGTGGTAGGTGACTGGTACCGGGTAAGTCTTCTCCAATGTGCCACTGGTCCTCGAATCGAACATCCCTGTCAGCAGCACATCAAGCAGGCGAGCTCCCGGGTGTGTTGCTGGATGCTGATCTAGTCACGCTCTGGAGCCGGCTGCAGGCAAGGCACAGGCAAGGCGCAGGCGCAGGCGCAGGCGCAGGCACCAACACAGGCTGATCGCTCTGTCACCTTTCGTCAGGAAGCTATCAGTACGACTACTGGTAAGGTACGAGTACCTATTAGCCCTGGGCAGGGATGGTAAGGCACTGACTGGTGACTGCAGGAGGTGACACTGTTACAGGCACGGGTGACGCTTCATCATAGGCTGCCTCGATAATCAATAACTACTACCTACATACCTACCACCTACCTAGTAGTAGTATGGAGTATTATCAAGGTCCCTGCCGACACTCAGCCCTCAGCCCTCAGCCGGCAGACAGGCCACTACTGTATGAACTACTATGTACTTGCTACTAGCCTCCGCCCGTGGCCGTTGAAGCGAAAGCCTACAGCAAGCCTATGTAAACCCCCGTCCCATATCCACCTCTAGTGTTATGATGTTATCTCCAATGGCCACAGTACACCCTGCACAGTAACTCCCGGGGATACAGTACTCCGTATCAGTTGTATTTCGTAGAGGATCTCCAGCATATCTCCCTTTTTGCATCTACCAGATCCCTTATATAGCTGTACGTATCTCCACAAGAACCTATAATTACTAAAGAAACCGTTTAGATTGCTAGAATGAGTGCTAGGTAGCGTCTGTGCGAAATACTGCGTGCGGCCTCCCCGGATCCCCGGATCCCTGTCCCTACTCCGTACTAGCATCTATCATTACGGAGTATCCGTACAGGGTACGGGTACAGAACTACAGCCCGCAGCTGCCTTCCAGGCACCACTGCAGTAGCACCAATGCCCAAGGAGTCATTGGTTGGTCTTTGCCGCAAGGGACTTATGCCTGCGCCAGCACCAGTCACTGCCCTGACCGGTCGCTTCCAACATGCCAGCTGGCAGCCTGTTGAAAGCCCCTTAGCCATGCCCTCTGCACAACGGCGCATTCACTTCATTGCACGGATACGGAGTACGTCCCCTGAGATGAGAATGAGTAGCTAGCCTAGGCTCCAATCAAGATTTGAACAAGTCCCCAGCCCTAATTAGTCTCTCTATGCAAAATACAAGTACAAAATAGCCTGTTCCTGTTGGCCGACTGCTGTCTATTGATGCCTTGTCCCTCGTTGCGGTGTGTTTCCACGGACCCGCCCCCGACCGTCACTGTGCCGTGGGCCACCGCTTCTCCGTCCAGAATCCGTTGGAGACGCTGCCACCGCTCCCTCTGGGCCCGTCGACTCTGTTCCTGTTGCTGCCTTCCCTTTGCCACTTCCTGCACCATGTCCACCTCGACCGCGACCGCCCTTACCACGCCGGGCGGCTGCCGGATTGGCCTGGGCTTCTTCTGCCTGTACCCGTCGGCTCTCGTTGTCCCACCATTCCTGGAACTCTTGTTCTTGTTGAATCTCTTGCAATGATCTTTTGGCGGTGGCCTCTTTGACTGCTATCTTCTCTATCTGCTGCTGGGATAGAATCTCCGCCATCGATGTGCGTGCGTCAATCGCCGATGTCGTTCTGGATGGCAACGGAGTGTGGCGGATCGACTGGATCTGCGGCGGCGCCGCTTTAGACGGGGATGTAATGCTGGCAGGAACGCCTCTTGGACTCGCCCTGGCTGGCCCAGAGCTGGGACTTAGGCTCCCTCCGGCCACAGTTTGTCGCATAGTAAGGGACTGCTTGGATGGCACCTTTCTGGCGGATGCTGAATCAGGGGACTGGTTCGGAATACCTGGCGAGGGGTTGGGGTTGGGTGTCTTTGGAACAGCCTGCCACGGAGATGAAGGTGTTTTGGTCTCAACCTTGGTACATGCGCTGTTCGCCTCTAGACTCCTAGCCTCTTGTTGCTTCATTAGCTGCTGTTGTCGCTTCCTCTCTTTCTGCGACACCTTGGTCGTTGCCTTAGACGGGGTCGAGGCTGTCTTCATTGCTTGGGTCAGATGGGATATCCGAGACGCCGAGGCTTGTTCCATTATACCCTTCAAGTCATTCTTGGTGGCGGTTGGTGTGGGCATTTGCCAAGTTGCCCTTCGCTCAAATCCATTTCGGCGCATCACAGGAGTATTTGGGATCACAGGATGCTCACTAGCGGAGAGTGGCGAGGTCGCAAGCTCCTCTTGAGACGTGTCTCGGGCAGAGAGGGATCCATCATCCCATTTTCGAGCCTTTGCCGAAGGTTTAGGGCTTTCTCGGAATGAACCTATTGGGGTGTCTGAATGTCGTGTTCCAGTGGTGGCGGGGCTGGGCAAAAAGTATGACTTTTCATCGTCCATATCAAATGGCAGGTAGTCACCGGCGTCATTTGCCATGATGGCTGGGCTTGCACTTGGAGTGCTGGCCGGCGAGTCAGCGCCCGGTACAGGTATATAGCTCCTAGCGACGGAGGAAGGTGTTTGCCGTTCCACACTTCCAATCCGGAATTTGGCGGTCACAGCATATCGCTGCTCATCGTCCACTAGCCTCGATCTCAACCTCATGGAATCTATCCTCCTCTGTCTTCCGGCCTCAATCTTATCGAGTAGGTCCGGGTGCTTTTCCAGGAGTTGGGCCTCGCAACGTTCGCTACGTGCGAAGGGGAGATAAGCCAACTGATTTGCCTGCACAACTTCATCAAGTTCAGAGAACAGTTCGTCGTCCAATTCGTCAAGCAGTTTCATTTCCAACAAGCTTTCGAGGTTGAGACAGATATACTCGAGTGCCGCCCGTTTGAAACTGTCCACCGAACACTCGGCAACAGTGTTGAGGAGTGAACAAACGTTTCTCACGTTCACATATCTGCCGAGGGTCTGCTGACAGATCTGTGCTAGTCGGTCCAGCATCAGTTCGTTGGCAGCAGCCATCAACTCGATGACCACGTCGATAAACTCACCCAGGCTCTGGGTGACAAGATCGTCGAAGAGCTCTTCTCCAGTATCGGCGTAGAGATGTCGTAGCAGCATTCTGAAGGTTCTTTCATCAATATGTTTGAGATCCACCCGTACTGCTTCAGACTTATCCTCGGCCGCGGTGCGTCTTGTAGACATCCACAGCCCACCGGCTCGGCCGTTGAAAAGTCTGTCAAAGAACGGACATCGAATACAGAGCAGCACACTGTGTGCGGGCAGTTCGGCGCCATCTGCAAGTTCAATCAGAACATCGGCGTCTGAAAAAAAGTTGGTCTCGAGGATAGCAAGGTCCATGTCATTGTTAAGACTGAGAGCTGGATCAACCATGGTTCTCACAGCACGCTCCAATTGTCGCAATTCAAGATGAGCCGCGATCTTCATCAGCTCAATGCGGACGGCTCGATAGCGGGAAGCGAGATGTAATGCCTTAGATGTGTAGTGCCACACGTCAACCAGATTTTCCGTATATAGATAAAACACTAGGTTGACGAGGGTCAAGAAGTCGGCACCCTGTAATTGCACCTCTATTTGACCATCTTGTCCGTATTGAATTGAGACGACATCCGCAATGGAGAAGTAGTATGTTTCCTGGAATTCAGCCAATGCGCTTCGCATGACACGGCTCCTCGCCGTGAGAATAAAAGAATGGACCGGGATTCGGACATCGGTGAGGTTTGACGTGACCCACAGATCGTACTGGCTTTGTGCCAAAGGCTCGTATTGCTTGCAGATATCCAGGATGTCCTCCTCTGCAGATGGCGTGCGGATGATGGCTCGGCAAATACTAGCCGGGTCAGCATTTGATGTTGATCTCGTATCGACTTTCCCATATGCTGCAAAGGGAAGTAATGAGCGCACATCATTCCAGAGAGACGGTGGATCAGGAATGATCTGATCACGCGTGACAGTGCAGTCTTTCCGCACAGCAGTGAATGCTCCGTAAGCATTACTCCTGACAGCGACGGCCCCTGTCAAGTTAGGAATTCGAACAAACTTATAGTCTTTCGGTCGTGCCGTGCCAGTGTTCATTTCTCGAACATTTTTGATGTTGGCGCGTTTTTCCTTGCGCCAAACCGATCCGGAAGCTGTGCAAAGAATGATCGAGCCGTGCTGACCAACGGCAACGTCGACAGCAGACATATGAGCCTTACGGATCGACCACAAGCGTGAAGGCTGAGGGAGAGCGTTGCGCGCCTTGGTGGGATTGGTCGTTGACATGTGTGACGGCACATTCTCCGCCTTGGGGACCTCGATGGAGAATACCTCCCCGTAAGAAGACATCGCACATATCGTGTTTCCGCCACTGGTGATCTGTTTGATATAATTCGACTCCATATTGTAAGCTGTAGGTGACGTGTCGGAGATGTAGTAATTGGCGAAAGTCTCCAGCGGAAAAACCACCTTGGTCCAGCCATAATGAGTGAAGACAATGACCTCGTGGTTCTCAAGTAGAACAATCGTGGCACGGTCGATTGCACTGACTGATTGAATGGATGATTGCAGCACCGACACGCCTATTCGACGTGGTAGTACTTGCATCTCAAGTGAGCGTGCATCTGCATCCATCAATCCAAGTTGACCCTCATTTTTGCCAAAGGTGTAGAGCGCGTCCGAGGTGTAAATGGCTGAATGTGTTGCAGAAGCTGCTGCACCTATTATGAGCTCCTTTTTGATAAATCCATACAGCTGACGTGGTGTCAATTGCATCGGAACCTCGTTCTGGGGGACCTCTGGTAGGGAATATCCCAATTGCCCGTATCGATTACTCCCCCAGGTGTAGACTTCACCTTGTGAGCAAACCGCCACAGTGTGATCTTGGCCGAGAGCTATTGCAGAGATGCGACGCCTGGCGAGCCCGCCGGTCTGAATGCACTGATACGTGAAGGAGGTGTTCTCGTCGCCAGTACCTAACCGGCCACCGCGACCGAAGCCACACATGTAGAGATTGCAAATCGGATCGTCAGTCAACACGGCGGTATGAAGCTTTGACATGACCACATTCTGGATCGCGATAGGTCGATAGCGTATGATGGCCGGAATATCGCTCTGTAGCCGAACATCACCGGCACTCGAGGCTAGATCTTCATTGACCAATGCTTTCTGTCTCGCCGCTAGATGGTCATCAAGAAGACGACGTAGCAAGTGATCGGGTCGCACAAATTGGAGACGCTCCGGAAAATGTCTGTCATCCCCGTCTCCTACGCCCAGGGAAAGGTTTTTGTTGCTTCCAAAAGCGTACACTTCGTCGCCGACCAAATCGACCAGAGTGACATTGTGCCCCGTCGTCCTCTTGTCCTCTCGACCGTCTTCATTGTAGTCCACACCGTTGGTGCTATCGTTGTCACTGACACCAGAGGGCAGAGTTGAGGGGTCCTGATGGATAGAGCGAGGGGCGATGGTCAGACCGAAAACTTCGAAGGGACTATTGCCCTCGCGATCCTTGATTCTCACCAAGCCTCCCGCATGGGTACGCTGAGTGTTGGTAGTGTAGTCCGTGGCATCGTGGATGTCCCGAGCCATAAGAGCATGGGCGATGGAAATGTTGCCAAAGTACAGCGCTCGATGTAGTGGAGTCCATCCACTCTCGATATCCTGGGCATAAAGATCCAATATTGGCATTTCCAGCAAAGCCTTCACGAAAGCCAGCGCATCTTCCGATCTTGACGACGCAGCATGGTGCAGTATCGTTCTCCCAAAGGTGTCCTTGGTATTCACCTCGGCTCGAGTGAGGGTCAATCCCGCACTCTTGCCCGGTGTGGTGCTACTAGGAGCATTGCCCGAACTCTTTCGCGACTTCAGCGGCGTCTTTGGGGAAACGGCCAAGGTTCCTGGGCTACCAATTCTCAGCGCAGTACCGCCAACTTGGCCAGTGCCGGAAGCTCTGGGAGCGCCGGAGGCGAAGGTGGCGTTCGCCAGGTATTGCCGAAACGTATCGACATCGTCTTCGAGAAGGCAGCGCCAGAGATTGTGGCTCATGTGGTGCGTAGGGGCAATGACGATGTCTTCCGTGACCGCAGGAAAGCGCCTCGCTGCAACCTCGCTGGGTTACGGCTTGTTTAAAGGCGCGCTGGGCGGACGGAGACGGGTTTGAATGGAGTCGTTGGAGTAGTGACTCAACCGAGAGTCATCTTTGAACAGCGCGTTGAAGTCGCGCGAGATATGGCGGGTTTCTCAAAGACTGCAGGTTGGTATGTTGTTTTGCAAGGGACGTGCGATTCGATCGAGGAGAACTAGAAGGATGAGAGGGATTTCAAGACGATATACGGAGTTACTGTGTCGCGGAGGGGCAACTGCGATATCGAGGTCGCGGTTGCGATAAATGTGCGGAGCGGGAAGACAACGCCCGGAACGACTCCGCAGCCAATCACATGCCCTCGTGCTGATACGAGCCGTGAGTGATTTCAGAGCCATGCTGCGTTGGCGGCGTCTCTGACAGCTGGATAGATACAAGACGCGTGAAGAGGGGAAATTGAGAGAAAACAGAAGAGAACAGGAGATGGACCACCGCGACCAAATCTCGTGAACCGCGCTGGCGTGATTCTGAAAGGGCGGTGTACCTACCTATTTATTGTCCAGCCGTGGGTCTTACTTGGTACATACTGCTACTAGGTACACACTGAAGACTCTGTCATGGACGACTTGAGGTATTGGCTTTAACTACTACCTAAACCCTTTGGGATCGTGATCCTCCATTGTCGTCCTAGGAACTTCCTGTCTTCGCTCCTACAGCACCATGGCTCCTGCTGCTAGACCCAACCCTAGAAGTGCTGCTGTGGGTGCGGCTGCATTTGCTCGCCCCGATGATGATGTCGACGCCGCCGCCGCCGCTGTACTCGCCGTGGACTGGACACCAATGTTGAAGGTCGGCGTTCCAGCGAGGACCAAGCTGGTACCCTGGACGCTAGCTGAGGGAACAGCAGGTTCTTCTGTTGCCTCGGCATCTGGAATCTGCGTCCCGGTAGCTGTGGCTGTCACCGTTGCCCCTGGGATAGTGGTTCCAGTGGGAATCACCACGATGCTGGATGTGTCTGCTTTGTTCTCTGCTGCCTGAGCCAGAGCAGCCACGCTGTTGCTGATATCAAAGACTGCATACGCGCTTCGCAAGAAGGTGTCCCCAAAAATACTGAACCCACCAATTGGGGGTCCAAAGCCAAAGTCGCAGCCTCCAGACTCGTCTGCAAAGTTCTCCGCCGTGAAGTCCTGGTTGCCCACCACTTGGGATACCGGCACCTTGATGGTCACGCCACCGTCGCCGCCGAAGGAATAGTTGATCGTTCCGTTGATTTTAGCGAATCTGCACGGAACGACATAGCTTCCTTGACCAATGCCGACTGCCCCAAAGCCGTTGGCTAAAGCGTTGAAGACGTCGTCAGTGAGAAGAGTCTGACTGGTGCCTGAATCGAGCAAGACCGACTGGGCATATCCGTCAGGAGATAGCTGTGTAGTTTTCCCCGTCTCATCGGTAAAAGACACACTAGTCAAGGTGACATAGAACTCAGACACAATCCCCTCCGGTCCTTCCTGGACATCATCAGCTGGAGCCTCGAGTTGGGGTAAGGTACCAATCCTTACCTGCAGAGGGAGGGCAACAAGATCGCCCGTGTACTTTGTGGTGTCGACACCCCCAAAGATGACCGCCCCCTTGTTTGCTTGGAGATCGTTCAGGTACAGGCTGTAAGCGAGTCGATTGATGATGCCCGTAGACTTTAGGTTATCCATCACCGACGGATACACCCCTTCGGAACTAGGATTGTTCGCTTCATTGGTATCGAAGCCAACGCCCATGACCCCATGAGGGTCAAACAGCGTTGAAGCCACTCCAATCTGCTGTTTTTTGATAGCGGTAGATCCGCCAACACTCAAGGTATCGGTAGCCCAGTCGCCAGCATCACTATCTCCAGGCGCCGCATAGGTCTGGACGCAAATTAGTCCCAGTGCCGGCACACCCTTGCACCGCTATCCTCTAACCGGTCACACTCACAATATTGAATCCATCTTGGTCAACGACGGTGTAGGTGCTTGAAAGGGTCGGGTCGAAAACTCCGTTGTCGCATCCGCCTTTCTTGCAGAGAGGGGCAGACGCTGCCGGCACCCAGAGATCGGAAGAGCCGGTGTCGAGAGTGACAGCAAGGTGCTGAGCAGGCGTCCCCAAGGTAATATTGACCAAATATTCTAGTTTGTTCGTGTTCTGCGTCAGCACCGTGTCCACGCTGCCGTCCGAGTTTTGTCTGCGGACGAGGCGAGGTTCGGAGGGAGTGCGTCTTTCGATATCCAATTTGAGATATCCTGGAGAAGCAAGGCATGTGCTTGTAAGTGCCGCACATGCAGCTCCGAAGAGTAAACGCATGCTGTGCACCTGCGCCAACGACGGGACCGGGTCTCGGCAGCGAGACGAATAGGACGGGAAAGCAGAGGTCCAACACTAAGGTAGAGTACGGCAGGACTGAACCACTGACTACTTCATCGATATGACATGGACAAGGCCAAGTTGGTCTTATAGGAAGTCAATGTAGTCAACGAGGAAGGAAGTGACGAGAAGGTCAGCACTCTGTTCCGTGAATTGACTGGCCGTTCGGTGTAGGCATCCACTGCAGGGTGATGGCGCAGGAGGCGGTGGTGAAGGTGGAGGAGATGGACTGTCCGTATGGAGTCCTCCGTATATGCTGCTGACAACCTCACGCGGGAAGGAGTTGGGCTAAAAATATTCAGGCTGCGGTGACCGTGTCGTGAGTTGGCAGGCTGCCTGCATGGGGTTTTCTTGTTTGCCTCGACAAGACTACGTCAGGCCTTGTTAGCCCTGCCTGTTTCATTTGTCGACCACGACACACCCCGGACGTCTTTGTGTTCCCGTGTCTAGTTACTCATCGAATAATGAGCAAGAATGAATGAGTGAATGATCAAAAAGCCGGTCCAGCATTACGCAGCAGCCCGCCGGTTGTGGGGCATGTGCTTCCCTGAGGATCCGATGTTGCTCACTACCAAGCAGGTGCCTAGCAGGTGCCTAGTATGTTTACTTCAATCCCTTGGGGCTAAAGAGGAGGCCACTTCAGACCTTGTGGCGGACCCAATAATATTAAATGACGCGTCCACTCTCTGGAAAACTCATACATGATTCTGCCAGTAGCAGTGGAAGAAGGTACCAGGTGCCAGGCATCCAGTCACAGATCGCTGAGGGTTCCAGGCCCCCTTGGTAAAGTCCGTTGGCCCCAGACGCTCCTCGGGTCTCCAGAAGCAAGTTAGATACTTGTATAGAAAGGAATGAACAAAGTCGTTGCCCGAAGATCCCCCTTTTCCAATCAACCATAATAACCAACCATAATAACCAACCATAATAACCAACCATTATAACCAACCATTATAACCAACCATAATAACCCTGGCCAGAGGTCCCGATCTGCAACTGACGCTACTCTCGAAGAATGTCACAACTCGCCACCCGTGGACAGCTCCTCAGCCCCGAGCCGAGCCGAGTACTGGGCTAGCCCGCGATCATCATCCACTACTCGCAGGTATCATCAGGAGAATGTGCCTTGGCTGATTCACATCTGCCGTCTCAATAGAACCTGCTCTGCGGTCTGGGCCATATCATTCACTGGTCCTTCTTCGTAGTCGTGCGGTCTTCGGCAGCATTCGAGCGTCGAAATACAAGCTCATCGCGACCCCAAAGAGCCACGGCAGCAGTTCCGCAAGGACCCAAAACGAGCGAGGCGATCGCGATTTTGATCGCTCCCACGAGGATTTGAACCAGGGTTGCCCGTTCCTGCTTAGCAGCAACTCGCAAAGTCAAGCCCCAGATCAGAGTCGCCGAAACTCCCACTAGAATATCCCATTGCAAAAACCAGAGAGCTCCGTCTGCAAGAACTTTGACCTCGTGTGGGCCGAAAGGCAGGACAGGAACAAAAATCCTGTCTGGTTGGAGTTGTGGTAGATACGTTGAGCTGAACAAGACCGGGAAAGCATACGCAAGAAGTGACAGGCTAAAGGCTGCAAGGTGAGATCCGGCCGAGGACACGATTGCAAATGCATAGGCTTGTCGCAGGTATTTGACCGTCTTTGCCTTCTTGTCACTTTCGGTCAGAGCTGTGGCTCTTGAGTCCAGGCTCGTTGCGAAAGACGTCAAGACCAGGTGTGTAATTCCAATCCAAATCGACCAACCCTGTTGGATCCCCGTCCAAGTTTGCTTGGTTTCAAATGATATTAAGGATGGGGCGGGAAGACACATCAAAAGTGAAGGCAGCCCGAATCCCAGTAGGATGCTGACAGGGGCGAGGGCGAGCTTTACTGGGGTGTCTACTAGGAGTCGGTATTCCTGCGGATCGACCGCGGCCGGCGATACCAAGAGATGAAGCGCAAACCAGAGGGGCGCAACACAGGCATAGCCTATAATTGCAACTGCGAGACCGAACAACGTCGTCCTGTTGCCATCAGCTTGGTCGTATAGACAGAATCTTAGGACTTACGCAGTAAGGATAAACTTTGTCTGATTGCCGGCTCGTAGACCCTCGGTCGTGATTAAGGCCCAGGCGGCGAGAACTTGCCCGCCCAGATATAGAAACGAGAGGGAAACATCGGCTCGATTGCCATCGATAGCCGTATAGAAGAAACTGACTAGAGAGGTCAACTCCTTGTCCACCACCCCAATACCTGTGTATGTCTGCTTCATGGGAGCCGGTGTAGGACCTGGTATCACGGCGCCAGGCTCGCTCTGTCGGCCCAAGATCGCTAGAAGACCATTTCGGTATGGAAAGACCCAAAGAGTCCAAAATCCGCAGATGGATAGGAAGATGAGGAGGAGCGTGGGGCCAGTAAGCGCCATGTAGAACGCTGTTGCACAGAGAGTGGGCTGTTCTTGCGTATACAACTGACGACGGAATGCTCAACACGACTGAACTGAGAAGCGCCGAACGGAAAGAGAAAATTTCCGCGAAAAGGGCGACAGGGCAGGGTAGAAATAGCCTCTACCACGAGAGAAGGCAGACGCGAGGTTGACCGTCTGAGCGTTCAGCCTCAAAGGTGCGGAGCGTACAGTGCTGACCGGAGTGGAACGTTTGTCAGAAGGGCTCTCAGTCAGCTGAAGGCATCCATGTCTGCCTTGTCCAACCAGCGATGCGCCCAGAACGAACGACCGGGCGGTGCTGCATGCGGGTGGCTTCAGCTGAAAAGCAAGGCATCTACCCGCTTCGATACGAAACTCATTTATTATCCGTACTCCTGGAATACGGAGGACGGAGGACGGAGTTTCTCTGTCCAACGCATGGGGCAGCTTAGCCGATACCTAGTGATTCTCAACTAGCCCGATAGGGACTAGAATATTCTATGGGGTTTGATGCCAAACCTTTTTCTTCAACCTGGATCAACTTCAACGTTTATCCTGAGACCTGCAAGAGACTACCATCCGAGGTAGTCAGTGACATGTCGGTATCGTTGTTACCGCGCTCTCCCGGTGCTTTTTACACCGTCTCGTCAAGGCCCATCTGCGGCAATGCCCAAACGAAAGCGTCAAGATGAATTGGAGGACAGAGACCTCGAGATTGAGGATCAAGCCCTCCGAATCAAAGTCACGAGGTTAAAGGCCAGATTTGACCAGAGCATCAAGCGCATGTACTCGGCGTTGAAACTAGCTCGGGGGTTCGAACGTCAGAAACTCGGTCGCCGGCAGAAAGCAGCCAGCAATGACCCTCAGACTCTTTTACGACTAAGAGAAGAAGTCATTGTGCTCAAGCAATTGGAGCTTGACCAAACCGCGCGAAAATATCTTCTCAAGCACCTATTCAAGGCCAAGCGGATCAGGGAGCATCCGGCATTCATCCATATCTACGGCCCGAATCCTGCTGTTGAACCTACAAAGTCAACTGCAGAGGCAAACGTTTTGGGAAGGTTATTCAAGTCAACTCCCGTGAAAAATGTTGTACTGGAGATCATGAAAACAATCTATGGTGTGCTTGGGATACCTCAAGCCGGGCCTAGAGGCGAAGCTGAGAGGAAGTCAGCCGCCAGTAGACCAATCGAGCAATCCGTGCACTCCATTCGAGAAGGCGAATTCCACGGCTTTTCGAGTGACAGTGCTCAAACAGAGGGTACTGCAAACCATGACCATTCTTTGGGATCAGGTTCCGAAGAGGATCGTCTTCTTGCTAAATATGCCGCGGGCAGACTAGCTTCATCAGATGATGATTCTGATGGTGGCGCACCAGCAGAATTAAGACGCTCAGAGAGGAATGGCAGCAGGCTGAGGGGCGACCTTTCAATCTCACCCAGTCCAAGTAGCTCCTCAGATCGCCACCGGCAGGCTATCGACGATCAAAGGTCAGAACAGAAACTTACGAAAACCGCCTTTCTACCATCACTGAGTCTTGGAGGGTACTACTCTGGATCGGAGTCGGACGATGAAGACACGTACCAACATCGTGGCCCAGCGGAACCGAAAATCAGGAAAAATCGGCGAGGGCAGCGAGCGCGACAGCAGTTGGCAGAGTTGAAGCATGGAAAGAATGCCAATCATCTGGCAAAGCAGAAGGAACAGAATTCCAGAGATGCAGGCTGGGATCCAAAGAGAGGCGCAGTGGCCACGGGGCACAATCCCAGGGAACGTTCCCAAACAGGACGCCATCAAAAGACATCGGACGGCAAGGCTACTAGACAGGCCAGGCAACCAAGCTCTAAGGCGAAGACGAGAGATGACCAAGGCCCACTACATCCGTCTTGGGAGGCGGCTAGGAAACGGAAGATGCAGACTCAACCCCAGGCGACTTTTGCTGGAAAAAAGATAACCTTCGACTAGGTTATGACCCTAAGAGATAACGCAAACACAATCTGCTCGGCTTCCTATGATGGCTTGGGAAGGTGTTGCCAGGTAGCCTTGCGACTCAGCCATTGCAGTCCTCACTCTCAGGACGAGAGACGTCGAATATTGGAGATGTCTGAGAGCTTACGCCTTGTATGAATTCTCGCTTGAGTTCCGACCGGATTTGGAACTTTCGAAGGTGACTCTGGGGAAGCCAGGGACATCGAAACGCCCCAAATAGGAGCAGCTACCCACACTACTGGACACGAGAACCTTTTTCAAGAAGATCCTAATCAACCAGGACTACTATAACCAACTGAATTTCAAGTTGTCACTTCCACAGCACGCTTGGTGTAACCATACTTTTTTTCCATAGGCATGTAGTATTTGTTGGGGGTGTGACAGACTTGTCCTTGCTGCTGTCCTACGACACACATAAAGTACTCTTGGGTTGGAACGGACCTAATCGTCTCAGTCTATGATAACCACTAAAGATAGACCTTGAGCGGGAGGCGCGAGCGGATTAGGAAGATGCTGTGCGGTCCTGTCGACTTTGACATATTCAACTTCTTGCGTCTACTGTGGTTAGAGTAGTAGAGTATGGAGTACACCTATTACAACAGACCGGCTGCTATTATTGCCGCGCATTATTAGCGCCAAGCGCGATTCACCTTCACGTCCATGGCTGCACCTGCTACGACGCCCGACAACAAAATACCTCTTCAAGTTATTACTGAACCCAATCTGAATGCTTGCATAAAACAGTCTTCTTCTGACTGAGATCGATATCCCTCAGGCCGTTACATGAGCAATTTCCCATCGGACGCCTTCCTCCTCCCAATCCGGATCTAGCCTTCCTACCATGACCGACCCTCCACACCGTGCAGGTCCTGTGAGGCGACGCTCATCTCTTGCCTATGATCCTGCCCGAGACATATTCAAAGAACTGCCTGATACAATAGCAGAGGCTGTCATCACCGAAGACGCAGAAGGCAAGCCAGAGGATACTGTTGCCGTGACGTCGAGCCCGAATGGCCACGGCAGCGCCCAGGACCAGACTCGAAAGCGGAGGAGGTCGGTCTCGATCGGAGCAGACGGCCAAAACAAGCCCAAAGAGCAGCCTAGAGGGCAGAACGAGTCTCCTGACGTGAACAAAAGACAACGCACTTCAGGTTCATCTCCGAGTGTAGAGAGACCCTCACCTAAGTCACAGACAAACGGGATTCACAAGGACAAACCAACCCCAAGAACACCAGCAGATTTGCCACGAATTCCACGTAAACCAAGAGAGGAAGGAGAAATTTCTACGTCACAATCAGTTCCGTCTGCTTTCAGTCGACGATCAGAGCGTGATGACCAACGAAGAAATGGCGGCTTCCAAAGAAGATCTCGGTCCCCCCGCCGGCGGTCTCCAGTACACTTCAATCGACGACGGTCTCCACCCCGAGAACGTCGCAGATCACCTTCCCCAATCCGTGACTCTCCTCCCCGGGAATTCATTCGCCCTGGAGGTGCCCGTGGCCGAGGCCGCAATGTGCTAGCCGAACAACAACGTTTGGCCGCAGAGCGAGAACAGCAAAGCACAAGCCTACAAGCCCAGACCAATCGGGGTGTCCAAGACGTTTCAAATCAATTCTACAATGCACGACCTGAGTGGGTGAAAGAACGTGGACGCGAATGGCGCAAAAACGAGTCACAGATCAGGGGGCTACGCAGTTTCAACAATTGGGTCAAATCCTGTCTCATCCACAAATTCAGCCCGGAGGAGAAAGGAGAGGTGGAAGAGCTTGGCTGGGGCGAGGAGGCCAAGGAACCCGAACAGCAGAGACCGCTCCTTGTCCTCGACATTGGTTGCGGCAAAGGTGGTGATCTTGGGAAATGGCAATTAGCTCCCCAGACGGTCGGACTGTACGTTGGCCTCGATCCTGCGGAGACAAGTATCCAACAGGCGCGCGAACGCTACCAGCAGATGCGACGTGGGCGTCGGCCAATCTTTGATGCTCGCTTTTTGCCTCAAGATTGCTTTGGTGCCTGGATCGGCGATGTAGGCATCGTCCGCGAAGTCGGCATCGACCCCAATGTGGGCAGTGGCCAGCCAAGCCGCTGGGGCGGTGGTGGATTTGATGTCGTGGCAGCAATGTTCACCATGCACTACGCATTTGAGTCGGAAGAGAAAGTGAAGATGATGCTCCGTAATGTGGCGGGCAGCTTGAAGAAGGGGGGCCGGTTCCTTGGCGTTGTGCCCAATAGCGACGTGAGCGCAGAGCATATCCGGAAATGGTACGCTGACAAGGCGACAAAACAGGCACAAGAGCCTGCAACTGACAACTCCGACGCGTCGAACAAGGAAGAAGGCGAGGCACAGGAGGAGGAAGAAGGTCCATCCTGGGGCAATTCGCTATACCGAGTTCGTTTTCCAGTCGACCCTTTGCGTCCATTACAGCCTGACGGGTCTTTCCGCCCGCCCTACTCGTGGAAATACATGTATTGGATGACCGAAGCCGTGGACGTGCCGGAATTCGTTGTGCCGTGGGAGGCCTTTCGCGCCATCGCAGAGTCGTACAACCTAGAACAGCGGTACCGGAAGCCATTCTTGGAAATCTGGGAGTCGGAGCTCGGCAATCGAGAAATGATGGCCCTTGCAACTCGGATGGGGGTCACCCGGTATGAAGGCGGAGAGCCGGTCTTGTCGACTGAAGAATTAGAGGCCGTGGGGTTCTACCATGCTTTCTGTTTTGTCAAGGTCTGAGCCAGATTGGGTAGCAATGGAGCAGAGGGGGTGTGGTAGTGACTGGCAATGTGTATGCCACCCTTCCACAGCGCAAGTGAGCACCACATGCAGATGGGTCAACCAGGGAGTGTGGATGTTGTGGGAGACGAGAATTGCGGCCTGCATCAGGTCTCTGCTTGCTTGTGACTTGGTGAGGCTAAGCAATGTGACGGTGATCGAGGCCGCTATCATGGGCTCAATGATTTGAAGCTGAAGCAAAAAGCCACTGTCCTGCTCATTGCAAGGGCAACGATGTGTATGGAGTGACTGCGGTTCATAAAAACGAGCGTAGCCACGAAGCAAGGAGCTGCATGCACACAGTCTACGGAATAACGAACGATCCAGCGAGATCTGGGCTCGTAATAATAAGGAAGGTGAGTTTAGATACCTCGTTTATTCTACACTTTGACTGTCGAGCTGGGTGTCTTCCTAGAAAGAATCTTAACAGAGTATACGGAGTACTATACGGAGTATATGTATATATATATCAACTCGTTCAGTTCACACGTGATGCGAACCCGAACGACATCGACAGCGACATGGATGATTTCTCCGCAATTTTTGTTGTCGCCTTCTCCAACTGTTCGTCCGTCGCAGCTCATCTTCCACTCCTGAAATATGGAACTACTCTGTAAGCCAGCTAGGAATCGTCTCCTGAATTTGTTCCTTTAGTCAGTGAGCGAGTTTCGGGACTATGCGAAAGTGCTTCAGCACATGCGCGCCAGTCTTCAGCCATGAGAACCCACTAGTACGTGTCCATGTTAAGCCTCCCGCAGCCATAGAGCGGGAAACCAGACCAAGCGCTCACGACTGAAATCTAACCATGTCATATAGGGACTCCCCCGGGCGCCGTCGTCTCGCTCGACGCAAGGACCTCCTCCCCAGCTTCCACGGGCTCAGCGCGGACTTCCTGAAAAACGGCGACTGCGCAATGTCTCTCACACGATCGCGGTCTCCAGCGCCAAAGGCGGCGTGGGCAAATCCACATTGGCCGTGAACCTGGCACTCGCCTTATCACGGCACGGCTTCCGCAGCGGCATTCTCGACACGGACATCTTCGGGCCCTCGATCCCGACGTTGCTCGGGCTCAGCAACGCAGGGGAGCCGAAGCTGACGCCTTCCAACATGCTGGTGCCCTTGACCAGCTATGGCTTGAAGAGCATGAGCATGGGATACCTGCTGCCGAGTGAATCGGCCCCGGTGGCCTGGCGCGGACTCATGGTCATGAAGGCGCTCCAGCAGCTGCTGCACGAGGTGGACTGGGCCACAGGCCAGCCCGGCCTGGATGTGCTGGTGCTCGACCTGCCGCCGGGCACGGGCGACGTGCAGCTGACCATCGGGCAGCAGGTCCAGCTCGACGGAGCCGTGGTGGTGTCGACCCCGCAGGACATTGCGCTCAAGGACGCCGTCAAGGGCGTGCAAATGTTCCGCAAGATGAACATCCCCGTGCTCGGTATGGTCCAGAACATGAGCGTCTTTGTCTGTCCGCACTGCCATCAAGAGACGCACATCTTTGCCCACTCACCCTCACCATCCATCGACGACGACGGGCCCAAGGCCCACGGCACTGGCACTGGTGGTCTGGGCGGCGCAGAGGCCAAAGCGAACGACCTCGGCGTCGACTTCCTCGGCGATGTTCCGCTCGACCCCCAAATCTGCGCCGACGCCGATCGAGGCGTGCCCACCGTCGTCGCCGAGGAGGCAGCCGGCATCAAGGTCAATTCGGCCTACTACGAACGCATCGCGGAGAAGGTCGCAACAAAGATCGGGCTCTCCTGGTCCTGATTATTACTAGGAATATTATCTATGCCACAAGAACACATGTTACTACTAGTAATAGTATTTATGCCACAAGACAGCCAACCATGCCAACTGGTCGTCTGCATCGTGATGCGACACGTTCGTGATAGTATCGTATTTAAGACACTCGTTCCATGGCTGTCTGAAACGTCGTCTCGGCCCGGTCGTACAGTTGCGGCCTCGCTGTACTTGTATCGGTGAGCGCATGGCTAGAGTTCTCTTTCTCTTTCTCTTTCGCATCGCCCCTGTCGCCGCCGACACCGACAACGTTCAATATGCCTGTGGTTGGGCCCTTCTCTGTCGTCGCTGTCGCTGTCGCTGTCGTTGCTCCGGTGGAATCACCATGTGCTTCGACCCCAGTAGGATCATCAACAATGCCCACGACGCCGTCAGCCCTCACCACGGCAGTGGAACTTAGACTGCGCAAAGGTTGCATCCGGCCCATTCCCTCGTCATGCTGATGACTCTGCAAGCGTTCGAGGCTCCGCTGGCTCCGCGGCGTGTCGGTGCCGCCCATTGCAGGGGCCGAACTGGAAGCTACAGCTGGACCATAGTGTTGTGCACCGCCTTCTTTGGAAGGGGAGCCCGCCGAAACGATAGCCACGTCCACTGTTTCTTCATCAGACTTTTCGCGCTCGGAGCTGAAACTCTTTGTTTCGTTCATCAAGGGGCTTCCAGGCCTGCTCGTTGCTAGGTTCGTCGAGTTCGGTGGTTTCCCTTCCTCCCCATCGTGGGCTCCATCTACGTTCTTCGACACCCCGGGTGAAGCGAAGACGGCCCGTGTACTTGCGTCGTCGGCAGCAAGTCCGCTGCGACTGGTCATGTTGCTCGCCGTATCTGAGAGGAGAGGCCCACTCGACTCGTTACGACGGTGGAATGCAGTTTTGAACTTGGGTATAAAGCCTGCCGAAAGCAGTCCTGGATCAGGCGAATTAGGTCGAGGGTCCTGTGGTAACGGGCTGGTTGGTGTTGTGGGTGAGTGCCCGTATGCTGGCTCCGGCACGGACACCGCCTGTGGGCTGACAAGAAGAGGCGCCATATCATCGTCCTCAGCTTGTCCTGTATCTGTTACAGAGACAGTTTGTCTTCTGCCTCGAACTCTGGATTCACTTGTTCGTCGTTTCCTGCTTGAACTTCTTTTCCGCAAGGTGCTCGGCTCTCGACTTTGTGATGGACTCAGTCTGTCTGGAACGGGGGCGATCTCGACTTGTCCGTCCGCAAGAGCCTGAGCTTCGGTTTGGTCCACTTCCCCAGTATCCTGGTCTCCCCCTTCTGACTTTTCCACCCGCACAGCCTCTTCCTCTCTTCTCAACGTAGACTCATCATGTCTACTTCCCCAGCTGCTCCACATCGCCAGACCAAAGCTCTTCCTCGTCTTCCTTACCAGAAGATCTTTTCCAGTGCGTCGAGACGCGAGAGCACTTGGCGGGGGACTCTCCCCCTTCTCAAACCCTCTTATTTCTCCGCTGGCCAGAGTCCTAATCCGCTCTTTGCGTACTCTGCTACTCGCACTCGCGTACTTCCTGTCCCATCTCTTTCTTGCCTCGAGCCAATTGCGCACTGGTCCTGGCTTGACAACCCCCACATCATCCGGGGCTAATTGAAGAGCGGGCAGCTGGTGAGCATCAGCAAGAGGGTAGGTTCTCCCATGACGGTCAACACCTTGACGAATCATGTTACCAACAAAACGGGGTAAGGCATCACCGGCTCGACCGACACTACCGGTGACTCTCGTCGGGTCTACCTTTAACTTTGCTGAAATGTCACTGGCGGATCCTGTCTCATCTTTTGTTGCAGAATCTGAATCCGACTCAGAGGAAATGATCGAGATGTTGTCATCATTCATAATCTCGATAGACCTTCTTTGGGCTCTGGCCAGAGCCCAAGCCCCAAACTGCGCTATCGATCTGTACATGAACTTGGCGGGCCGTGTAAAAGACAGTGTCGTAGCAACATGACATAGGTCTTCGTAGACTTGTAATTGGACGGGCGTCGGCCTGTACTTTCTGAGAATGGTATCATCCGGATCGTAGGTTGAGCGGTATGCCGAGCCCAATGGGTATGCAGACGGGTTGGCCATTTTGTGTGCCAGATAGATTTGTTCGTCACGGAGAAGCTCGCCACCACCGGTCAGTATTAGCACAGGAGGAAGGCCACCAAGTGACGGTTGCAATACCGGGGACACCAAGGGATGCGCCAGGAGCTGATTTGTGGTGTACATCTGAATCTGGTCCTTGAGGGTGATACGTTTTCCGTCGAGCTCAACCGACAAATAATGCTGCGATGCCGGTTGCACCTCTCCACCATCCCTCGTGGGCACTGCAATCTTCCGGGCCGGACCCAAATCTTCTTTATTGGATTCTGGGAGATCTGAAAGTTTGCACTCCGAGAAGCCAGCATGTAGTTCTGCAGAGACCGCAACTTTATCAAGGTCAACATCAACATCATGACCTTTTGCCAGAGCAGTGATGACTGAAAGTTCATGGTCATTGGGAGGTGGCCATGACATCGATGGTTTGTGCATGAACCCATGAGGAGGAATATAGTCTAGCTCGGCGCTACCAACCAGACTGGGGAATGAATGCGTCATGTCAACCCAAGGCGAGATGAGAATCGCCCCAGCAGGTAATGGGAGGCTCTGGTCCCGCAGCAAGCACAACAGCGAGACCACCATACCTCCACCGGCCGAATCCCCGGCGAAAATGATCTCGGCAGGCTCATGGAGGCTGAGGAGGTAGAGATATGCAGCGAGGCAGTCTTGCAACCCGCAAGGAAACGGGAACTGGGGCGCCAATCGGTATCTTGGGGCAAACACTCGAGCTTGGAGTTTTCTGGCATGCCGTTGCATCTGATACCGATGTTCGTCAACACTGCCGAAGAAGTATGCGCCGCCGTGGACGTAGAGCATGACTCTCCTGCTTCTCCCGCCCGTTCTCTTCTGCTTGTTGTAGTGCGCTCGCATCTCAATCCACTCTGCCTTCAGTTCCATCTCTTTTGGACGCCATTGCCACCATTGAGAGCCTCCTACTTGCTGAAGCCCGGCCGTCCCGAGTTGACTCGTGATTGCCCGTGCAGCTTTGGAAATGTTTTCGGCGGGGATGGCGACATTTTCGGTCCTCACCCAGGATGGGGTGGGCACCCATTGAGCCGTGAAGGCCTGCAAGTCTTCCACGGTGTGGTGAGAGGTATATTTCAGGAAGGTCCGGATCAGGTGAAGTCCCTCGTCGTAGGAGATATGTGCAGTCGGTTTATGCCGCCGGGGCTTTCGATTCGCATACTAGATGAATCCTCCGTCAGCTCTCGCGTGCAGTGAACACATAGGAGTAGGGCCCGCACATGAGAGATATATGTTTTAACGACAGTGGGCGTAACAGCGGCGCCGACTGCAACAGTAGAAATGGTCATATTGATTTACCCACTCGGTCACGTCTCAAGGGGGACAGTAAACATCCTAGTGGTAACAGTTGCAGTGCGGGTGGGAGGCGCAAAGAGATGGTCTCGAACCTATTGAAGGACTGGACTGGGATACACTGTGGCCAAACGAGGGACAGAGGAGCAGGGAACCACAAGATCTGGATATAAGGGCCTGCGTCGTGCCCGTCCATGCGTCCATGTACATACAGTGTCCACACTCACCCACAGAGTCCGGGGGGCCGAGGAATTAAAAGGCAGCTTGGAGCATTGGCTGCGCTGCTACGTCATACTGCATACTGCATGTTGCCAAGAACCAGCCAGCCTCATCACCTGATCCAGCCTCGTCAGGCTTGACGGGACGGGGTATCCGTATGTCGTATGTAGCCATCCCCATCCCCACCCCCTACCTCACTCCAAAACCTAGAGCTTGATGTACCGCAGAAGCAGGGCGATTCCAATCACAGGCAGAACGCTGACAAGCTCGCCCAGAGCAGCGTATTGCGGTGGAATCCTCCATCTGACGAAAAGCCCGGCCGCAAGGAGAACAGCAAAGAGGTTGTAGGTGAAGGACCAGCAGAAGTTGAGCATGATCCGTCTGAAAGCTGCCCGTGAGAGATCAATCAGGGACAGGATTCCGCCCAAATACGGTCTCACTAGGATCGCATCCGCTGCGCTCTGCGCGACCTCGCTGCCCTCGCCCTCGTTGACGTGAATGCCGATGTTGGCTTGAGCCAAAGCGGGCGCGTCGTTGGTGCCGTCGCCGCAGAACATGACCACAGCTTGCCCGTCTCTCATGATGTCCCGGAGATATTCCAACTTGTCCCTGGGAGAACACTCAGATCTCACGTGAGATTGCGGGATGCCCAATCGGGACGCGACTCTCTGGACTGGCCCATCATCGTCGCCACTGACAAGGGAAACGGCGATATTGCGCGTTCGGAGCTCACCGATGACGCCTTGACTGTCTTCTCGGATGGAGTCTTCCAACCCAAAGACGGCACGGAGGTGTGTATCAATGACAACGCAAAAGACCGTGAGTCCTCTGGACGCGAGATCTCGAATGGCCGAGTGCTGTAAACCAAGCCAACGACAATTTCCTGCAGCTATCTTGCTGCCCTGAGAAGTGCCTTGCAGCCCCTTTCCAACCAGCATCTTGACCTTGTCCACCTGTGCCGGACAGACTCCTTGACTCTTGAGTGATCGGGCCACTGCAGCAGACACCGGGTGTTTTACGTTCCCAACCAATCCCAAGATCAGTGGCTTGATGGACATCTCTTCTCCTTCTGGGAAAATTTCCTCCACGACTGACAGCACTCCTTCCGTGAGAGTGCCGGTCTTGTCAAAGACAACATGGTTTGTTTTTCTCGCAATTTCGATGGTCTGGCCAGTCTTGAATATCACCCCATGCTTTGCTGCAACTCCGCCGGCGATTGCAATGACCATCGGCACGCAAAGTCCGATGGCGCAGGGACAGGAGACAATCAGCACGGCAATGGCATAAGTGACTGCATTCTCCACCGCTTCGGAACCTGAATAACCTCTTTTCCCAATCCCGTAGCCGATCCAACCGACGAAGGTGATGATAGTGATTCCCACAACCACTGGGACAAAGTAGCCCGCGACGCGGTCGGCTATCTCCTGCGTTTGGGCTTTGCTCATTTTCGCCTCGTCCACCATGTCCGCGATTGCGCTTACGGTATTGTCACCAGGGAGACATCTGAGATGGACATGCAATATACCTGGACCGTTCATGGACCCCGCGACAACTGGAGAACCTGCTCCCTTGGCTACGGGGCGTGACTCGCCAGTCACCATGGATTCGTCAACCTCGGAATGGCCTCGGATGACCGTGCCATCAGTGACAATGCGCGAATGGGGACCGACCTTGAAAACATCTCTGTATTGAAGAAGACGGGCATCAATCTCTCTCTCCGATGTTGACTTGTCGTCGAGCAGGACAGCTATCGGCACCTGTAAGGTCCGCACCGAAATTGACTCTGCAGCCCGCTGGCGAGCCCAAGCACTGATGAATCGTCCGAGCATAATAAGGCTGACGATCAAAGTGCTCGCCGCGAAGAAGGCTCCGGTGCTCAGCGGTTCTCCTTTCATTTGGTAGGCGAATGCGATGACGGAAAAGAGGTAGGCCGCGCTGGTGCTGAGAACGATCAACAACTCCACGCCAATGAGTCTGAAGAAGACCAGATCTTTGAAGGCAACAGGATAGAACGGGCCCGCGATACACACTTGGATGATCGTGGCTAGGGCCAAAGACACAGACCCGTAAGTCACTGGATTCTCAGGCAATGGTGCCCACGCCAGGACGAGCACAGGGATCGTGAGGATGGAGGAGCCCAGGGTGATCAATCCATCTCTGCGGACTTGTTTCTTGCCCGCTTCGACGGATTCAGCAGGTCTGGCCGGAGCGAGCGTCAAAGGAACGTCGAAGGATCTGTCCAGCAACGCTCGAGCTCCGACCAGCGCCGGGTCGTACTCGACCAGAGCCGTGGTTTCAGTGACAGCTCTCACGTCGACGATCCCAATGGGCCTGGCTTGTTGAACCAACGACTTCGATCCCCGTGGGTGGATGACTTCGATTTGCCGACTTTTCCTACTGACCTTCTCGCATGTGAATTTCGTGGCCCTTCCGATGTATGCGATGACCTGATCCGCTGACAGCCGGCTTGTGTCGAGATCGAATGCTGCTCGAGCAAGAATCACACTGATTTGCAGGTGGTGAATCTCCGGGAAAGTGGCGAGGGCTCTTGACAAGCTGGCTTCACAGCCTGAGCAGTCCATTCCGTTGACAGTCAGCTCGACGTGCTCGAGATGTGCTTCTCCTTTCTCGACGTCAGTGACCGCTTGGGAGACTTCGCAAGCCGGTTTTAGATTTGTTTTTGACTGGGGCTTGCATCCTTGAGGCCTGCTTTCTCCGGGTCGGGCAGCGGCTGCTGGGGAGCATGACAAGGGTACTTTGGCGACCGTGATCTCGTTCTCGTCATCGATGCATGCACATGCGGTCTTCCCACCACACTTTGCTTCAGTCTCATAAATCGTGTCTGGGCCTTTTGGGGCATTGCGTTTGTGAGGACGACAGCACGACTCCAGATTCTTGGCCTTTAAGGTCCGGCAGACACACTTCATGATGCCCTCGACGGCACGGTACTTGTGTCGCGCTGAGCTGATGTGCTCGTCGCAGGCTCGAGATTGGGCTTGGTCTCCCAGAAACCGTGAATTTTTGTTGGTAGATTCGTCGAATAGGCGTCTATGGGACTCCATCGAGGCAGACTCAGACTGCGGCGAGCTTCGACCGGTATCGCCACATTCTGCTTTGCATTCTATGGCTGCCGCCCGATCGATGCATGACTCTGTTCGCAAGATTAGTTGCCTGGACCGGGACCGGGGACACCAGAGAGGTAGTAACCATCGCAGCCATCAACCTCTCCAGGAAGACACTCAGGGCACTCATTGCCCCTCGCCCGGGAGGCCTGTTCACTCGCCGCATTGTTTGGACAGCCGCAGCAAGTTGCCACCTCTTCCTCCCCCGGCAGATTACAACACGACGAACCCATTGGAGGTGGTGTTGAAATTTGCAATCCACGGATTCAGGCCGAGGAGGGGTTGACGACACCAGCCTGATGTCTACAATCTGCGACGATCTCTCCCAGATACGCGGCGTGATCGGATTGGTCTCGGCAGCGGCCCGACACCAGCGACGATACAGCTGGCAATTTCACTCGCGCAAACACATCTTTGATTGCTCAATTTTATTCATTTTCGTCTGTTTCTCTCGTCCAGGGTCACTGCATGAACCGCATTTCATGACCATGCGATATGAACATGAACGAGCCACAACGAGCTGCAGACTCCTGATGAGCCTTCTTATCCACCTAGATCGAACTGATCCACGAGCAGTCGTTGAACGAGCAAGACAACATCTTACAGAAACCCCTCCCTGGCTCCGTCAGCCCATCATCTGGATTTGCCATTTTCCGTCGGTAGAGGATGAAAGCTACCTGTCCATTCGCCTTGGTCATATTCATAAACTCCAAGCACCTGTCGTTGCATTATTGATCCTCCCGCTTAGCGCCATGCCGTGAGTTTAGGAATTCGAAACAGAATAAGAGATGGGGGATCTTTGATAATGCAGGGCTCGCTCGCCCTGACACATCTTGTGGAGCAGCCGCAAAGTCCAGCCTCACACCGCAAAGTCATACTCAGCCCGAACGTGCAGAGACATCCTCGCCTTCATGGTCCCGCTTTGTTCCGGCTTGATCTCGTTGGTCGGCTTGTTCCACCATGTGGATGAGGTTCACTAGGTGGTCTCGCAAGGTCCGGTGGAGACTCACCATGCGGAACAGTGCATCTCTGTGACCGCCAAACAGCTTCTGGTTGAGACGAATGCCATCTTTCTCAAATGGTGCCCCGTGTCGATTTGCATACCGTGCCAGGTTTCGCAAGATCAAAACACTCATCCAAGAGACACCCGAGGGATGGCCGGTTTCATCAAAGGGTGTCTGGTACATTGCATGTGTGGCTTCGGGTCTATCGGACTGTTTCGTCGTGGACGCCAATTCATTGATGAGCTTGGCCATGGCTTCGGGCGATTCGGGAATATGGGACATGATATGCGAACTGAATTCATGGCTATTCTTCACAGGATTTCGTCTGCTGCATCGCGTCCAACGACACATGAAGTTGGATGAGCGCGCTGGGGGATAGGTGAAGCCTCCCTTGGGATCTTTGGGGAGTCTGAGATGGTCTGCCATGATGTGGGTCCAAAGCCTCTCTCGAGTCGAGTGCCATGAACTGCAAACATGTCGATTAGGACTACGACCAGTCGGATCTGTCTGGCTCAAGGAGTTGACCTCCCATAGACACTGGAACAAGGGGCGGCTATGTAGGTCGAGCAGCACTCGGCGTGGTTTGATTCCTCTAATGATGAAGCGAGGTACAGGACCGTTGATAACTTGAGCTTGAGCTGTCGAAAAAGTATTCGAGACATTCTTGATGAAGTCGGCGGCCTGCACGGGGTTGTGTTGGCTGAACCTCGACGAATATGCCTGCCAGATGGCGATCTGGGTAACGTCGTCGCCGAGGGACTCCTCGAAGCAGCAACGCAGCCATCTTGAAGAACGGTCTGGCTCAATGAACTGCAAGAGATGAGCATACAGCTCTTGTGGTATGATGGGAATAGGATTGACAGCCGGGTTCTTCTTCGAGAGGTCGCCAACTGGCACGGCAGCCCCGGGTATTTCCTTGACCGATGCATGGCGGACCAGGAGACTGATTAGACGAGATATGAAGCCGGTGTAGAGTTGGAAGTTGTTCGACAATACCTCGGTATTGTTTTCCGGCACCGCAGTGAATTCGTAAATAAAGGTCAGAGTGGTTTCGAGGAGTTCTTCATCCGAGTCCACCACAGTGAATGACAGCAACCGCTCGATCGACGCCAGAGGAACCTTTGTGAGATTGTGTATTTCAGCTGTCAGAATTCCAAATCGGTTGATCGAACGTAACACGGGAAGAAGAACTGCGCGGTCATTTGAGTTGAGGAGGGGTACAAGCGTGAGATATAGCGGATCGTCTGATGCCAAAGGCCAATATCTGGTGACTTGTTCGGCCACCTCCAGTGCTGACCGCTTGAACTCGGCAAGTTTTGGTCGATCTGGGATAGACAGAGCGATAGTGAGAAAGTCCTTGAATAGAGGCATCTTAGACAGGAAACCAGCATTGTCTTCAAGGATGACCATGTTGCGAAGCACCAAGACGGCTTCATTGAGTCTCTCCAGTTTGTCAGCAAATCCGGCACCTTCAAGGTCGTCGCCTCCAGTCTTAGGCATCAGCGACTCGACACGCGCCAATAGATTCGAAGTTCCAAAAGCCGCGTTCAAGGTATTCGGGAGCGAATCTCCAGCGTCGTCGTCATAGGATATTTCCCATTTCACACCATGGACGAGTTCGGTGATCTCCAGCGCCTTCTCAATCAACCCTTCGGCAAGGAACGGATATGTTTCGAATTTGTACTTGTCGCCGCGCTCGAATGACATCTTGACCATGTGGTGCAAGGCAAATTGCTGCTGTTCGGGGATACCGGACCGCAAGCAATAAAGACAACGAATGTAGATGTCTGGCCCCGTCATGGCAGTTGGAATGATTGGTTTGAGGTATTGCTGAGGCTCTGGGGCGGGTCGAGGCAGTGCCGCAGCTTGGGCTTGCGCCTTGCGGGCAAAGAAATGAGGATCATTGCCAGGTGTCTGGGCTGGACGGAGGGTCAAGGCAATGGGTGGGCGTGGTTCGTATTTATCGTACCAGTCAAATGATGGGTGGCGAGGGTCAGTGGAATTGCTGGTGTAAGTCTGCTGGAAGACAGCTGGCGCTGCAGGAGAGTCTGTGGCACGAACGGATCGCGAGCGTGTTGGTTGAGGGTCCGGCTGATATATCTGGGTGCGTTTCGGATCTTGTCTTAATTGACCTGTGATATCGCGTCAGTATTCTAAAAGAACACACTAAGTTGAGTGTCGCGCTGCTTTGCAGCAAGCACCGTGGCGGATCATGAGGCCCTCAAGGATAAATGAAGTCGCAACATACGTGATGGATATCTGGTCGCACTTTCAGGCTCTTCTGTCTCAATCTTCGCGCGCTTGGGCGTCGTTTGTTCCTCCTCTGCCGAGTCTCCTCCCTCGACCATCGCGGGCTCGACTGTTTGAGAGCTAGGGATGGGATAGTTTTCGAGGGTTCGTGTTCGGAGATAGCCCCCCTTTGCGCTAATGTCTTCAAGGATTTCTTTTGGAGGTGGCTGTTCGCCCCAGTACGTCGAAATTTCGTATGCACTACCCAGGCGGGATCGTGTCAGTGGATGAAGGCATAGATAATCGCTCATGTGGTTGCAAAGCGCAAAACAAAGTAGACATACGCAAGGTTCTTGTAATAAACCGTTTTCAGTTGAAATGTCATGACCGCCTCGTGGGCTTTGCCAATGCCAAACTCTCTCACAAGGGTGCGCCAGGCCATACGTTCGGCCGACAACGCATCATAGCCGCCTCTTGCTATGACTAGCTTGTACAGTTTGTGCAAGGAGATGGGACGTCCGCTGACTTTGCCTTCGCGATCAAAGGTGGTCCTGTTCAGATAAATTGATCAGCAGCTGCAAGACTGTCCGAGCCAACTCCCGGAAAATATCATACCCTCGTCTCTTGTGGAAGGCAGCGACGTCGGCAAGGAACTCCTCCTCGTCTTCGATGATCGTCTGCGGCGCCGGCGCCATGTTTGCAGGATGGGGAACGGGAACTGATCGGATCGTTCACAGGGCTGGGAGAAGGTGTATTGTCACCGATCTAAGTCATTTCATGACTGCGCGGGTTGAAGACACGTTGATCAAGTGAGGATGCAGGGTTCAGGCGGAACGAAGTGAAGTAATGCGGCGACGACGCGTAGGGCATCTGACGCAGTGAAGTTAGAGACGTTCCCTGCTGCTATCGAGACGAAGGGCGCCATGGCCATGATCATTGACAGGTCTCCGCACAATTTTGCAGTCCAGTCAGACTATGATCTTTCGAGTCAAGCCGGGAGCGCAGCCGGAGATTCCTTTCCGCCTGCGCTGCGCTAGGCCTCCACAATGAGATCTATACAGTATACTCGCAGATCCTCCTCTCTTCGCTTTTCTTAACCACATCTCATCCACCTCTTCCTCATTTCATGCCCGGTAGCACGGGGTACAGATTATCCGCTACCGGAAGTACAGTAGGCGCCCCTCCATGTTATACCTGTCCTAGAACTCTGTGGCAAGGCTGCCTCCAGACCGACAATGCCTTCGCAAGGATCCCAGCAGCTTTCTTCCTCTCCTTTGTGTCTTTCATTGCTCAAGTTTTCTTACGCCACAGTCTCTAACGAAAGTATTGCTCCCATCCCATGGATTCATCTGTCCAGCAAGAACAGTCTCTTTGCTGTCTTCGAGACGAGCCCCGTCCAGCTGGAGGATGGTCGTGTCGAGGCAAGACAAAAGTTCAAGGTGCTGCGTGATCCTGAAATAATGGTACATCGGCATGAGCCATTGCTTGGTTTTTTCTATCGCGTACTAGACTCACCCTGTTACAGGAAGAATTGGATCTCAATGCTCTTTCGGCTGGAGCTCAACGTGCTATGGCCCAAGTTCCGAATATCATCTCGCCTCAAGTTCCGGAGGTCACTGTGATTGTCAAGGTTCCGATGATTGCGATCAAATATCCCATGCAAAATGGACAGGTGATGGATGCCAGAACCAAAGCCTTCCCTACTCACAATCTTCCAGATCCGACGATTTCAAATCCGCTTTACCACGAATGAAGATTACTACGAGGCCATGAAGATGCTATCTCGTGCCGACATCCCTACAGTCGAAGCAGGCTCGTTTCCGATTCAGAGACCCCAGGCAGCGCCACAACATCCATCATCCAATTTCCTGACCCCGAGTGATTCTGCGTCTCAAATTGGCATGCCAACAGAAGGTCCAATCTCGTACACGAACGGTCAACCAGATCGTGTACCCGCGGCACCGTCGAATTATTCAACCTCTCTGTGTCGTGTCCAGCCAGCTTCAGCCGCACAATCTTCAATGGCGCCACCAAGTTACCTTCCTGTGGGAACGGATTCCAACAAATATCGCCAACCATTACAGCCGTCCAGGGTCGCCCAGTGGCCGAACGGGCAACTTCCCAATGAGACTGTAGGCACACGATCCAACATCTCGCTAAGCACAGGCACAACTCTGGTCAGCGCTGCCAACCAGTCGGGTGCCTTTGGCATGGCGACTCGCTACAGCAACAGGGCTACCACCCCAAAGCCACACACGCCTGGCTTCGCTGGGCAAGACCTGGGTCCCGACCCACCTCAACAATCAGTGACATCTCCGGTGATAGATGAGCATGTGGGACTTGTGCTTCCTCCGAAGCGGCAACTTCCATTCCGGAAAGTATCGAATACTGCTACCCATGATCGCCAGGAGACAGAGATTGATGGCCCACGAGAAGTAGGCAATGATGAGGCAGAATCGGTCACCTCGACAGTGGCAAAAGGCAAGCGAAAACGGGGCGCCACGCAAAAGACATCGAAACCTCCGGCAGCCAAGAAACCTCGAGCCACAACAAGGCCAAAAAAAGCCAATGCGAGCTTGGCTAAGGACGACACGCCTGTACCGACCGTGGAGGAACTGCTTCAGCAACGAGATGACCATTTACAACGACGCACCAGACATAGGGGAGGGGGTATCTCCGGTGCCCAGGAGTCCCAGGCTCAAGTCAAGAATGCCCAATTGATGGAAATACCAGAATCAGACGCCTATTCGCCTATACAACCAGCAGGCGGCGGCGTCGCCAGTGCCAGTCCATCCCTTGGAGATGCAGGCGTCACCAGACGCATAACAAGATCTACTTCCAAGTCGCTCGCCTGCATCCCTAGCGACCGTAGACAGGACGAGACATATGGGGACGTTGTCGACAAGGGCTTACCATGTACGCCTGCTGACCAGATTGTGATACCTTTGACACCGGCTTGTCCAGCTGCTGCTACGAACAAGTTGCCAATAGCACTACCCGCGTCACCACCACCGTGCCGCCCAGAAACCGCGTCGAAGCCGGCCAGATCCAATCAAGCTCGCACCAGCAGATCCTTCACGTGCGCTGATCCAACACAATCATCAGCAGCAGCGCAAGTAGCGCACGCAGCATCGTCATCATCTGACATCGGGACCCTCGGCCACGCGCAAGCATGCCTCGAGTCAGATCCACAATTCGCTCAAGGCAAGCAAAGGCTTCAAATGTGGTCTGACTTGCCGCCTGCCACGAAGGTGCCGGCGCTGAGATCCTATTTCTGTCGCCTCATCATGGACCCCAACTTTACTGATTTGTGCAAATCCCTGAGCTCGTTCTGGGAGAAGGAGATCTTGGACCGCCGCATCGAACAACCATCCGGCCTGGAAGACGGCGGTAGAGGGAGAGACACGGCGAGTAATGTGTAGCACCCACCCACCGGTGGCATAGCATGCATGGGCAAAAAGCAGATATTGAACCAGCGTCCAAATGCTGAAACACGGCCTGAAAAGCCAACTGACATGACGCAGATGGATGTTGCTGGTGGGGAGCTGCTGACAGGTGGATAGAGGAGTCATTTGTACGGAGTGCCTCGTGCAGAATGGCTGTATTTATTCTTTGTCTCGAAATAATCGACCGGCACAGATTCTCACAGTAAACAACCCAGGCATCAATCTATTCGTGACCGACCATCTTGCAAGCAGTTAACCTCAAGGTTTGCAGCCGCAATATCAATGGTATACATGTCAAACACTCGTTACCGAGAACCTAGGGACCGTTGACCTCTTGACACGGAGTAATTGAATACAGCAATACTGCTATCTCTCCTGCTATGTGCGGTATATGCACCAATGCTCATGCCAGTGTTGTTACAACTGCTGCTCGTATAGTTATTCAATTGCTCATGCTCCTGATGAAGGTCTAAACCCATTCTCTCAGTGCCATGCTGATTGATGGATGCCAACAATGACGGAAAAGAGAAGGCTTCCAATACTCCATGCGAGGTGCCTTGCAAAACCGCAGCCATAATCCATGAACTTCCAGCTCCGTTTCCGACCCTAGTTGTACCTCCTTGATTCACACAAAACTTGTTTGAAGCAAAGTATTATAGAACAAAGGCCACGCGGTCACAGAGGTGGGACAGCACCCGAAGCCGTCATAGCTGATTAAAAGTGGTCTTGGTTTGGCAGAGAAAGCTTGCTGAAACGAGAGATCAACAAGTGTCATGTGTAATTCGTCTTTGTATGCATATGTTCGGCTTGCATGTGGCTTCCTTGGCCACGACGTCAAGCGGAAACAAAAGTGTCAAAAAGAAACAGGTATGTATCAAGCCTGACCTCTCGAGGCCTCAGTCATAATAAGGGCCAACAGGCTCAGTGTGCCAAGATCCAAGGCGGATTCGTTTGCCAACAAGAAAGACCTCCTGGTATCAACGAGGAAGTGGCCGCCAAAACCACCTCCTGTCATGGCATAGGACAAGAAGGTTTCGGAAGAAAGCAACAGACAGGCATTGCTCGAGGATCCCAAGACGCCAGGATTGCAGCGATGGTCGCCAACAGCACAGACACCCAAAACATTGAAATGAGACATTCGTCCAAACGCCGGGCTAATATGATGTCGTCTGCAGAAAACCCGCTAATATGAAAGCATTCGGTGATTTCGACCCCTGAGAGCATCAAGGCCAGGCCTTGGTCCAGCAACAGGGGTATATTCAAGGCCCATGTCCAGATCCATATCGCTGTCCGGATGAGCTCGACCCATGGCCGTCGGGCTAGAGTCAATCGAAGGAGAGTGTTGGCCAAAAGCAAACGTCTGAGCTCTAACAAGCTTGGATCGTTGTTTCACTTTCCCGAGACCGCGTTCACAATCGAGAACATGCTCTTTTGCGTCCATCTCAACATAGTTCTGTGGATAACACCGCGCCCGGTAATCCTTGAAGAATGTGCTATAACCGCCATCTAAGATATAGACTTCAGGATACGTCAAAGCAGGATAACGATCGGCATTGACAGCACGATCCTTGTTGCGGATATATTTGGCCATAAGCGGAGCACGGTGAGCGGAATATTCGCAGTGAAAAATGAGAAGTGCCTTGGAAGTCGGTTCGACATCAAAAAGTTGTGAGGATAGTTGTTCCTTGTCGTTAAAATTTATAGCACCGTCGATGTGGCCGCCGTTATATTCGTACTCGAACCTGCAATCAATGATGACGCGCTTCTCGTATAAATGGTTGAAGCGGCCGTCAAGTACGTCGACCATGGTCTCCTTTGTTATCCGTGGCAACGCGCCAACCTCACTCGGCGTGAAGTGGGGCAACTGAGGAGTGTGCGGTGCTTCAATGTCCATGATTGAGGGTAGCAACGGAGGTGGAGGACTCAGACGTTCTTTTTCTTGTTTCATCACATCTTCCGGGTGCTCAAACATGCTCAAAGACCGGCGAAATTGCTTTCGAGGTCTCACCAAGGGGTTGGAGCTCTTCCTCATATGGCCCCCAATAGGTGATCCATTACGAGACGAGTGGCCAACTCCACATAAGCCCTGGCGAGAGCGTGGAGGAGCGAAGGCGGCAGCTCCAAGACGCGGCGGTTGCTTTTCCGGTGGCGGCGAGTCTGCGAATATCTCCGATAATGACAGTGACGATGAGGTCGCGGGTTTATTTGGGTAGTGCCCGAACTTGAAAGACGGAAGCTGGCTCTCGGGTGCAGGTCTCTGTGGAACGTTTCCAGTACTGAAGCCCTTAGCTCTACATAAAGAAGGTCGGAGAGGCCCCGGCTTTCGTCGTTCCTGACTGAGATTGAGGAGCAGAGCGTCCATAGGACTGTCTGTGGACGGTGGAGATGGCATGGATAACAAAGAAGGATCAGAAGGAGTTGGTTCTGGGGTGGGGGACTGCAGCTGTATCTCGACCGCTGTACAGAAGGGGGTCTTGTGTGGCAGCGGCGAGAGGTCGACGTCCATTGAATCAAGGGTTCCGGGAGAGGACGACGGTATAGGAGGCGTGGTTAGATTTCCTTGCATGCTCGGTCAGTCCGACTAATCTGCTTTATCGTTGAATAGTCCTTACGCTGGCCGTCGTGGGCTGCAAACATGCTGCTAGGAAAGAGTGCCCTCCGAGGCGTGGGTAATTGCGGACTAGGTTTGGGTCAGACTGGGGCCTGGAAGGATTTCTCTCGAGGAATGGTACGTACCTCTGATCAATATGAAAGTTTTGTGAAAGATCGGCAGCCAGGCTTGCGGTGGGCGAAGAGCCTCGTACAGGTTGAAGGCTGAAATAGTCTGACTGGGACTTCTGTATTGACCTCTTCATCGACAGGTCTCTGAAGTTGAAGCTGTTTGTCCCGAACGATTTGGCCGCCGCAAAGGAGGCGTACGATGTGGGAGCATCTGCTCTGAAGCCACAGTGGCCCACGAATGTAGGAGGCTGCATGGCCGCCAACGGTGACGAAGCCTCAATCATGTTGCAGAGGAACTTGTAATGCAAAAGGACCCTCTCTTTCTTTCACCCTCGACCAGTGTCCTTGTCCAACGTGATCTACCAGACCGCGAGAGGCAGAACTGGATCTCGTTTGTAGAAGGCCGTCCCACCAAGCCGTCCCGAGACGAATCTTTGAGATAGCCACCGCTGGTCGAGAAGTGCAAATGTTCCTGGACCGGTCCCGTATCGACGCGGGCTTTCGAAAAGGCAGTCGAGGAGACTTTTCAAGCAGCCATAGTCCTCAACGTAGGATATAAAGAACGACGGCGTGGTAGATCGGGCTGGGCGGACGTCGAGGACTGCCGGGTAGCAAGGGTGGGAGTCAATGCGGACGAGAACAGACCACCGGGGCCAGCAGGCTTTCTCCTCTTCACTGATGGCAACAGGATGGAGAAGGAGCCTTGACCTGCAGCTCACGGTGGCTTGAGGAGAGGAGAGAGGAGAGTTTAAAGCAGGGTATGCAGTGCGGTGGTGAAGGTCCCCGTTGTTGCTGGGCAGCATTGGCCTTGGAGGAGCGATGGAGACGGTCGAGTGTCTGAGGGATGCAATGCGGGCCTTGGCCCTGGGGACTCGTTGAATCCAGAAGGGAAGGCTGACAGCTTTGGGACAAGCTAACTCCACCAGCTATGGCACTGGCGGAGGCACTGACAGTGCATTGACAGCCGATGGAAGGCTTGGACCTGTAATCCTGTACGTACACATTGACGTGCCTACGACGAATTCAGGTAGGGACTGTGGCAGGACCTGATAAGCACCTGCCAGATGTCGGGGGGCGCGAGCCTGGGAAAAAGCCCAGAGAGAAGCCTACTACTAGGTTACTAGGTAAGGCCTAAGGACCTACAGGCCTGCCGCATACCTAAGTTAGCCTGGGTAGTAGGGCGCCTGGGTCGGCGTCAAGCCTCAAAGTGAGCGAGCTAGGCCCATTGCTTAACTAGCTCTTCCTCCACTTCAGCCCGCGACCGTCTTCGCTGCTAGTCGAGAAACACCGGCAACCAACCCCAGGGCGAACACCAACTTCTGCACCGCACTGGCTCTCGCTCTCGCTCTCGCCCTCGTTTCATCAAACAGCCTAGTCGGACTCGATCAGAGTCAGACGGTTGTCGGATGCTGTGCGCCGCTGCTTCCAGTGCAGTGCATGTGCATGTGCAGGTGCTCGTCTTGCTCTTCTTGCTCTTTTCTCAGATCCCCGATGATCCTCGACTCCGTATCTCGACAGCCATTTCCACCTCCTACGTATGAGGGTGCTTCGAGGGTGCATCAGCGGAGCAAACTTCTGCTTCTTTGTCAACTTCATCTCGAGTGGAGCAATCGATCGCCTGCTCAGCTGCTCAGCGCCGAATCCATTCCCCCCAACTAGCACCCGTACATGTGTCTCTGGGCAAGCCCCAGAGCCTAAGAGCCAGCTCCAGGCCTATCACAGGCCCGTTCCTGGCTCAGGCCGACAGGGTATGCCCGGTGTGACGCGAGGTTGCCCTGTGCGATAACCGACCTTGACCTGCCTATCATGAGGCCGAACTGCCGTCGAAGCGTCCATTTGCCTTTATGGGACACCTCTTCCGATGTCATCATGCAGATGTCAGATGGACGCGGTGGCTGCCTTGACAATGAGGAATCCAAGTGGGTTGGCTTCCAGGCGCAGGCGCGTGCGGAAATCACGTTGTGTTACTTTCGCAGAGGAATGCACTATTGCCCTGTGTGCCAGCGCACAGAGCGGTACAGAACTTTGAGCAGCAGTCTAGATTACTTCGAAGGTATTCTTGGGAGTGTCCGGCCCTGCGTGACAGCTGCTTAAAATTCGCCTTGATACCACGGAGGATACCAAAGATGATACCAAAGAATTTCGGACGGCGAGGAAGAAGCAACTCGGGTGAAAACTCAATTGATGGATGGATGATTGCACCACTTTTCTCTCGTCACTCGTCTTATCATCTTCGGTTGCCATGAAGCTTGTCCGATTTTGCATGGCTTCAGCCTCTAGCCGCTTCATGTTCTCGGCTGAGGCTGTCAGTTTAGGTACACATATCAGTAGTCGTAGAGGTAGGTAAGTAGGTACTACGTACCGATGTATCCGTATTTGGACTTCCTGGTGTTCTTTTTGCTCGACGTTGCAACATGAGCGCCTCCACATTGGAGTCATGCGTGTCGCAAGGCCAGGATACAGGATACAGGACCTGGCTATCCGTCCTTCATCGGTACCGGAACCAACCTGATCTCTCATCACTACCGGTTCTGTATCCGTCCTCCGTACGTCTTGATGGATGGGTCGCCATCGCCATTTTTGGTTTCAGACTAGTCATCCTGTTGTCGGAGCAGGCGTCGTGCTACCGACTTCCCCACGCTGGCCGTAGCCTGGCAGTCGAGTGACGATCTGAACTTCGCTAGACACGCACGCGCAGTACTCCGTACTCCGTATTTGATAACAACTCATCTCGATTCTTGCCCGACTCGCCGGTGAGAGCTCCCAAATGGCCATCATTTACGTCATGATTGCTATACAACTTAGATGACTCTCCAGTTCCCTGCTTTTCCGTCAACAATGATGATGATGCATCCTAATTCCTAATAGCCCGCGTTGCAAACAATGCTCCATCCGATCGAGATCCTTCGGAAGGTTGAGTTGCGGACTCAACGGGCTCGGGTAGGTAATGGTGCTGCAGCCACCACAGCCATGCTATGCTGAGGGGCAGAAACCCGGCGCGTATCCTGGGATGAATCATCATGGCTACCGGCCATTCCCCGCCCAGTGCGACGCGGACAGATTCGGGAGATTTCTCCGGTGTTACTCTGAAGCTCTCCTTCTTCGGCTTCTGGCTCTTGGTTGGTTGCAAGATTGAAGACGCCTTACCACCCCTGATCTCAAAGTCCAGGTGCTATCAATGTATGTCGCATGCAATTGGCACGTGTTGGTCGGCCTCGTTTATAAAGTGCGGAGCCTGTCGACCCTTTCCGAGCATTAGCATTGCCATGTTGCAGTCATAGTACGTACAATGTACATACAGCAGCACACTGGCAGGCGACGGTAAGACCCTGGTCTCAGAAAACGAGTTGTTTATCACTCAAGATGATAATGCTGAGAACGCGTTTGCCAAGCCTCCGCATCAACAACGCGAAAACGCGTCCAGGACACCCGCGCACGTGACCAAGTACAGTTCAACCAAGCCACCTACCTGGTACCTTACCTCTATTCCACTGTCCTTACGCCGTATGGAGAGGACTTGTTCTCACTTCTGCTATCGCCCATCTACGAAGCAATAGTGCATGGAGTCTAGGTCGGACTGTGACAGTACTCAGGATCCTGTCATTCGGGACAGATCCAGCAAGTCACCAACCCGTCAATTCTTGTGTTGACAGTTCTCCGTCCTCCGTCCTCTGTCCGCACCCGGTTGGATCGACCACAAGCCGAGCTTGACAGAGTACGGACGAGACCGTGACGCCGAGTTCTCGGTGCATTTGGATGCACTCCAGGCTCGTGAAGAGAACTCTAGATTACAGACTCGGAGCACAGACCCAATAGTTCCAATCTTGACTCTCCGTGGCGCCACGCATAAGCACAAGCACGGCCACCATGTTCCGCCACTGGCGTCAGGCTGGACCGTGATATCCATGTCTAGGTAGGCATGGCATCGACGAGTACTGAGTGCAGAGCATCTGTGAGGATACAGAGTACACGAACACCGGCCTTGATCTGGACGCTGTCCAGAGTTGTTACCATCTTCCTCACCTTTCCAGTTGTGTTGGATTGCACATTTTCAGTCATGTCGCCTGGCCTTCCAGGAAACCTCTACAATAAATCGGTATAATTAGCAACACCTTCCGATCGATTACTGGCAGCCGTCATCTACGGTGATCTTTGATTTCTTACCTCAGGACTCCCTTAGGTATGCAGGGGTACACATGTCACATGCAGCGGTAAGTTCGAGGACCCTTCCTTTCAACCCCGTGTCATCTATCGTGGTATACGTACGTGCAATTGTCAAATTTCGACAGATCTGCTCTACTAGCAGCTGGCTTGACAGCAGAAGCAAGAAGTCACACGTGGTGCATTTCAGGCCATAGGCGATGGTGGCGACGACGCGTCAATGACGTTGCGATGTCCCATGGAGCCGGGGTCAACATTGACGTGCCCAATTTCGGGCCCAGGCCAGAACCTGATGTTTCTCAGAGATCTCCCATAAACCTAAGGTATATAGGTAATTAAAGGTTCGGGATTACCGTGCCCTCATCCCGTCCGATATTTCTGATCTCCGCTTCACACCAAATCCATGATTTACTTTTGAGCATGGTATTGACGATCATGGGAGTGCCCGATTTACTTTTGAACATGGCATTGACGATCATGAGAGTGCCCGACCACCTTGGATGATGCGCCCCTATCCATCCCCAGATCTGCGCGCCTTTTGAAATGAAGGATGCATTGGCTATCTGCGCGCCTTTCGAAATGAAGAATTCATTGGCTGATCCTAGCGGTGCGAAAGACGTGTGCCAGTGACCAGTGACCTGACTGGACGTACAAACTCGTCTCGAGTCTTAAGTCTTGAGTAGTCATTGCCGCGGGCGCAGTGCTATGTGCACCGCTACATCGGCCACTGGTATCCGGACAGATCGTCGACCAGAGTTAGGGGTCTTGCCTTCTTGTATGTTCTATGTACTCTGTACGTTGCAGTGGCGGTGGCAGTGGCGGTGGCGGTGGCTCCCCCACTCTCTGGGTGAGCCAATGCGGTTGCGGACCTCGCACGAGGTAAGTAACGGAGCGCAATCGCCCCTCGCAAGGGATATGTAAGTACCGGACTGCAAAGGGAAAGGGAAAGGGATAAGTACCAGACCGCAAAGGGAAAGGGAAAAAGAAAAAGAGGACAGGAGAACGACGCAACTCTTGGAAAACATCTCGGGGCAGGGAACCAGAGGCTATGGCTCGTGAGGCCGTCAGGGCCTAGTCACTTAGATGCTGTATCTCTCAAGTCAGGTCCAGAGTTCCATGGAATCTTGCCTGATATTACTGATTCCCGTCAAACATGGCGTTCCAATTCTATTCTAGTACGAGTAGGTGCGTCCCAGCTATTCGAAACTTGAAACGTTCCTTCATATGACCTGCAACCTGTGGTCTGCTTCGGCGGCTTAGGCACGTTCCTATGCTCTACCGAGGCCTCCTAACCCCTTCATGTTCCATACCAATCCAGCATTTTTCTTCTTCTTTCAGAAATACCCCTCAAATAGCCAGCCTAGCTTCTCGAGAGTCTTCTCATTGCGACCAGCAGGGTAGGTGCTGATGCCGAACTTCCTGGCCCCAGCGAGGTGGGTCGCGCGCACCAGCTCGTCGTGCTCCTCCTTGGACAGCTCGTCCAGAACGGCAGCAATGAAGCGCCGAGCGTTCAGGGCATTGGCTCGCATGTGGCCCATGACCATCTCAACCGTGACGTCGCCGGAGTCGTGCCAGCACTGTAGTCCAAGGAAGAATTGATCAGTACAGTAGAAAAAGAGGAGGGAGGATTGATCAGTACGGTATAAAAAGAGGAGGAAGGAGAAAAGGGGCGGAAGAGATGTATCGCGATTAGGTCAATGTCAGGTCTGTGGAGGTGATCAAGACCTGAGATGGCAGATCTCTGACATGGGACCCCAAGTTCTCGTGAAGAGATGAGTGAAAGGCATCGGAATAGTGGGGCAGTGCAGGGGGAATCAACAAGTGATGCTCAGGGAGCTCCATGGAAAAGCCGACCATCTGGCCACGGACTCTACTTACATCATAATCAGTACTCATTAGGATGACCTGGTACGCAATCTCGGCTTCAGCGGCTAGTTTTGCTTCGGGCAGCGTCGACATGTTGATGACAGTGCCGCCCCAGCTGCGGTACATGCGTGACTCGGCCCGCGTGCTGAATTGTGGTCCTTCTGTTCGATATCATGGATCGTCAGTACTTTATCTTTGCTGTGCGATATGTATTCCGCTCTGCTCCAACCTCGCATGTCGGTCCATTGAAAGCCCGATCAGCAGGGCACCAGCGGGAAACTCGATCATATCTAAAATGCAGCCCTTGAAAAGAGCTTTCAGGGACCTCAGATCGGCCTGACTCCATTCATGGGACAAACACTCTCGAAGACATTTTGCAATTCGAGGTAGACATTAAAAAAGAAGAAAGAGAAACAATGGAACATACCCATGACAATCACGGTGCCTTTGTCATGCAACACGACGCCCTCGCCCTCCAGACTGTGGCCGCACTTCCGCACCACATCGCCGATCTTGTTGTCGAACGGGTCCGCAAAGGGGACGTGCAGAACAAAGCCGTCCTCGAAGAACGTGTGTGGCCGGATGCCCTTTGTGCGGTCGATACATTGATCTGGCACCACGAAATCGCGCGGCTTGACCTCCTCGGCGAGCGACCCGGCCGCGCTGAAAGCGATGATGCTGCGCACGCCGATCTTGCGCAGCGCCGCGATGTTCGCCCGCACCGGAATCTCCGACGGAGTCAGCTCGTGATGGGGCCCGTGGCGCGCGAGAAAGGCAATGGGGATCGGCTTGCCAGTCGTGGGACTCGGGTGTTCGAGGATGGTAATGGGCGAGCTGGGTGATCCCCAGGGCGTAGAGATGTGCAGCACTGCCGCCTTGCGGAAGTGTGGGAGGTGGTCGAGGCCTGTGCCGCCGATCACGCCGATGTGGACTGGGCCTGGAGGCGGCGAAGGGTGCGTGTTAGGAAGAGGATCTCACGATAGTCATAATCGCTCAGGCGGGGGTAGAGCAGAGAGATGGGGTTGCAGCGGCAAGAACAGACCTGCATAGGTGGTCGGGACGTTTTCTGCGTCTGGAGCAGACATCTCGATGTCTTCAAACTAGGGCTTTCTTCGATTCTTCTTGAAGTGGAACGTGGGACGTGGCAAAAGGAGATGGACTCTGTGCCGCTCGATCCTCGCTGTAGACGGGCAAGAACTCGATAGAGGGAGAAGATTGGACAATCAAGTCCTCGAGCTGATATGGTATGCTCTACAGCCACCGCAGAAAGGTTACCGCCAACTTCAATATCAGAAGCTGTGCCGTCGTCCCGCCGCGATGTAGAAAATAATGATATATAATTTATTTCATAAGCCGTTGTCTTGACGTGAAATCTGCGTTGTTTGTTCGTTTGCCGGGCAAGTTCGGACTCGGCGCGGAACAATATTTGGCCGGATTGCACCATCAAGTTTCAACGCTTCCATGATTAGTCATCGTCAAGATATAGAAGCACGAAGCCAGACCCAGACCCCGGATGATAAAACGCTCGCTATCCCGGAACGCAGACCCGTACTCCGTCCTGTAACATGGTTCCGGGCCAGGTGATAGAGCACCCCCCAAATCCCAAAACGCTGGTTCTGCGAGAGAGGCATGGCATGCGCGTTCGCCCAGTTCACGCCCATGGATTATCATCTGCTTCGTAGGCGAACGCAGTCGGCACTTTATAAGAAATCACATCCTCCACTTGAGAGGGGCCCATGTTACCGAGGTGAGGTTCTGTAGGCAGCCGGCCTGCTACCATGACTGCCGCTCCTTCGTCCGCTTTCGGGTCGGGAGTATGGCATTTCTCAGCTGCAGGAAACCGGAGGTCGAATTCATCCATGTCCATTTTGACACCTCCGTTAGTGAAGGTCACTGGCCCTTCAAGCCTGGTATCGGCCATGTATGCTCCCTGATGGCTGATGACGTGGGCAAGCAACGCACTATGGCCGTCGTAGACACCAGAATCATCTCCCAGCATCAAGCACACCAGACAGCGGAATGACGGGTGCAGGGGGACTTGTTGCCGCATGTGTGATTTTGCGAGGAACATCCATCGGTACTGGAGTCCAGAAGAAGCCGTGAAGACCTTATCGTTGATCCGATAGCCTTTTTTGTCCTTCGCAGCTTGCCCCGAAAACTGGCACTTACTGCTTGTACACCTGTACACGTTACCATAGACCCCAACAGGAGCCAACGTGAGTCCTTTCTTCACCAACCCTTCTCGGAGCTCATATGCGTTCTTACAGAAACCGCCATATTTGGTGATGGGTGAAATCGTCGATGCCGTGGACATACTTGACGCCATGGAGAGCGCAGTATTATGCCGCGAGACCGCCGTGATGGACGATAAGCCAGTGTCGGAGCGGCTGATCGGGGCAGGCAACCCAGGACTGGTAATCTCATAGCCAACAGTCGAGTTTCGACTTCCCGCACTCGACCAGGTGGCACTAGAGCTTGTGGATGCGCCTGTATTTCGGCGAGGGCTTCGGGGAAGCATGTCCTGCTGTGACGATCTTGGAGACTGATCAAACCTCCCGACCTGAGGGATCGTATCCATCGCTGTCGGCATTGTAGCTTGTTGATTGCCCTCTTTCCGTCGGAAGACGACGTCGGTGAACGTGCGAGATTTCTTGACCTTCCCCAGTGGTGGTGTGGGAGGTGGTGTCTGTTGTGGCTTCGGGGCAGCCACTGATTGACCTGAGGCGGCCGGGACTACCGACGGTTGTATAACATCATGTTGTGGCGGTGAATGTTCTTGCTGGTTTGAAGGAGCATTCTTCTTCCTCTCCATTTCTTCCTCCAACTTGCGCTGGAAGAGCGCATGAAGTGCAATCAGGGCGTCAACCCGGCCCTTATCGGAGGTATCAATGCAGGTGTCGAAGTCGATCACACCGTCGTCGTCTCGGGCCTGAGTGAGACCGGCGAGCAAGGCATTTTGAGTCGCGATTGTGATTTTGTAGAGTGCGAGTTGCGCAGTCGCTGTGGTTGGTTAGCCATTCGGCCGTCTCAGGCCTGATTCCAGGTTGCGCACATACTATCGCCTTCCTCGAAGCTCGACCCAAATCGGTTCTTCCCGTCAGCGACGACTTGTTCTATCTCTCTCTTGCCCTTTTCAATGGATTCCTCGAGGAGATCGGAGGGCGGAAGGGCGTCGTGAGCCAGGCGACGGGCCTTGATCTGCTTGACAATGCGGCTGCCAGCATCATATGCCTGGATCAACCCCGCGACACAACTGACAATTGCAAGAGCCTCGCCTATCCCGGACATGATGTCCCGTTGGCGACGAGAGCGAAGGGGATGTTGGTGGTGACACTACGATTCAAAGGATGGATGCGTCTGCAGCGGGTGGAGGAGGTCTGTAACAAGCAGGGAGAGAGCAGGACGATCAATGGCATTCTGTTCCACGAGGCTGCGCCTCGCTGCGTGACTCGACTGACAGTCTCGAAGGGGGCAGTCCTGCTCGGGACTTTTAGCGGGCAGCCACAGCGGCTTGGTGCATGAGATGGGCTGCATAGGCGTCTGGCAAGGGGTGGACGCGATGTGTGTCAAGCATGACCGCAGCCTCAGAGACCCTTGATTGACCGGAAGCTGCCTTAGCCGTTCCTTTTCATCTCTGATGGTCAAGATCGTCAATGGGCTTTCCATGACACCTATTATTTCGTATTCCACTAGAGGCCGCGTTGAAGACGAAGCGAGGTGTTGTGATGGATCCGAAACGGGGTGTGAGATGTAGGTGTGGCTTAGGCGCCTAAGGCTGCCACCCGCACCACTACTGCCTTCTCCGTATGGATACTACTGCTATGTAAATCCTCGTGGCTAAGGCTCCCACGACTTCCGTCGTCCCCACCAAATCGAATCCTCCAAACAACCACAGCACTGCACTGCACCACCCAAGCGAAAATCCCTTCAGCCCCAACACCCACCGAGCCCTGTAGGGCTGAACTTTGTCCGTCTTCATTCCTCGGAGCCTCTGCCTCAAAACTGCCAGTCGACATGTTTGCGGTTCCCGGTGCGAAGAGGTAAGCGAGCCATCAGGACTGGTCAATGACAGGGCTAACATCCCGTCTAAAAGGATCAAAAGGTCTGAACTCTTCGAGGCCGGTGACAGTCCACCCGGCTCTCAAGCGGACTCCAGGTCGGGTTCACCAGCAAGCCCCGGTTGTCGTGACAGTGATGGTGTCGTGGCCGTTCCCAATTATGGCTTTGATTACGACTTCATCTCCCATGAAGTTCAAGTCGAAGCTGGCCTGCCAGAAGCCTCCAACCACGCCGAAAACGGGGAAGGTGACCAAGAACAGGAATACCAGTTTCGCTTGTTCACAGCAGCTACTTCCCGACCAAAAGCGCAAACATCACAACTGCAGTCACCAACCTCTCTGAGGCCGACAATCAGGCTTTCGCGCTCTCCCTCGCCTTCTGCTCTCGATCGAGCACCGGGCTTGGATACAGCGCACTTCGTTCGCCCCTACCGCCCGCAGACTTATTACTTTACCTCCGCTCTTCCGCAGGAGACTATTCAGACCTTGAGGTCCCAGTACGTAGAAGTCGCGGTCTCAACTTCTGAAGTTCTCTCGCGCGCAAAGTCGGCCAGTTGGCCTGGCAGCACTCTGCCGTGGCGGGTTATTCACGTGGAGCTCTCAAATTCACCCCCATCTGCGGATCAAACTGCGCAGTCTCGATCTAGCGCTTTTGTCAAAGCTCACGATGCTTCGTCTTCCAGATCAAAGTCAAAGCCATCGAAGAAACGTCGCATTGTCCTCCGTCGCCGTCTCGTCAAGCACAATGAACTAGTTGCAGAGGCGATGGATGCGGAGATGGCGGAGCGCGAGAAGCGGACTCGACGAAACCGCGAGAAAAAGGTCAAACGCAAGGAGAGGGAGAAGAGGAAGAAGCTATTGGAAGGGCAACCCCAAGCAGATGATGGCCTTCACAATGTTCCTAAGGGCAGCAACCAGGGAGAGGAGATGCATGAGGGGAAAGAGGACGCTGAGATGACGGATGTTCAGACTGGCCAGAGCCCGTCTGTAGCACCAAAACGCCAGGCTCCCACGGCAAAAGGCAGAGCGCCGACGTCGGCGCATACCCTATAGACGGGGCTGGGACAACGACGTATCTCCATATTCCGGTTTAAAATCTGGTCTTGTTGAGGATTCAGATCTCACTCACATGTTGTGTCGTGGTCGACGCAACCAGGTCGTATATTACTGGGGGTTTCTTTACTCTTTACCCGCTTCCAGAACGTCACATCATCGCACTAACTGGGAGGCGTCTCCCATATCAGCCATAAGCCGTAACCCTCTATTCCAGATCCGCCAAATCAGACACACTAATCCACTTCACTCCTGTCACAACAAGATCTCCTTTTCCTTGCCCTGCGTAGCTGATGTTATACCCGTGCCCTCCAAATCATATGCCTCACTGACTGTTCGTCATCGCTCCCGCCAGCCTCTTCCTCATGAAATCAAAGAAAGCGAATTGACTGGGGCTAGCGCCGTACTCGTAAACAAAGCGACTCGCCAAGTAACTGCCAAAGATGGCCTTGAGGTATTTCTCCGGTACGCGTTCGAGGATCTTGTCAAGGCCGACTTTGTGCTGCAGCGTCTTGGGGAGAGCTTCCTGGAAGACGGCCACGCGTAAAGGCTCATTGTCCCACAGGTCGTTGTAGTTCTGCAGCTCTTCGTCGAGCTTAGTGATGGCCAGGGAGAGCTGGTCGGAGAGTCGGGAGCGAAGGACGCCAGTCTTGGCGTGCTCGCGCCAGATGGCTTCGAATTCAAGGCGGGCGTTACGCTTGATAGTCTCTTGTACTTCCTTGACGTAGGCGCCGTAGAATTCCGGGGCGGTGCCGTCAGGGTGGACGCACATGTTCTCGATGAAACCTTTGTCATCGAAGGATAGACTAGCCAGGACCTCGAGAGACGAGGAGGTTACGCCACCCTTGTTCGCCGAGGCGTCTTTGTATATTATACAGCCTGCCTTTTCGAGGCGAAGTTTGGCATCTTGGGTGATGAAAAGATTGGCGCCTTCGACAATGTACGGGATGGTGCTTTTGCCGTCAACAATCAGTTTGTTCGTTGCCGACAGATCAATAGACTCCGGACGGCCACCGCAGGGAACGAAGAGGTCGTACTGTGTACCATCCCGGAGATGGAATGTGTTTCGGAACGTCATGCCGTTGTGGACTTTCTCGCCTGTGGGTAGGGTGATATTGGAATCCTCCACCAGAACTCGATAACCTTGGGGTGAGAGTTTCGACAGGTCGTATTCCTGGATCATCGCCCGCTTCTTAGCGAGGCGTAAAAGTTCGTCGCGGTCCAAGCCGGCAGGATCGACCAAAACACCCGACCCATCAACGAGAGCGATGTACTTCTCGTTGCTGAGAAGGATCTCATTGGATCCCAAATCTCCATCAGGACCACCGGTTTGTAGCTTCCTGATTCTGCTTGGATCCAGGTTCAACTCGCGATAGATTCCAAGCACATACTCGCGGACCGATAGGGTGGTCATTCCGTACGCGTCATGTGGTATACCACCTAGTTTGGGACTCTTACCGGTGAAGAAAGACTTCCACCATGGTGCCCCTCGGTTGCGTGCATGTTCTGTCGCCCAGTCAACAAGATCAGCAGTATTCTCATCAGGGCCCATGAACAGGATCTCTTCTTGTCCGTAAAGGTCGACGATCGGGTCTTTGATGCCAGGGCTGGTTGGAGGCAGAAGAAGGTCCATGATGCTGTCAATGTATTTCTCAAAGGCCACCCGGACTTTGTCTTGATGGTTGAAGTCGAGCAGAATAACACCTTTGGATCCGCCCTCGGGGATATCCTTGTTTTTCCTCTGTTGAGTATTTGCAAGGTTGTAGTTCTCGTCGAATTGTGTTCGAGCGTTGATTGCGTATAGTTCCTTGTTACGGGACTTGACAATTCGGATGCCGCCACGAGCAATGTCGCGGAACCGCAGGTGGAAACCTCGGAACTCCGAGCCGATGACCAGAAACATGCCGTACAGCGGTTGAGGATATTCATGCTCAGGCAGGAATTCTGTGCTTGGGTTGAGTCTGAAACTGAGCGCGACCTTTGTTGGGGTGTAAAAGTTGGTCTTCAGGACTGCCTTGTTGAAAGTCAAGAAGGATTGCATGACCATTTCGTCATGCTGATTGGTGACGGTCTGGGATATCATTTCAGCCAGACTTGAGTCATCGAGGACCTGGTCGACGTTCAACCGCAGGTAGCTGAGCGTAGGGAGAAAATCATCTTGGTCACCTCTGGTCTGGACATAATGCGTATTGGCAAATGAGAGGTAGAGCGAACGAATCAACCCGGGATATTTGTTGATAATCTCGAGGATGTAGTCGGCTGTAAAAGTCTCCTCCCGAAGACGTTTCTTGATTTTCGACAGCAGCTCTATATTGGTGTTGCTGTCTCCTTTCAACGCCGCCACCAGAGAGGCGTATTCGGACCCAAGGCGATTGAGAAACTGCTGTACAAAGATATGCACGCAGTGAGCGTAGATACTTTCCTGCAAGCTCAGGTTGCCGCTTGCAAATTGCCCTTGCAGCTTGTTCTGTGGTATGCAGAAGAGCAACGAGACTTCCTTGATGATTTGGTGAATGGATGCTTCAATCGGAGGATACCTGGACTTGGAAATGTCATTGGTGGCAGGTTTGAGGTAGAGTGAGATGACCGTGATGCCGTTCGAGAATTGCTCGACATACTTCCTCGAACTTGTGATTCCGTAGTAGTGGTACAGATCGGACAAGGCACTGAAGACACCAAGGGCCGACCCTTGCCGATATGCGATGACCAATCTCTTTTCCCGCGTGCCTTCCATCTCAAACATCTCTATCACGGGGCCTGTCCTCTGAACAGCGTAGGTAATAATCTCCTGATAGATTTCTTTGGTCTTCTGTGTTGCTTTTTGCAGAAATCTCTTCTCACCAATGACCTCAAGGTCGGTCTCGTCTGGTCTGGGGGCGGCGTTCTTGAATTGACACTGGTATACGAAATAACACCGCAATGACTCGTCAGGGTTCTCCGGCAGAGCATTGGTTGACCTGAAGGATTCCACTCGGTAGCTTCTGCCAGGGGTAGATCCGTCCACATACTTCTCATCTATCCTCTGCTCGAATCCTGGTCCATCAATATTGCTGACTCCAGGCTTGCTGGTATCGATATAAACGGCGTGGTCAGCAGCCTCTTTAGCCAGCCTGATTTCCAACTTCTTGTCATCTCTGGCATATGCAGCCAATTTTGCGGCGTACAAGGAGAGGATGTTGCTGGCCACTGCTTCGGCTGTCTCGGTCGAAAAGTACATGTCGTCGATGCCCAGGGCATTGTAGAACCACTCGGTTTCGGACGCTATGAATTCGGTGGGTAGGAAGCCTTTCTCTTCGATAAGGTCCATCACTAGGCTATGGTTAGAATACATCAGGAGCGCCCAATGGGTTTCTATTCTCTCCCACCTTCTTCCATCTGGGCTTTCTTGCCCTCAAACTTGGGGGCGACATAGCCAGAACTGTGGTCCGACAAGATCCGATGTAATGACTGGTTTGAGCTGGATGCGCCAGGCACTCCAAGCAATGTAGGCTGAGGCGAAGGCTGTCTTCCGGGGGTCCTGATCACTTGCTCGACGAGCTTGTTCCTGGCCGGGATCAACGGCTGTTCGCCGTTGATAGCTGGGGTGACCATATTGTGTGTGGAGAGAAGGGCGGGTGCCGTGTTCACGTCGAAATGAGGCACAGAGTGACAGATAAGAGGGGGAAAGAAATCGAAAGCGGTCTAGACGACCAAAGAGATGGCACGGGTAAGGGCTTGAGGGCCTGGTCAGTCGCCAAACCGGGACCTGGCTAGATCTACGGATAACAGTATATTTGTGTGTATCCGTACAAAAGGTGGTGGTAGAGCTGCGCAAGGAGGACGCCTCGTTCGAGGGATGATTGTTGTCAGAAATTTTTCTTTTATCCGAGCGCAGCACGATAAGTCCGTCTGACTGCAGCTGAAACACTTGTTTGGGGGCGAAGATTGTGAATTTATGTCTCCTGTAGAATTTGAGACATTGGAATTCTAGCACGTGTCCGCAACAACCCCTTCAGGCCCCTTGTATTGAGACGCTTTGCGCAAAGTTTTCCGCAACTTACATCACATGGTTGCAAGACCGAGACAATTCAGGAACTCGTTACGCGAGAACATCCCCCGCAATTCGATGGCAGCGCCACTCACCACCGGTCACCCAGGCACCGTGTTTAACTAAAGCAATCCATTGCCACAGGGGCGGCCACGGGTCCTATCAGCAGCGGCGTTAGACAACCGTCCTCGCCGCCTCACCCGCTTAGCATCGGAGCGAATGAAACGTGCTCATCTTGCGAGCCAGTCAGAGGACGTCATCGGGATAAAAGAACCAGGGAAGAAGCTGAACCCAGGCGCTCGATCACAGTTACGTATTGGAACAATGGATGCGTTGTCTGCACCAACAATATGAAGCAAATCATGCCGTGGCGATAGTGATCATTCCCATATGGGGCTTTCATGTATTGCGAGCATTGAAACAAAACGCCGAGGCGGTCAATGGGAAACCCCGTCACCCAATAACATAAACAGTTCAGATCCTGGGTGGGTGTTCCACCGCCTCTTCTTCCGCGTGACTTGCAAGACTGCTGGCCTCGCCTTGCCGTATGTTCGTGTCAATGATCACTTCGCCGTCTTTGTCCGGGTCATACGACGCGCTCGCGGAGCTGTACTTGGAGTGAGAAACGGCGACACCACTCTTGCATCCCTCCTCATCATCAATGGATGCGCCATGGCCTGGATCTTCTTCCGCCAGTAAACCGTGCTGCTCGTCGCCTTGTCCGTGATCTTCTTCCTGGTCATGCTCGTCTTCTGGAGCGCTCTCTTTGATAAATGTGTCAATGATGTAATACTGCACGGCGTTCATGAGCAACGGAAAGATCAACATGACAAAGGCTACCTGGACAGCTTCATTGCCCTCCGTCCAGCGAAGCGCCCAATCGCCCACGCGTTCCAGCCACGGGCAGAGCTGGAAGATGATGAACACACAGGTCTTCATGCCTAGAAGTCCGAGAAAGTAGATCAGGCATTGTTTGAGCCACCAGGTCGCCTTGGGTGGCCTGCCGTAATGACCGGATGAAATCGACTCGGGAGGATTTGCCAAATAAGTGTAACTTGCCCCCACCGTGATCACCTTGAGGATGAGGATGAGGATAGGAATCCCAATGGTAGTGTCGATAGCTAGATTGAGCAAATAGAACGAGCACGGGTTAGGTTGATATGCATCCTCCGTCGTGGCTCCAAGCGTTGTTGCCGCAGTCTTTGCCAGGCTCTGTTCTATATGACCAGAGGAAAACAGCGACATGACGAGATTGGCCAGATGCAGTAAGATCGAGCCCACCACCTGCTTTGAGACATCGAAGGACCAAACTTTGAGTGGCCGTTGAGGCCTCTCTCTCCACCTCTTGTACACCAAAGACAACAACGCAAGGGCTCCCAGCGCCCCTTGAACAAGTATGGCAAACGGACCAAGCAATTCGCACTCGCCACCACCGTTCTCGCCAGACATGGTGCTTGAAGCGGGTGCGGAGACTGTGGGACGAGCGAAAGCAATGAACGAGGTCTGCGTATTGCTCGCCGGAGCCGTGGCTATGTTGAAGGCAAGAGAGGTCGTCACGATCGCCATGATGGAGGAGAACGAGGAAGAGGATGTCGGGACGGGCGAAACAATAGCATCATGAAACGAAGCGGCAGAAGGGAGGTACTCTGCAGGGTGCATATGCGAGTCGGGACAGGCGAGGCTGTCGCTAATGTCACATTAGGTAGTAGAGACAGCAATATTCTGATTGCAGCCTGTTGAGAATGTAGGCGCGAGGATGATGGAACATGGGAATGCGCAGGAGGGGAAGCGAAACCAGGCTTCCAGACCGGGACGCATCCCGCGCCAATCATGCGCGACATGTGCAAAGCGGGCAAGAAGTGCCTGATCTAATACAGCGGAGTATATGTGCATATATGGCATTATCCATCTGCCTGGTAGGTGCCTGGCTGCCGGTGTTGCCCTCAACGGCGCCCGGTGCATATTTGGTCAAGCATCTGTGGAAGAGATCACAGTTTGCTGAAGTCAGGTACGGAGTACATGGGCACGTGGCTGCATCAAGAGCAATATCAGGCGATTGAACTGTAGACTCGGAGGATATAGGCAGTTGTTGTATCAATACTGACGGCCCTGCCGCCCGGCTAGGTACTATTCAACTGTTGCGTACATGAACCTAGGTGACAGCCGTCTAACCCAGTCTATGCTCGGAGAGGTACTTCATAAAACGCAGAGACGCAATCCGGGTCCAAGGCACCCCTCAATGCATCCAACTCATCAGGGTATCATCAAATGAAGCGAAGCAACAACTTTGCACAATGATATCAGCACCTTCGTAACATTCGTCAAACATCATCTTCTCCATTCTCGTTCGAAAGATGTAGACGCCCAATCTTGTCGCCACTCGACAGCCAGTTCTTGATCACACAGGGAGCGGTTTCCGGGCCCGGGCAGACCTTCTTCCGTCCGAGGTTCTTGAACTTGGGACCCATAGGTCCATTGACATAGTGATATTGCCCCGCGAATCGATATTGTCGCCGATCTTTGAGCGGATAAAATTTATCCCCCCAATGGCCGGCGAAATCGAACCATTCGGTTGGCGCCCTGGGGGTGATATTGGAGGATCGCAGGACGTCCGCCTTGAAATCGTACGTATAAGCATGGGAATTCAAAGCCGGGTCCCAGAGCGGGCCACGATCTGTCTGATCATGGAGGATTCCCCAAGGTAAGACGTAGGGATGCGTCCCAGGGGTAGCGTACATGGCGTGAGTGCCGTATGCCGAGTAGATGACAGGCCTTTTCCCAATTTTCTCCACCGCTTCGTAACTATAGGCGGATCCGAAGTTGTGCTCACTGAAGAAGACAGCTTTTGGTTTCCCATGATGGAATCGAATGGCAGTGTGTTCCCAGTCTCCCACATGGTTTCCGAATCTGACGTTGAGCACCACGTTACCCAGGTTGAAACTATAGAAAAAGAACCAAAATGCATCCACAATCCCGTGGCCCTTGTTGACTGTAATCAGGACTGCAGGAGCATCACTTCGGCCGCCTCGAAAACTTGGCGGCGCACGCTCCTCACCGCTTGAGCGTCTCAGTTCGAGATGTATCCGGCGTGAAGTTTTGTCCTCGTCGGCTTGGCCATAACGCGACTGGTGAAAGTCATTACGCTCTTCGACATCTTCCGCGTCAGGGGCAAACCACTCTTTCAAGTCAGCCATAGCATCCTTGAGTCCCTGGATGTATGTCCGGCCCGGCTTGTGGACCCAACCTTCATCGTCGTCGTACCCACTGTCCACATCGGTCGGCATCGTAGGAATATTTTTCTCGCCCTCTAACCAGTCTGGCCGTTCTTCGACGTTATCATTGCTGGTGAGGAACACCCAGTGGCCATCATCCCATTCATTTAACTTGTCCAGATTTTGCAGGGTCGGGGGCTCTTTGGTTGACTCAAGGGGTGTGTAGTTCAGAGCTGGGGTAATGTGGTAGAGATGCTCCGCAATGTCGCAGGGCCAGAACTGTTCCCCAGAATAGAGGTGGACCAATGGCGCATATTCCAGAACATACGCAGGGATATCTCTCAGCACCTGCTCATCATCAGTCCAATCTTCGGGTCTATTTTTGCCCTCTGTCCAGGCACGCTGCCAGTCCCAGTCTGGCTTCTTGTCTATAGGAAGCTCTTTGCTGTTTGACACAGGACGAAGGCCAAACCTATCCATTTCGGAGATCAAATGCATATGTGAACCGCCGCAGACTCCAAGCCAACGGCAGCATTTCCGGTCCAGCCAGTGTTTTGACGTAGCAATCCAGCTAGTCTCTTCCCTGTCCTCGTCCTGCCAGATGAAGGCTTCTGGGTTCGTTGCTCTAAGTACACTGTTGACACACATATAAGATATAAGTGTGGACAGCACACCTATGGTGGCTTTCGTTTTGGTGGCGCCCATCTGCTCTCCCTCCAGGGATGTGGGGGTTACGGGGTCATATGGAGTGGTGATCTCTTGTTCAAGCCCTGCTGCGCTCGAGTCGACGAGAACCACGACAGGGATAGATTCGGAGAGGGCGGTCACGGACGGCGCCTGCGCTGTATTGAGAAAAATGTTGTCTGTAGGACTGTCCAGCGTCGTTGAGACGGAGATTGGAGGTTGGACAGATGCTTCTGCCAAAAAGGTATATAACGACGGCTGAGTGGGCGTCGGTAGCGCGCCATCTTGAAAGCGTAAGGCCACTGTAAGAGCGAAAGCCCGACTAGATTAGTTAATGCATCACGAATAGGGCAAGCTGACAAAAAGAGAGAGACATGATTTGATAGAAGCCATAATGCACCCTCGGACCTCGCGGCGACAGCGGAAGCACGGCTCAAACAGGGTCGCGGAAAGGCTGCAAGGCCACTGCATTGACCAAATAATGTCTCATGCGAGGGCAATAGCAGCAGAGAGGCATTCCGAGATGGAGATAAGTCTCCGCTGTGAGAATAAGACCGAGAACCCTGTCCGCTACTGACTCTGTACTATGGAAGTGATGGATATTGCGGACTTCCGCAAGCATCCGCGTCCAATGCGGGAGGGGTTCGGTTCAACGTACTGATAGAATGATTGGCCAAGAGGCTGGCCCTCAACCGATCGCGGGTAGCGGTCTGTCCTGATCTGACTGTGACTGTACCCTTGGTGGATGAGGCGAGGGGCTGGTCGGCAGGGTCAAGCCGCTCAGGAACAATGGGCAAAGGGAAGTGCAATTCGCGCGAGATGGGGGAAGAGATCTAGATTGCGAGACGTAGAAATCAGTGATAAATACCGCTGGCCCCCCGAAGGTGGTGATGACGGTGAAGGAGGGAATCCAAGCGCTAGGACGGCCGGGATTGTGCCAGCTATTCGTCCTCCGTACTCCGTAGTGCGTAGTAAGGTGGTGACAAACCTGAAGTGACATCCTCGGGCCTCCTAAGCCTGAACCTATCCGCCCGTCCCCTCCCCAGCTGCGTTGGGCACCCCGCGCATTATTATTATTGCAGATTGTGACTCTTCGCCTTCAACCACCGCTTGCTGTGCATAAACCATCGGCGTAATCTGGAAGGCATGCTTAGACTGCAATGAAACAGATGCCAGCTACGAAAGATTCAAAAAGGAAGCGAAACACGCGGTCACGTGACCAATGAGGCCCTGTGCTATTTGTCTCGACGCAAACAAGGACAAACCTGGCCGTAATCCAAACGGCTAATGATGACTGTCGGTCATGGATCAACCTCGGTACTCGCGTGAAACTACAGATACCGATGAGGATGAGTACGAGTACGAGTATGATGATACCGAAACAGAGGTAGGATATATGCATTCAGTCGAGACAATTGTTGGATTTGTATAGTACTCATTCCTTACACATTCATTGACAGACTTTTCTCGTCGATCTGGATCTCTCATCCCTCAACCCAATCACCAAATTGAATGTTCCAGGAGCCCCAAGACCCGTGGTACCCGCCAAAAGGCCTCTCGACATATCTGATCCGCCAACGCCAGACCAAAATGTGCCGGGCGCATACACAGCAGACCCCATCGAGGATGAAGACCGGGACCTCCAAGAGCAGCGAATTACACCTTCCGGCAACGCCGAGGATAATGATGACGACGACGGGGTATCGCCCTTCTCCACAAACGTGCAAATCCTCGATCTCAACAGCGAAAACCCGGTGATTTCCTACTTGGATCAAGTCTACAGCTGTACATGGACAGATCTGGTCGGCACCAGTATGTTCTTTACGAACCCGGGGCTGAGCAATCCTGCTGTCACGCTACTGTCAACAGACGACTATGACTTGATCGGCACGTCCCGGATCAAACTCGTCGGTGACCGAGCCACGGTGTCCAGGAAGGCAGGGTCAAAGGGAGAAGTCCATCCAGAGAGCGTGTACGCTGAAGGGCAGTCGCCTCAGGCTGAAGACGAGCCCAGAGGCCGGAGTCTAGGGAGCCTACTCCGCACCAATCCTAAGACCAACGTCCAAATTAAGAAACAAGCAGCGTTTCTAGAAAAGCTTATGGACCTCAAGCGACAGCGCGGAGAAGAAGACGTTGTCCGAGCATACGTGGATGAAACGATTGCATCGAGTGACACCCCAAGTGTGGTACAACCCATGCAGTCCGAGGTTGAGGAGCTGAATCAAAGACTAGTCAAAGGAGATGCAGCAGTTCTAGCAAGGCTTCAAGAAATCTATTCTCACACTGCGGATCAAGATTCAGAGCCCGGCGGTGCGACCGAAAGTCCCCAGGAAAAGCACGACTGACATTATATACTCCAATGTTTGGTCCAGAACCCCCATCCTTCATTCCCAAGGCCTGAACATGTGAAACCCCTTGATCCTAAAAGCCTGCAGGAGAAGGACATTGGAGAAGTAAATCCAGAAATGACAAGCTGATTGTGATACCAGTTTTGGTAGGAGGCGGGAAGAGTAGCCGAGAGACTTTGCTCAACGGTCCTGCTTCTGGCGATTCCAGTGAACTGGAGAGGGCGGTGGTGGAGGAGGCTGGTGTTCAGGATTCTGTCTCCTATCGGAATAAGAGACGTATTTTGGGCGTGGTTGAGCCTCAACCGCCTTGTACATATCTCGGGTCGAGGTTTCGGAGGCGAGAACGGTAGAGCGATATGATGAGCGTTGCATGCTGCCTAGAGGATGACGAGGCAAGACGAGACAGAAATCGTGGAGAGAGGTGATTTCACTTCGATCTGAAAAACTTTTGTCAGTGCCATGCTATTGACTTACCAACAGCAAGGATGATGTCGCAAGCTTACATTCGTGGTGTGCCTTTTTCAGGTGTTTAGTGAGGATCGACAATATCTCTGGGGGTGGAACCGAGCAGTGGTGACGATACTGGAGACGAGAAACTGATCAGCAGGGAAAACTGGGGACTGCTTCTGTAAATGTATGTGTGAGTAGGATGAAGAAGAGAAAGGCGGGCTGCTCAGGAGGAGCAGAGACTGCAGTCAAATACCCCTTCACAGCTCTGGGAGACGTCGTTCACCAGTCTGGCGGTCAAGGCGACGTGGGATTGTTCGCATTTCAAACAACACCGGCTGGCCATTAGCAACCGTTCCTCCATAATAATGATGCACCCGGTGCGCAGGGGATTATTGTCACGGAGGCCTTAGGAGCCTCTCTTCCCCGACGCCCCACGAGGGAAGCCATTCCTAGCCCTGACCGAACGCCGCTTGCGTCGCAGCCATTTGCGCACCCCGTCTCCGACCATTAAACATTTGCCGTCCTCCTTCTCCTTCGTCTGTCGAGCTGAGACATGACATGGTCTCCAGTGGAATGCATCGCTCTCAATCTTGAGGTGATTGATCGCCCTTCATGATGCTCTCTGACTGGGCTGCCCAAGGCCGACCACGTCTTGACGTGCATTCTAACCGAGGACAACAGTCCAGATCGAAGGAGGCTCCCCGTACTATTATTTCGCCAAACCCCCAATGATGGGCCAGTGTCCGAGAGATCCACCCCAATCCGCACTCCCCGGAGACACCTACCCCAGTTTGATGCTTCAAGCGTAGGAACTTGGAAAGCTGGGCGGAGCGACAGAGCTACTGCACATACTACAACTCGGGAGCTAGGGGCCTGAGCAAGGTCCATCCCGCGCTCGAAGTGATACGCGACGCCAGAAGCACAACCGAAGCTCCGCCGCTTTCAATCCCTACACATGAGGGATGTCCTTAGCCTCCTGAACCCCTGTCCTCTCACCGTTCTCAGGAAACCGAAGCCGCAGTATCTTGCGGGAACGCGGCTGTAAACTAGGGCATGGGCAGCCCGCCCCAACGACCGGGCTGGGGAACCGGGTGTAGCCATTCACGACCGGCTGCGTGGCGATCCTCCAAGACTCATACAATCTCAGAAGTGCAGGACGGGTCGCAATGGCAGGTGGTTTGATGCCTGACGCCCGCAACGCAAACAACATCCGAGCAATAAATAAATGGAAAGCCTGAGGATTGCAGTCGCCGAGCGAATGTGCTCCGTACAGGGATTTGCTGCTGACGGTAACCCCTTGTCTTTGCCCTTGTATCACACTCAGCCACCGCCGTCTCTTACCTCGTACGACACGCCTGGCACCTGTCTGGCCTTCATGATGCCAGGATTGGTATACGGATACTGTCGGCCATCTTTTTATGCAATCCTTCGAATCCCCCCAGATGACGGCCCGAGGAAGTTGGGAAAGAGCTGCGAGGATCCGTTTACCATGCTGATTACGATGTCGGGACAGCTGTCGGACACAAGCTCCTTGGGGGATACGGTAGTTCCGTCGTCGACGATATCACTAACGTTGGTTAGTAGTAGTAATCCACCATTTGGTACAGACTACCGGTGTGATCGAAGTGCTCCTCTAAACTCCGTACACACCCGCCATTACTAGGTATCTGAACGGCTACATGTTTCTGCATTCTGGAGATGACATGGATATTCCGATCGCGATGGGCATATGACTTGACAGAGTGATATTAGAGACGAGTTAGCTGCCCACGATACAAGCGTGATTCCTTCTCACCGCTGGCGAGACCTTTGACTTCGAACACTTAATTAGTAGAATTAGACCTGCCCAAGCCAGGTCACGTAAGTGATCGAAGTGACCGAAGTGACCTAGAAGCCTGACCGTATCTTAAAGAAGAGGCTAATGGGTACTCCGTAGATTGTTGGTATACCGACGTAGCTTTCGGTCAAGGTAGTCAGTGAGGGATACTCCGTAGAGCTTATAGTCTGAGTCTTTTCGGTGACCAGTAGAGAAGACCCCAGTTGATCGTCTTGAGAGCACTCCATCGTTTTCTGATCTATCATCATCGAAGACTACGACTTGTTGCTTCCTGGTTCCAATACAATTAGTTATGCCATACCAGGCACCTGCCAGGCATGTGCAGCGGTGGGCGTGTCACTTCACCGAAATGCTTCTTACTTCCCCGTATCTTGCCCATCGCGCGTATGTAATCTGCCGCAGGACAACTAGCGCAGTTACAATAATTCCACTTTGGTCTTCAAGTCAACTCCGGGTTCAAGAACCACCACTTCTCGCGCATCATTCAACCGCTCTCATTTCTTTCGTCGTTGTGTCTGGCCTCCCGTCGGAGGTCGTACTCGGCTTCTCACCCAATGTAGCCATCCTCGCTCGTTGCCGTTACTCAAGCTACAACAATCGCCTGTACCCCACCTCCGCAATCGACGGCGAAGTCACCCGGTGACTTCTACGACTGCGGCCATGCCTACCTCTACTCTATGGCGCCGTTCGGAAGACCTCGCGAGACTTCGAGCTATCAGCCCAATACGTCCGTCGGCCGAATTGATTGAACGGCTGTCTCCAGAGCCAACCCTCGAGGCCTCCGCCCCCCTCGAACCTTCACTCCTCTCACACACCTTTCAGGAAAACGGTAACTCTTTGAGCGGATTAGGTCTCTCCCATGCTGGACTATCAGAGAGTGTCCCAGTGACAGTGCAACCAGACCATTTGTTCTACGCCCAAGATGGTTCCGCGCATGTCGGAGCTCGGCTGGTGGGTGGCGCGGCTCCGCAAAACAGGCGTTGGTTACAAGATTCGCGAGACTGGTCGTCTAGAAACTCCAAATTCTCCCATGATGCTCGAAATCCTCGAGGCAAAGGTCATACCCGATCCGGATCTACCATTGATGACCTTGCCAGTGCCGCCATTGCCCACAGCCCTGATTTGGTCCATGCCAGTCCCACCGCCCTCTCAAAAGCGAGTCCGTATCCCGCCGCTCGACCTTCCACGTCCTACATCCACCGGTACGAGCAGATTGATGCCTCTGACGGTCCACCGACGAAACGAGTCAAGTCTGAGCGCATCCCTAATCTTGAGTGGTCGCCACGCGCAGACAGACCGAAGACAAGCGGCTACGATACCAACACGGATATAACATATGAAGACGCGCTGCTGTTACTGGAGCTCAAGAACGAGGTCAATTTCAAAGACGGGACACCCCAGATACCTTCTGATACACTCCATGACCGGTCATATTCCTCACACACCACCCGACGGCAGTCGAACGGATGGACTGCCAAAGCCGGTCAAGTTGCCCAACATAAACATGTGGAAGATGGCCAGCCTGAGGATTCTAGGATGCAGGGAATTCATTTTGTGGCTGACGTCTCCCGGACTTCATACTCGGACATGTTGCCGCAGCGAATCGAAACCTCGGCCGCCCAAAATCTTGACGCGACGGACGAGCGAACCACCGCAGTCGATCCCACCGCCACTTCTAGTCAGCAAGAGATTAAGCAGGGGCCTGAAGCCAATCCTCCATCAAACGTTCCGACAAAGAAACAACGGAGGGTTAAGCCTGAAGTGCAAGCCGAGGTGTGCGCCGCGTGCCAGCGTCTCCAGGTGAACGCCGCCGATGACGAAAATTCTGTCATGTTCTGGATCAGTTGCGACGCATGTAACCGTTGGTTCCATGCAGAGTGCGCAGGCTTCAAAACCAAGGCCGAGGCAAGAAGCGTTGATAAATATCTGTGCAAAGACTGTGAGCCAGTGCATGGCAAAACAACCTATGTGCGGAAGTCCTCCCGTCCACGAACTGCGATAGATTATGCCGGGCTCCATCAAGGTGTGGTCAAGTCCTCTGCGGAAACATCAACCCATCACTACATTCAGCCTATTAAGGAGGGGAAAATTGCTCTTCTACCGGACGATTTTGCTCGAGTGCGGCCAGAGCTACTGACCGCGCAATTTATGGAAAGCTTCGACGGCATGAAACGACCTTTCGTGGTCCCGGCATGTTGGAATCCTCGGTTCGGTGTCAAACGCCCGTCTAGTGAAGCCCATTCAGACATGGACAAGAACGACGGCGCACCTCTGACTCTGATTGACAGTACAGGAGCGCTTGTCGGCCCTGACATTCTTGTCTCCAATCATGTTGAGGAGGAGGAAGTCATAGATTGCGACCAAGATTTGCTGGACATGGTGATACCAAGGGACTTGACCGTGCGGAAAGTTGCAGAGCTTTATGGACCAGATGAACATGTTCCGGTCATTGACGTCAAGTCTCAAGAGACAAAGGGCCAGTTCACCTTACAGCAATGGGCAGACTACTATGAGCTTGCAGGTGAGAAACCAATACTGAACGTTATAAGCTTGGAAGTCTCCCAGAGCCCTCTCGGAAAACTCATTCGACGACCTAAAGTGGTTCGAGACCTTGATCTTGAAGATCATGTCTGGGACGGAGATGCAGAGACTCGAACAAAGAAAAGGCCAGTACAATTCTATTGTCTCATGTCTGTAGCCGACAGCTACACGGACTTCCACATCGATTTTGGCGGCTCGTCTGTCTACTACCATATCCTTAGAGGCACCAAGACCTTTTTCTTCATTCCTCCAGAGGATAAATACCTCAAGAAATACGAAGATTGGTGCAACTCTGATACACAGAACGAGACATGGCTTGGAGATTTGTGCGGTGGTAACTGTACCAGAGTCGACCTGCATGAAGGAGACACAGCTTTCATTCCTGCTGGGTGGATCCATTCTGTTTGGACGCCAGAGGACAGCTTGGTCATCGGGGGCAACTTTCTCACCCGCCTTGACTATGAACTGCAGCTGAAGGTTGCCAACATCGAGAAAGTGACCAAAGTAGCGCCAAAATTTCGGTATCCTTATTTTCAAAAGGTCATGTGGTATTCACTGATCAAATACTTGGAAGATGACCCAGTTCCAGATGAAGTACTGAACGACTTCCGCGATGATCCTGACTATGTGTTTCTGCGGGCGAATCCTGTTTGGCACGAATTTGACGACCTAGAAAGTGTCGCAGAGCCAGGAGAATCGGCTTTCAATGCCAGGTATTACCCGAAGTCAGAGGTATCTGGATGGCCATCACTCAGGGACTACTTGTACCGAACCGCCAGGATTGACGCTGGGTTGCCAGTGGCAGACATCACCAAAAAGCAGATCGATGCAGTCAAAGCGTCCATCCCGAAAGGACATGGTGATCCTCTCACGATGATCAAATTGTTTGCTATATGGTGTGCCTGGAAGACTGGCAATATTCCAGTACCCGAATGGGTGCACTCTGATGGCGCTCTAGAATCAGAAAAGACGGAGAAGGCGAAAAGACCTGAGGTTTTCCGAATGCCGGGAGAAAGGAGTTCAACGCGAAAGGCTGCACAATCTCTGGCTCAAGTGCAGGCGCCCCAGCCAGAAGTCAGTATTCCCATCCCAGCGAAGCAGAACGTCAAATCCGGTTCCGGTTCCAAGGGGAGTGGATTGAGAGTAGCTTGTGAACCATGCCGAAAACGACGAATCAAGTGTCGACATAAATCAGGCAGTGAAACACCCACCAGGCCTGCACCAGTAATCAGACCACGAAGCTTTTCCAATGCTGACAACACCTCGAACTCAGCCATTCCTCAGAATGGGCCGAATGGTGAGCAGTTGACGCCCTCAGGAGCACGGTTATCAGAACCTGTTGGCATTCACTCGGAAGCGGCGCATGCGCTCTCTGCAAACACTGATCAACCGTCATCTTCGAAGAAGAGCCGGACCAAGGCATGTGAAGAATGCCGAAAAAGCAAGGTAGGAGCCTGTTTCCAAGTGGAGTGGGCACCAACTGATCATTCCCAGCGTCGATGCGTACACGATGAGCATGGCCGCATCGATCCGGCAAAGGCAGCGGAGCCATCCAAGCCTCGTGGATCGACAAGTTCGAGGCATCCGGCCCGCTTAAGTGATGGAAGCGTGCAGAATAAGCAATGGCGCTTGGATGGCGACTTGCTGGACGACTTGATCGACCCCGCCTTGACGAACGGCAATACCTTTGAAATGGCAAACGAAGAGGTTGAAGATGAATCCCTTACTCCAGCGCCTTTAAATGGGATAGAAATAGATGGGAACATGGCCAGTCTCGACACGATTATGGTCGATCCCGCTCTGGACGCAATGACAGCTGCTTCGATCGAAGTGATCAAGACGGAGGTCGATCTCGCCGAAAACCATTCTCTAAAAAATGCTGCAGACGAGACCTCGCCCGGTCTAAAGAGCAACATTAGGGTTTCCACTCCAGCGACGGTCAAAAACCGACGTTCAGTGAACGGAGACTTCTCCGGGGAACCTGACACTATTCCTCTGTCGAGACACTCTCCCCGTCAAGCCAAGCAGATGGAGCGATTCACACCAGAAGACAAGAGATCGCCGTGCAAACCCCCTCCGAAGCCTCAGAGAATGGATCGTCGAGCTTCGAGCGCCGCCAGTGCACAGACAGTGGTGACGAGCGTCAAAAGCCGAAGATCGTCGAGTAATACGTCTGGGACAATCCATCAAATGGCAAGCAACATGGTCAGAGTAAGTCCGTCTCGGGAAGGCTCGGTCAGGCCAGTGAGTAGAGGCAGTACAGGAGGAGAGAGCGAAATGGATGCAGACGAGAGGTTTGCGAGAGAGCTCCAAGCAGCAGAAAACGGATTGAGGCGACGGACAAGCATGAGGGCATAGAATGCATCATCCGCACGCCGATTGCCGAAACTAACTTAACGACGATATGACGGGAAGACAGCCTTGGAATGGACTGGAGTTTGGAAGAGTGACCAGTCTCTTGACAAGCGCGGCGCTGGAGGCCTCGACGAGATTTGGTTGTGTTCAATGGGAATCAGAGGAGCTCCGATTTTGATGCCTTTCCCTTTTTCCAATACCCTGATAGCATGGTGATTCAAACAGTGCTCCTATGGAACTGGACCAACGTACACTTGGCGTGAACCGCGTTTAGCGATGCCCAGGGTGAGGGGTGGTGGGAGCGTCTGGCATCTGCGCCTCGGCCCAGCCTCATCACGTGCATGACGAGGCTGGGTTCGAGGCCTGAGCCTAATCGTCTACGCTAACCCTAGTGGGCCTAAAACGCCAAAATGTGGGGGAATTACTGTCCTTCCTGGTGGTTCTATGGTGCTAATCCGATCGTCAACCGCGTCATTGTTCAACAACTCCCTGACGTCTACTCTGTAGTCGATTTCCACCCACCTACACCCATCTTCCTCTTCTCTTTTGCCGCCCTCAAACCGCCATGCTATCATCACCACGATGGCCAATGTGTATAACAGTCAACTCGTATGCAATCTCCCCATCGTTACCCGCTACTCCACAGGACTGACGAGCCGCTTAGGACGCGTTCGAACTCTACCACCAAGTTCAAGAGAAGAACAGCCAATCGCGGACTTCGGTAGGAAAAGCTTCCGTCCTCGAGGCTCTTGGACATGGCATTGCTGGATCCGCGGGGTCAGCGATTTCAGTCGCTGTTCTCTATCCAATCGACTTGATCATCACCCGACTTCAAATTCAACGCCAATTACGACAAGACCAGTCGCAGCCTACAGACGACGAGTACAAAAGTTTTGCCGACGCGGTTGAGAAGATCTACAAAAATGAGGGTGGTATCGCTGGACTATACACGGGATTCTTGCAAGCCACTGGCAAGACAATCGCCGACTCTTTCATCTTCTTCCTCACCTACAGCTTCCTACGTGACAGGAGACTGGCCGCACTGGGGAGAGCTAAGTCACTACCTGCCATTGAAGAGTTGGGTGTCGGATTTGTCGCTGGCAGCTTGACCAAGCTTGCCACGGCGCCCATCGCAAACATTGTTACGAGGAAACAGGCGGCTGCTTTGCTCGCGGCTAGGGACCCGGATAGTGAGCCGTTTCAAGTCCCAGGTGCTCGGCAGATTGCCAGGGAGATCTATGCTGAAAAGGGCCTGGCTGGCTTCTGGTCAGGATACTCGGCTTCTCTGGTCCTGACACTCAACCCCTCCATCACTTTTGGTCTCTTCGAAACCCTTAAAAAGGTGGTCCTGCCGCACCATAGGAGAGCCCACCCACCGCCATCATTGACTTTCCTGTTATCCGCATTCAGCAAAGCATGCGCCAGCTCAGTCACATACCCTTTCAGTCTAGCCAAAACACGCCTCCAGGCCGGATCGAAGAGAGAACAGCGCGATGAAGAGAAGGTGGTTGATGAAGACATTGAAAGCGAAAGAGCTAGGAAAGCGACGCGGTCTACAATCTTCAGTACGCTCCTGACCATCGCTCAGACCGAGGGAGTGAGCGCTCTGTACGAAGGATTGTATGTTGAGATCTTGCGATCATTCTTCAGTCATGGGATCACTATGCTGGTTAAGCAAATCATCCAACGGCTCCTGGTCCGCGCATATTATATCTCCTCGATAATTCTTGGACGATACAAGCGCAAGACGAGTTCGAAAAGGCTGGCACAACGAGCAAAGGCTAGCGTGGAATATTACAACCTCGCGATGGCTCGTGCGAGCGAGAAACTCGACGAGGCCACTCATGCTGTCAAAGAGAAGGCCAACGAGACGGCCGAGTTCGTGGGCGAGTATGTTGAAGAGGAAGCAGGCGAATGGCGCGAGCTCTACGGGCCAACGGGACTTGCTAAGTGGCTTGATGGTGAACGTCATTAGCAGCAAACAAGAGGACGGGTACGGAGTGGATGGCTTTACTGTATCACAGGCTAAGTCTGGCGCCAGGCAATACGGAGGTGTCGGGTAATATTCAATGGGATTTAAACAAAACCACCCTTGGACCATCACCGATACGCGACACGCTGACCTCCTCTCTTTTCCATTTTCACCTGTCTTTTACTCTGTGGCCCGGCCTCTCCACCTGCGCCTGACATGCCACCAAGCATGGCCTTCAGTCCACTTGCTGTCGTGACAGCGGCGTAGATTGCATAGCTAGGTACGACAAGGTATAGCCACCAAGCCCGGTTGCCACATACCACGACGAGGATCAGATTGATCCAGGTCCAGTAGAGGATATCCCACATAAATTCGGTCAATCCCTGCGCATCCAGATCTTCTCCTGCGCGCTGGAGGGAACCGTCTGCTTTGTAGGTCGGCCTAGCAAGCCGCTCCATATAGAATTCTATAGCCAGTGCCGGTGCAGAGAGAAAAACGTAGCGCTTCAAGGACAAAGACCGCCGCAAGGTGAAGCGAAATAAGAGGAACACGGCATGGATGGCCAGGGTGATGAGGTGCGTTTGCTTCAGACGACCGGTATTCCGCACGGCAAGGGACTTGGCCGCTTTCTATTTTGATTTTAGCTGAAAGTAAGAGAGGGAAGAGGAGAGGCTCACCTGCGCCATTCTGGATGAAAGGTCTCAAGTCCAAGTTCGTCCGTTGAGGTTGGCGAGTAGTGTGGCCTTACTGGTGAGGTTGCGGCAGCGCAGTGACAGCGGTTCCCAGCCAAGTATTAGGAGTAGGGAGTAGGGAGTTAGTATATGAAGAAGCAGAAGCTTGACGCAGTTGAAACCGGCGGCATGAACAACAATGAGCCCTTGGTCATACGGAGGAACAGAGGTTGATCAAAATTGGGCAGAACTTTGGATTGTTTCCATCGGGCTCAGGCTCGTTCGTTCCCCGCCGCCACAATTTGTTTCCAGCCACACGGTGTGTCAAGCGCGGTGCAACACAACGGCTCTTCTGGCTGCGAACAGACCCATCCCGCTCAAAACCAAAACACCAGCAACACTGCATTCTAACCGCCCGCATTCTATTCATATTCGACCTCGTCGCCTTAGTACTTGTGCTCTCTCTCGGTCACTTTGGGCATTGGGTGTCGGTGAGACCTTTGAGATCCCCTCGACCCTCGACCTGGATGAATTGTCAATACCAGCTTGATCGCCGCGCATTGTTTGGGAAGGCATGCTCATGACCTCCAACAACTGCGGGCTCGCGTCTTCCACCAAATCTCAATCTCGACGGTCAGATCGGTTTTGATTTCATCTTCACCTCCGACTTCGCCTAAGCACCACCTATTGCTTACGTCCATGCTGCCATGGCACCTTCAGTAATCCACGTCGCGGGCCAGCTCCGACAACTTGTCTACTACCATCTCGACAATAACCTCTTGAAGAATGCCTTGTTCCTCGCCTCTCGCCTCGTTGCCTACGAACCACGGTCCGCCGAAGCAGCATACCTTCTTGCATACTGCCAATACCAATCGGGATTCGTCAAAGCGGCCTGGGATACCAGTAGACCTGCTGGTGTACGAGGATCCCATCTCGGGTGCAGCTACATTTTTGCCCAGGCCTCGCTCGAACTAGGACGATATGTCGATGGTCTCACAGCGCTGGAGAAGAGCAAGCACTTATGGCAGAACCGTAATACTTGGGCTCAACATAATGAGACCCGGCGACAACATCTCCCCGATGCCGCTGCAGTGTCGTGTCTAAAGGGCAAGCTGTGGAAAGCACATAAGAACATTGACCAGGCAGTGGAGTGCTGGGCAGCGGCGTTGAAACTGAACCCTTTCATGTGGGATGCTTTCACGGGGCTTTGCGACGCTGGGGCCAAAGTCAGCGTCCCCAATGTCTACAAGATGTCGGCGGAGATGATAGCCATGACACATTTGTCTCAGCAACAGACAGCAAAGATCGAGATCCCATCCACAGTGGCCGCCGACAAAGCTACAACCTCTGCAACTGGACAACAGTCGCACACTTCCAACCATGCCAGTGTAGCGCCGGCGGATCCGTTTGTATCAACACACAAACCTCATGGGCATTCGCAAATAGGCAACTCTGTTCTCTGGGAGAAACTGAATGGCAGTAAGATGAGTATCAACACTATGGATACAGTCCTCGACGAAGAGGGCCTGAATGCCCCCTCGACTGAGGCAGAAGTGGAGACAGGCATATTGCAAGGCGGTGTTGTCAATCAACATCATGAGCCCCCTCCCGCGCCAATGAGGAAGGCGAAGGGCGCAGCAGAAGTCGCGGCAGATCCTCCTCCTAGGTGGAAGACCGGATCTACACGGCTGAAAGCGAAAGCTAAAGTCGCCTCTGACGATACTGCAGTTCTGCAAGACCCTCCTGCATCGACCGCTCCTTTTAAAAGAACTGTCTCCGGGCAACCTGCACCGACATCTCATGCAACATCAGGTACCGCTGAAGGTACGAGAAGAAGTAACCGACTTCTCAACACAACTAGACCACCGAGTGCGAGCAGCACAGCTGGAAGCAAGATATCCTCACTGGCAAATACTCTAGGCCTTCGTGAAGGAAGGGACATCAAGAAAGCAAGAGCGCCGGCTGTAAGGGCGAGAACTGCCACCGCTTCGACCGTGGGCAGAGTCGTTAGTGGAAATCGAACTCGAACCGGGTCGGCAGACGCGATGGACGTTGATGCCAAAGAGTCCAGAGCCGCCGCGAATGCACCGCCGGTACCGTCTCTGCCAAATTCCAAGGTCCGAGCCGAGTCCGCAGTCAATCGAGAGCTTGAAGGTATTCAGACTCTGTTGGATCTGTTCGGAAGAATCGCCTCAGCCCAACTATGTTTATCCAATTATGACTGCCAGACGGCAATCCAGATCTTCAACTCTCTTCCATCAGCGCAACGTGAGACACCATACATTCTCTCTCAGATCGGGAAGGCATATCACGAGCAAGCTCAATATGCTGAAGCCGAGAAATTTTTCATTCGAGTTCGACAGTTGGCACCCACTCGCTTAGAGGACATGGAAGTCTACTCCACGGTGCTCTGGCATCTCAAATCAGAGATTGAGCTTGCTTATCTGGCTCACGAACTGGTTTCGGTCGACAGACTGTCACCTCAAGCATGGTGTGCAATAGGCAATTCATTCTCGCTGCAGCGTGAACACGAGCAAGCCTTGAAATGCTTCAAACGCTCCACACAACTCGACTCTCAGTTTGCCTATGGATACACCTTGCAAGGCCACGAATACATTGCCAATGAAGAGTTCGAGAAAGCCCTGGAAGCGTATCGGGCGGCGATAGCTGCTGATGGCCGGCACTATAATGCCTGGTATGGCCTCGGCAAGGTCTACGAGAAAATGGGCAAATGGGCCATTGCCGAACAGCATTATCGAACCGCAGCCAAGATCAACCCTACAAATGCGGTACTGATCTGCTGCATCGGCTTGGTTCTTGAACGGCTCAAGCATCCCGAAAAGGCTTTGCAGATGTACACGCGCGCATGCACCTTGGCACCTAGCAGCGCGTTGAGTCGGTTCAAGAAGGCTCGATGCTTGATGAGCCTTGGTCGACCAAGGGAAGCGTTGGCCGAACTTCTCATCTTGAGAGACGTCGTTCCGGATGAAGCGAACGTCTGGTTCTTGATGGGGCGGCTTTACAAGACATTGAGAGAGAAAGGGAATGCTGTGAGGGCCTTCACCATGGCTTTGAACTTGGATCCTAAGGTAGGTCTCCACAAATTCTGGTCTGGTTCGGTGCTGACGTTTCAAATTTAGGCTGCACAATTTATTAAGGACGCAATGGAAAGTCTTGACGACGAGGATGAAGATCCGTACGACGAGGACGAAGATATGGACTGACGAAAAGCGAAATAGTCCAGGTTGTTTCAGCCGTGGGTGTTGGACGTCCATCTACTTGCGCCATTTCGACGAGTGCCTTATTCCCGTATTGATGTCCATGTCCACGGCCACGTCTACGGTCGCACCCGTCCAAATGAGACTTCCAATCACCTTGCTCACTGGTGGATCGATACAGTCGTGTTCCCAGCACGGTCACTGTAGACATATATGCCCAAAAACGGTGTTGTCAAGACTTTGCACATGGCCCATGACGGAAGGACAGGGCGCGACGTGTCACCCAGCAAAAATGAACGATCAGCTTTGGGTCTCTTCTCAGCTTGCGGTGACCTGCCACGAGTGGAAGCAGAATTTGTTGTGTTTTTTATATGCATATCTGCGTGGCATGGCAGCGGATGGGCACGACATCGGTTGGCGCGGCAAACGGCGTTGTATAGCAAACGAAATCTGCTATTGCGATGTTGGCCGTTCGCGGGTTGCTTTTGGGTTGGTTGGACTGGTCAGGGGATCTTTGCATGCATTGTTTGCGGATGCCGTTCTTCACATTGATCCTCTCTCTGGTCAATGGGTTATGGGCGGATGGGATCAGACAGACCTGAAGCATGGCATTGGAGCTCCCCTGATTCTATCTATGCATTTGTTTATTGGGCTGGTCAAGGCCCTGCCTGGGGACAGTTGTCCTTTCTGCCTACTGCCTGCTGCGTGCATCCTAGGTCCAAGAGACAGACAGACTCTGGAATGGGCTCGAAGGAAAATACTGTAATAGTTCAAATACCAGAGAGAGGGTCCCTTGTGTTTTATTTGCGACGGGCACCACCCGAACTGCCCACGTGCTAGCTATCGCGAATCGCGGAACATGGAAGCAAGATTGAATAAGCGACAGAGAAGGCGAACGCAAAAGCGAAAAGCGATAGAGGTATCATATAGGCTCTGGCCCTAGAGCGTCAAAAATCAAACAAGGCAAGACAGGTTAGGGGAGGCCGATGAGAGACATCGAGGCGGCACGCAGCCATCAGAGTGTGAGGAAAGGACAGCAGAAAAGAAACGGCCCAAGACGACCCAAGACAACAACCTCCGATATTAACTGGCCCCGTGTATGTGCCAACTGGCCATTCTTGCTCGAAGCCTTCTCTCTCAATCATTGGCAGTCAATGTCCTCCTCCACATCTCTTGTTCCTTTTCAAGCTGCTTCTCCTCCTTCCTCCGCTGCCCAAAACACATTCGTCATTGATTTCGTGTCCATCATCCTCGGCCGCTGGTGGCCGCTGACTTCCAGGCAAAATTCCGTCACAATTCGTCCTTGACGTACTTGGTAGCATTGCTGACGGAGCTGCTGACCGCACTTGCTATCACCTCCACAGAACTGCCGATCGCCTCTGCAGCTTGGGAGCCACTCTCGCCTACGCCACTTGCCATGGCGGCAATGGCGCTGCGGGCGCTTTCCACAGCTTCGGCGACCCTTGATTGGGCACTTTCAAGAGCACCCTGTTCGGGGCCGTAGATAGCCTCAGACACCCTTGCTCTCACACTCTCCGCTATACTCGCCGCCTCACCAGGAAGATCGCCAACCGCAGAAGCAGCAGCCGACACATTGTCCGCAACTGCTGACGAGACTGACGAGTAAGAGTCGTCAACAACACTTGTAACATACTCGACTGTTCCGGTCGGTGTGCCATAGATCGCAATGGAAAGAGCATCCTGTGCACTCTTTGCCACGTCAGCCACAGATGATTGCACCGCTTCTCCGTATCCGGCCGGCGTTCCGTAGATGGCTTCACTGATGCCGGCGCTGACTGACGAGTACGAATCGGCAACAGCAGATGTCGCCTGTTCGACTGTCCCCTTCGTGGTACCATAGACCTGCACGCTTGCCGCGTCGACGAGTGAGTTGAGCTGGCTGTTTACAGAGTCAAGGACCGATGAAACTTGAGGGGGCGGGGTAAAGTAGTCAGATGCAACGGAAGAGACAGACGACGCCACGGACGAGGCGGAGTCGTAGGCATCACTGGCGAGGCTTGCCGCCGAAGCGTAGCCATCGTAATATGAAGAGCTGAGCCTGCTCATAACCGACTCGGTGAAGTCGGGCTCTTTGCCAACAACGAGTTCAGATACGAATGATTGGACAATAACATATTTGTCGTTTGCATAGTCAGTGATTTGGGCAGAGTATTCACCTGCCTGGGTGGCCAACTGGTCGTAGAACGGCTGAGGTGAACCATAGATTTGCTCGCTGGCTTTGGACACCAGAGCTTCCCAATTTTGGGAGGCCACACTTGACAAGGACTCGATGGAACCAGTTGGCGTGCCATAAATAGCGGTACTTGCAGCATTACTGGCAGCAGAGAGCGAAGAAGAAGCGGCCTGGACGGCGCCGTAGTACTGAGACGAGATCTCGTTGAGGACGCTCTGTGCTGGTGATTCTTCATGCTTGCCTAACGCCGAAGATGCTGATTCGAGCATGACTGACATGTGAGCGGCTGCGGCAGAGGTAGCCGAATCATAGTGCGAGGAGGCTTCATCAAGCGCGCTCTTGTAGAAGGGGACTGGAGTGCCGTAGACTGCGCTGCTCGCAGCAAATGAGGCAGATGACAGCGAGGACGAGGCAGCTTCGAGAGCATTGGAATATGCTGCAACTGCTTCATCCAGCAAACCCTGCGCTGGAGTAGCTGCCAAACTAAATGATGATCTATAGGCCTCGAGACTAGCAGCCGCTGCAGAGGTAGCGGCCGAGTACCGAGAAGCAGCAGCGTCAATAAGGCTTTGATGAGCTGGAACGGGGGTTCCATATATCGCAACTGATGCTCCACTGGAAATGCTGCTCAACACAGGAGTGGGCGTGCCGTAGATGGCGCTAGATGCAACCTTGATAAAGTCATCGTACTGCTCATGGGCCAAGCCGACAGCAGCATAATAATTCTTTCGTGCTTCCTGAAGATACCGCTGATGAGCAGGAGCTGGGGTCGCACCGATGGCGATCTTAGCCTTGGAATACTGTGACGATGCAGCAGCCAACGAATCCTGCAGCACCGAGGATGCTAACGAGGACACAGAGACAAGGGGGTTCGTGGTCGGCACTGCGCTCGAGGCTCCCTTACTCAACGAAGAATATTGGTCGGAAGCGGCGCTGCGAGCAGATTCCAGTCTGTTGCTAGCTGCTTCCACGGCGCCGGAGTACGCTGACTCGATGGAGGAAAACATCTGCTCGTGGACTGGCTTTGGCGTCCCTGATATCTGTTGCGAGGCAACTGACTTCGCCGCAATGTAATGGTCTTTTGCTCGGCTGATGGCGTCGCTATACAGTGAGCTGGCTTGCAGAAGTAGCGATTCGGTGACTGGAGTTGGCGTGCCAAAAATGGCGGAACTTGCAGCCGCCACTGCCTGACCATACTTATCAGAGGCAACACTGGCAATGCTCTCTGCGGTTCCTTGGGAAGGGCCATACAACACACTTGATGCAGCAGAGAGAGCACTGGCGTACTGTTCGCTTGCCACCGAACTCATACTCTCCACTGTGCCCTGAGTTGTCCCAAACATTGCTTCAGACACGGCTCGGGTAACTTCTGCATATCGGTCCCCAGCATTGTTGACGATATCCTGAACCTTCTCGGAGAAGGTGGAATCCTCGTTGTCATCAAATACATCATCCAAAATAGGAACGGATCCTTTGACTTTCTGTGCCATGGCCCCAGAAAAGACCTTCGATGACAACTGACTTGCGCCTGAGCCTGCAGCGGACGAAGCAGAACTGGCTGCTGCTTCTGCTCCGGAGCCGACCGAGGAAGCCACGGGGACCGATGGGGAAGCAATATTTTCAACGAACGAGGAGACAGAAGCGCCGACAAGCCCAGTCACGGAGCTGGCCGAATCCAGGACTTGCTCGGCTACCCTCGAACCGGATGCTGCTGCCTCAGGGAGGATGGTCTCAGCAGAACCGGTACCAGTTCCAACCACCGAAGACGCAGACTCAGACACCTGGGATGCCACTGACTTCACGGAATTTGGTGATAAGATTCCTGCAGCCGAGGACGCCTGCGAAAAGGCCTCGTCTCCCACTTGACTAGCTCTTGAAGATGCTGATTCGACACTGCCAGTACTGCTGCCTCTGAACACGGAGGAGGCAGAGGAGATTGCACCTTCAGCAGCATCACCTGCCTGAGACAAGACAGACGGCACAGAACCGACGCCATGGGCGGATGCGCCCTGAAGCTCAGCTGCTAGACTTGAGGCGGCATTCGCAGCTTCTGCGGGAAGGCTTCTTGTCTCGAAGTCGTCCGTTGCATCGCGAGCTTTTAGCTTCCACTGCGCAACACTTTTAAGTCTGACCAACTCTTTCGCAGCATCCTCGGTGACAGCCATACTTTCTTCCATGATTTGTCGAGCGGTAGCGATGGCTTGCTGCGTATGTGGATGTTCCAGGGCAACGTTGCGAACCTCATCTTTCCATGCGTCGAGTTGTTTTCGAACCTCATGGAACTTCTCCCAGTGCTTGTATGTAACTCCTTCCATCCATGCCCAACGCATGCCCACCTCCTGGAGCCCAAGGTCCTTGATGCCGTCTAGGACTTCCAAAGTCGAGGCAGATGCAGCCGCCAGGCGCTGTATCAGACCCCTTTCGAAAGTCTGCGACCAGTCCCGCACATTTTTTGAATGCTCCTTGATGTTGACGCCCGATGCTCTGATTGTGGCTAGAATATCCTCCGCCGCCTTTTTCACCTCTTCAGCACTTGCATCTTCGGGGATGGACGCTATAGTAGACTTGGTTTTCGTCTTGACGTTACTCAACTCGTTCTCCACGGTCTTTTCCAATGCATTCTGCAATCTTCGACCGAGTCCGTCAATATCGCTCTTGACAAGGCTGCCGACTATTGAAGCAACCCTGTCACGAAGATCGTCACTTCCTTTGTCGGCTGCTACAGCAAATTTCTTTTGCCAGTCTCTGAGGTCTTCAGTAATCTTTTCTTCTGTTGCGATCTCAGGCGGCGGTCTGACAGGCTGTTGAATGGGTGTTTGAGCTTCTTCGACTGCCGTCGTTGAAGAAACCGGCTCATCATCGGATTCAAACAGTGCGTATATGTCGTCTATGGCCGCCGTTGCACTTGGAGTTGTGGATGTTGTGGGAGCATGGGCCGATCGTGAATGATCAACTTCGTCCATTGCAGCCTTCAGTTTTCGGCTCTCCTGGTATTTGGCAATCCTCTCATTAATCATGACAAGCTGAGGTCGGACATTGTCAATGTACAGGCCCTTGAGAAAAGGCCACAATGTTCCATCCACGAAGATGACCAGCTCAGACCAAGCATGTCGTGACAACGGATATGCGGTGTTGGACACAAATTCCTGGGTAGAGTTGTAGACATTCTGCAGGTGAGGCCGCGCATATTTTACGCCAGGAAGTATCTGCTCTTGATAAATCTTGTGAACCGAATCTCGAGTTGTGATGTAATAGGGACCGATCAAGGTAGTGACCTTGTCCACATGGGGAGCCACATTCGTATCGTATAGTTTGGCAGCATTCTCTCGAGTCACGTTGATTTGTGGCACGACTGACTTCTCCCACTGAGCTTGAGAGTAGACTTTTGCCGCATCAATTTGTGGAGCAGCATACTTATCATAATTCCGCCTGGCAAGGACAGACGCAGGTCCAACTACCCGTCTATTAACTAGCTCTGCATACGGCTGGGCTCTGATGACATAGGGAGCTGCATATTGATCATAGTACGGCTGTAGCTGAGGTTGGACGTATGTCTTTGCGGTCAAGTAGGATCGGCAGATTTGGGGAGTGGTGTCGGTGAGATCTTTGGGTGTAGAAGGACATCGGAATATGATGGTCACAAGGGCATACCATATGGTCAGCCTATGGTTGGGTTAGAGGTGCAATGGCAATAGATGAATCGGGGGACATACCTGGCGAGATTGTTGAAAGTCCAGAAGGTCCAGCCCTGGCGACGAGCCGGGCTGCGTCGTGCAATATGGCCGGTGACATGGCCATTGGGTCTATCCTTGACGCTCTCTATGGGTTTCCCATTCTCGACCACCGCCATCGCAGCGGTGTCCGTATGGTAAGGTGGTAAAAGACCTCTCCACCTCCAGGAAGAGAATCCGATGCGGAACAACTTCAAGCACGGAGTATCGGGTCTTTCTTGGTGATAGATGTGAGTTGGTGCCGCTCTGGTTGAGTTGAAAGTAGTAAAGGGAAGGTTACCGTGACGATGACGATGGAAGAGCACACGAGGAGGATTGAGAAGTCCTTTACCAGGAACAGGTCCTGTGGATTGGTAAGGAAGAACAGAGTCGATCGGAAATACGAGCAGGGAAAGTTTTGTGGAGGTGTCGCAGGTGCAGGTGCAGGTGCAGGTGCCGATTCAAACACGGGGCAAGACACCGGGCGAACTAGCAGCCAAAAGGGAGCTGCAGCCACTGCGTCACTGGTTGGCAAAGATCAAGCCACAGGCAGTGCGGTGATACTGATAAGCAGGATTGTTGCCTACCCAGTCGCAAGAGCTGCGAGATGCAAGCTGGAACAGGCGACAAAGGATGCCAGGTATGATGTAACAAAGCACATGTCCCATGTGCCAGCAGTGCTTCAACGCCAACCACCTGCTTGTGTTGACGCTCACGATGGAGCAAGATATGCTCCGCATTTGGCTGCCTGGTGCCCCCCATTATGCATAGAACACAAGACAACGGGTGACGGGTGTGGTGTGTACTCCGGATAATGCTTGCAGTCATGTGACCGCTCCCAGCACGTGAGTGGCCTCCGTCCCGCACTGAAGCCAACGGCCAACACTGCAGTACCAGCCTGCGGCGAACTCTCTATACTCCTTACAGCACAACTCTAGACTCCAGGTATTCGTACAAGAAAGCGCGTTGGTACTAAGCCCTACCTTCTACCTTCATCCACAGTCCATCAACCTGATCATTCATTATACCCGCAACTGCAACCGCACCTCTCCCCATTGTCCCTCAAGACCTCTTCACGCAGGCTGCCGCTCGCACCCTCACACCCTCATCTCCACGCAGATGGCCTAGACTTACGCTGTCTCCGAGATGCAAACGCCTCAGCATCCTCTCCGTGCCCAGTCCCTTAGCATCAGGCAAAATGCCGCTGGACGTTTACGAGAAACACCCTGTTGCTCTGGCCCGGGAAAGGGCCCGGGCAGAGGCTATGGCGGCCGCACACGATGAGGCCCAGGACTACTGCCGTATCTGCCGTGGCGAGGCTTCCCCGAACCAGCCCTTATATTATCCCTGCAAATGCAGCGGGAGCATAAAGTTCGTCCATCAAGAGTGTCTTATGGAGTGGCTGTCCCATTCTCAAAAGAAATACTGCGAGCTTTGCAAGACCCCGTTTCGCTTCACCAAGATCTACGATCGTTCCATGCCCGCCACCTTGCCCTTTCCTCTTTTCCTCCGCCAAGTTGCGCTCCATGCAATAGGAGGTACATCTCGCTGGGCTCGGTACTTGGCGGTGGGAATCGTATGGCTATGTTGTCTGCCTTGGTGCATAAGACAAGTTTGGCGAGGCCTGTTTTGGCTGGCCGACGGGGGTTGGTTAGACGAGAAGATCCCTACAGAGCTCACTTCAAATGTGACCTCAAGCTGGACTGCTGTACAGACTCCAGAAGCTGCGGCTGTCAACTTTACTCTTCCCGAGTACCTTGAACGGATAAAGCTGGTGTTTCCTCCTATGCAGGTATCTTTGGCCGACATTGCCAGACTGCTTTTCAGCCAGGGGATGATCGGCAGGTTTCTTCAGCTCATCTTTTCTCTTTTCGTGCCTTATCCAAGACATCATGCTGGCTCTGTCAATGTATCCAGCACGTCATTACCATCTTCGGTACTGGAAAGGCCCCCGTCAATTCTATCTGACGTTCAACTCCTGGCAAATTGGTCGACTTCGCCCGCCATCAACAATGCCACTATTGATGTTGTGGAAGGGCAATTAATCTGCGTTCTCCTCGTTACAGCTTTCATTCTTGTCTTTCTCATTCGAGAATGGGTAATCAATCAACAAAACGTCCCAAATTTGCCTGATGCCGACCTGGCCGATGTCCCTCCGCCGGTCCCTCCGGTGCAAGATGAAGCGGGACCCGTGGCGATGCTACGACCTCAAGAACACGACCGTGCTCAGGAGGTAGATGGTGAAGGCCGTCCCATGGTTTTGGAGCACGGTCAACGGCCCATCGCAATGCCAAGGTTACGGCGAGCCCTCACCGATGATAACATCTTGAATGTCGACGAACTTGAACCTCAACGGCCGCACCTACCTGCTCGATCGCACAGCGTGTCAACCAATTCTGCTTCGGCTCCTGATTATGGCGTTGAAGATGCCCCCGAAGAAAGCAGCGCGGTGGGGTATGATCTTGATTCCAGGCCTCTCCGACGACACAGCCTGAGCAATTCTATTCTTGTTCAGAGAGGATTTGAAGTCGCGCCCAGCGTGGAAGCCCTCGAAGTGACATCTCAGGAGAGACTTCCAGCCAATCTTGAAAGCGATGCGCATTTTGAGTCTCTCCCACCTACTTCTGATCCAGTGCCAGAGTTCCAGTCAAGAGCTCCGGATATTGAGGAATCCCCATCACGCTCTGCTGGCCCTTTTCGACCAAGTGTATTATTGGCGGAAGGCGAGGACATAGTGACTGATGGCACCCAAGAACTTGTGGTTCCTCAGGTGAACGGAGCAGACATCGGCCCGGACGATCAAAACTTCCCGCCACCTGACCCAAGCAATGCAGGTCGCCCTGCCCCGAATGACGGGAACCAAGGTTCTGGCCCTGTCAGCCTCCAGGTCAATCAGCGGCCGCTGGAAGAGCCGACAATCCTCGAGAGGCTATCAGAATGGCTTTGGCATACTGATGATGCCAGCAATGGCCAGCCCCGCCCTGAAACACAACCTGATGAGCGCGTTCAGGATGATGAAGGGAATGAAGAAGATGCGCTCCTAGAAGCTCCATTCGTTCCGAACCATCAACGCGAAGCCCCTCAACCTGAAGCCATCTTCCCCGGGCCACAGCAACCTCGTGAGGCGCGAGAACCAGACTTTTTCCTGGGGGTTGATCTGAACGACCCGAACGCTGTTGATGATGCCGAGGATCTTGATGGCGTTCTCGAATTGCTCGGTATGGAAGGCCCCATCTTCGGCATGATTCAAAATGTCATCTTCAGCCTGTTCCTCATTACAGTAACATTGACTGCCAGTGTCTGGTGCCCTTATATCTGGGGTAAGATCGCTCTTCTGGTAATGTCAAACCCTGTCGGTATGCTGGTCAAAGCGCCACTGTTTGTTTTGTCAAGGGCAGCAGACATTGTGTTTGACATGAGTTTCTTTGTTGCGGGACTTGTGGGGGTTTGCCTTACCCAACCGATCAAGGTCATCAAGGCTATCAGTTTGCCACTCTTCCCTGGAATCAGCGACGTTCTCAACCCTGGTCTGATTGAAGGGATTGCTCTAGATCTCAGCCAGAAGAGCGGCGCACGACTTGAAAGAACCTTATCCGGGGCCGCACTCCATTTGAAACCGGACATGCCGACCTTCTCTGTGGTGTCCCACCAAGCTCTAAACTCTTTCAGGGCGTCGTTTGGAGATGCTGTAGCTTGGATACTCTCTGTGACTGTCCAAGTTCAATCCGCGCTGGCCACGGAACCTCTGAGCTTTCCTGCCATCGTCGCGGCATGTGGGAAAATTCTCAAATCAGTCCCGGGCCAGATCTTAGGCTTGGTGTCGCTAGGCCTGGCATCCCTGAGGAACTTGCCCAAAGAATTGACCTCTGTTTCTTCTGCGAACGGAGATGAGATGGATTACTCATTGGTCGAATGGAGTACAGAGGATAGGATCCTGACTATTATCCTGGGATATGCCTTCTTTGCCGCTGCTGGCATTCTTTTCCTCGAGCTTGCTCACATCGTACTGGGCCTTCAGTACAACGAAAAGGTCGAAGGTTATTTTGCAGATTGTCTTCGACAAGCAGGAGGGGTGATGAAAGTCATCGTCATCATCGGAATCGAAATGTTGGTCTTTCCACTATATTGTGGATTGCTTCTTGACGTGGCATTGTTGCCCTTGTTTGCCAACGCCACGTTCGCCAGCCGACTTGCCTTCATTATCAGGGCCCCGTTCACTGGCATTTTCATCCACTGGTTCATCGGTACCTGCTACATGTTCCACTTCGCTTTGTTTGTGTCAATATGCCGAAAAATCATGAGGACGGGGGTTTTGTACTTTATCCGAGATCCCGACGATCCAAACTTTCATCCAGTACGCGACGTACTTGAGCGACCGATTCCGGCGCAGTTGGGGAAAATTGCTTTCTCGGCGTTGGTGTATGGCGGTCTGGTCATTGTATGCCTAGGTGGTGTTGTTTGGTCATTGGCGTGGGTGGGTGTCGTCTTCCCCATTCAATGGGCAACGGCCGAACCAAAATTGGCCTTCCCGGTGGACATCATATTTTACAACTTTATGCTTCCGTTTATCTTACGGAAAGCAGAGCCGTCCAAAAAGATCTCAGCCATGTACAAGTGGTGGTTCCGAGCCTGCGCCCGAGTGTTGCGGTTGACGGATTTCGTCTTCGGGGAACGGCGCGAGGACGAAATGTACAGCCATCCGAGAGGGCATCTCTGGGGTGTGTTGGGGGCCAGAGACGCGACCAGCCCCGTGAAAGAGGGCATTTTTGTCCGAGCACCTGCATCCGATTCTGTACGAATCCCGAGAGGACGAAAGGTTTTCTTGGAAGTCACTGAACAGAATGACCGTGTGGACGACCTTCCCGATCCGGACTATGGCATCCACGGCAGAAGAGATGAGCGCTTTACCACGGTCTACCTGCCTCCGAAATTCCAGACTCGCATTGCGTCTTTCATCGGCCTTGTATGGCTCTTTGCCGCCTCGACCGGAGTGACTTTCACACTTGGACCCCTGTTGCTTGGTCGCAAGGTGACTCAATGGCTTTCTCAATCCAACCTGCCGCCCAACGATTTGTATGCCTTTACTGTCGGCATTCACATCTTTGCGGTTCTGGGCTACGCGGCTGCTTACGCCCGGCCTTTGCAAAGCTATCTCAAAACCAAACTGTCGCAGTGGTCCGGTGCAGAAACCCTTTCGGCAATAAAATATGCTCTGGGGTTGGCGTACTTGACGCTTTACACAGTGCTGGTGCTCCCCTTTGTCTTGTCGTTGATCGCGGAGCTGTATGTCCACATCCCGCTGTTCACTTATCTGGAGATGCGTCAAGAGGGGTCCAAAGCAGCCAATGTCTCCAGTCAACCTGCTGCCACTGTCTTTATCCTCCAGTCTTGGACGATCGGACTGCTCTACCTCCGGCTGCTTCTCAGATTGGTCGTGCACCAGGTAGCCCCCGGTTCACAGGCAGCCACTGCTCTGCGCGCCATCACTCGGAATGGTCTCCTCAACCCCGACGTTCCACTAGCAAGTCGGGCGTTTGTTCTTCCCACCAGCGTGGTCTGCTTCGGTCTGCTCGGTCTGCCGCTCGCGTATGCGAAGGCGGTCATCCTTGTGCTGGGCTATCAAGACCCCGAAGCTCAAATGCGGCTCTATCGACTGGCTTACCCGGGTGTCCTGGGCCTCATTGCGGTCTGGCTGGTGATGATTGGTTTGCAACGTCAGTTGGCCAGTTGGAGAGTCAAGATTCGCGACGACGTGTACCTCATTGGCGAGCGACTGCACAACTTCCACGAGCCGACGGGGCAGAGAGTTGTCAAGGACAAGGTTCTGTAGCGACATTGGTGTTTTGGTTTCACAAGAATAGAGTTTCTAGTCAGCGTTGAAGGCAGTGCGAATACCATTCATTAATAGTGAAATTTCCTTTTATTGCGCTCTCTCTCTATCTCTCTCTATCAATTGTTGAACGGCCTGTAGCCAGCCCCCTGGGGGAAGAGCGGACAGACCCCTGAGCCCCTGAGCCCATTGAACGGCGCTTCCTCGTTGTGAACCTGGAGGGGCTGGTTGCCGTGACCTCGACAGAAGCACGTCATCACCGTCGATGAGAGTGGCTTACACTCGATACTATCTGTGCTTGGAGTATTAATATAACCTTCTACTACTACTAGGCTGGTGTCACCTGATCACGTCATGATGGCATGTTGATGTGTGGTTGTGCTCTCTGCATCTCTCCCCTCTCCTCTCTTCCACCACCTGACTAAGTGCCCAAGATCGCTGCCGTGGAAGCTGTCAGTACTTGGCCACGGCTACCATATCAGATATCAGTTCTTGCCCAAGGTAAAGGCGTAGCCATGGCGTCGTCATCCTCACAGAACAAGCCCAGCGTGGGCATTCTGTCCATTGGCGATATGGGCATGGGCGTTGGCCGGCTGCTCCGCCATCACGACTACACCGTGTACACGGTCGCGGCAGGTAGAAGGCAAGTCCTACATGGCTACATGCAGAGTGGCTGAGCCGAGAGCGCATTTGCTGAGCATCTCTCCCAGCCAGCACACACTCGACCGGATCAAGTCGTCGCGGATCACGACTCTAGCCTCGGACGAAGAACTGGTCGCCGAGGTCGACATCCTCCTCAGCATCGTGCCTCCACGGGACGCAGTGGCGACGGCGCGCCGGGCCCTCGAGGCGTGTCAGTCGGCGGCGGCCATCCAACGCCGAGCGGAAGGCAAAGGCAGTGCAGCGCCGCGGCTGACCTACGTCGACTTGAATGCCATCAGCCCCCGGACGGCGCGAACCATTGGCGCGCTCTTCAGCACTCCCAAATCGCCCTCTTCGCCGGCCCAGCTCTCGATCACGCGCTCGTTTTCGTTCCACCGAAGAGAGTCGGAGCTCGACCCGCAAGCCATCTCGATCGACTTCCTGGACGGAGGCATTATCGGGTCGCCGCCGGCTCTGCGGGAGGACAAGTCGTGGAAACGGCCGTCGATCGTCATCTCCGGCCCGAAGCACGACGAGCTTCTCGACGCATCTCTGAGGGACGTGTTGAACGTCAGGATTGTCGGCGAGGCCATTGGCCCAGCGTCGGCCTTGAAGTCCTGCTTTGCCGCCCTCTCCAAGGGCACCATCGCCCTGTCCATCCTCTCCTTCACCACCGCCCATACCTGCGGCGTGCTCCCAGCGCTCAAGGAGCACCTGGAAGAATTCAACCCGGCCTTGCTGGCCTTTGCACGCGGTGGGCTGGCTTCCATGCCGCCCAAAGCATACCGCTGGGTCGACGAGATGCGCCAGATCAACGAAACCTTCAGTGTCGAAGGCGGCTTTAGCCCAGACATCCTCGGCGACGGCCATGGCGACGGCCATCACCACCACCATGCCGACGGGCCCGATATTACCGGCCAGGTCTTTGAGGGCATTGCGGACGTGTATAAGCTCATTGCCGACGACACCGTGTTAGGAGAGGAGAAGACGGAGAAGCGCAAACGAGGAACCAATCTGGACGACGTCGTCGAGTGTGTTCGTGATGGCATTGCCCGCAAGAAGAACAAGGCCGAAGGCGAGGGCGAGCTAGATGCCACTTGGAGAGGTAATTGGTCTTGACGAGCCGAAGCTGAGGCCGTAGTGTCTTGATCTTGGGAGTGTCTTGATCTTGGGAGTGTCTTGATCTTGGGAGTGTCTTGATCTTGGGAGTGTCTTG